TCCCAAGTCGACGTGGCCTCCCCTGATGTCGCCTCTCCTGATGTCGGCTCGTCTGATGACGTCGCCTCTCCTGATGTCGGCTCGTCTGATGACGTCGCCTCCCCTGATGTCGGCTCGTCTGATGACGTCGCCTCCCCTGATGTCGGCTCGTCCGATGACGTCGCCTCCCCTGATGTCGGCTCGTCCGATGACGTCGCCTCCCCTGATGTCGGCTCGTCCGATGACGTCGCCTCCCCTGATGTCGGCTCGTCCGATGACGTCGCCTCCCCTGATGACGGCTCGTCCGATGACGTCGCCTCCCCTGATGTCGGCTCGTCCGATGACGTCGCCTCCCCTGATGTCGGCTCGTCCGATGACGTCGCCTGTGGTCTGACGTCTCCCCCATTTCCAGTTCCAGTGGTGATTCTGAGGGTCACTCCGGTCCAGCCTGCGGGGACTTTGTCCCCGGCCCAGCCTGCGGGGCTCCTCTGCCGCAGGCGCCGGCCTCCAAGGGACCGTCCTCGTCTCCTCATCTGCCCCAGGCGCCGGCCTCCAAGGGCCCATCGCCTCCTCATCTGCAGCAGGCGCCGACCTCCAAGGGCCCGTCGCCTCCTCATCTGCAGCAGGCGCAGGCCTCCTTACTCTGCTGATCCCTGCCGCCTCTCCTGTGGTCCCTCGGTTCCTCTGGGCCCTCCCTCCGGGTCCCCCTCCTCCCGCCCTGCTCCTGGTTCCTGTGGGCGTCTGGGATCCGCCCTTTGTGGGGGGGGGGGGGGGGGGGGGGGGTACTGTCACGTCCTGTCCTGTCTACTCTTAGGTTTTGTCTGTGTCTCCGTTAATTGCTCCCACCTGCCTCTCGTTTCCCAATCACCTTAGCTCCCGGTCCTCCTGTATTTAAACCCCGTCTGTTTTGTGTCCTTTGTGGAGTCATTGTTTCAGTGTCCAGCGTGTGTCTTCAATAAACCTGTGTTAAACGGACTCACCTGTTCGCCTTCTTGCTCCCTGCGCTTGGATCCTCCTCGCTGCCCGGCACGCACGTGACAATCCTAGAATCTTCTGACTAAAACAATACGACCAAGTAGTTGATCTTATAGTTAAATAGAGTATCACCACTTATTGGTCACAAGTAGTGTTAATAATATAAATAGCTTTTAAAGCAATTTACTTAACCCAATTTACCTTCTATTATCATTACAGTAGTAATAGTAGTAGTAATAGTAGCATTGTCGCGTGCACGTCCCATTTGCCGGTTCCGTTAAAACCCAGTTCCATTAGAACTTATGAGACTGTGCATCTATCAGGGTTCGGTGGGGGTGTCGGTGAGTATTATCGTACTAGACCGTGGTATGGACTTCCTAAGTAAGAATCATATCTTCTATTTTAAAGGTGAAACGATATGCAAGACTTTCCTTTTGTAGTAGCTCACTTCTTTTTAAGCAATCCCGTTATTTTTTGGTTAAAATACTGGGGACAAAGTCCAGCGGGAGGCCGGCCCGGCTGGCAATTTTTTGGGTTATTTGGATTAATTGTGCCCCTATCAGCTTATGTGGATGGTTGGTAACTATAAAATGATTCTTGTTAGTTGATCAGGCTAACATAGATTTATCAATTTATTTAATTAATCCAACCCTCCAGCTGATAGAGACTTTTTCAACTTGCGAATCAGAGCCAAAATTAACCACTAATGTTCTGGTTTTATCATCCTTAAGACAACTCGTTACTCGCGGGTGAGGGAGGAGGCAAGCTCCTCTTATCTTAAGGTTTCTTTATATTAATTCGTCACAAACCGTAAAGTAAGTCCTGATAATTCAGGAACCCATAATTAATATGCTTACCTCTGTGCAATTAATGGTCAGGGCCCCAACCGTGAAGCTTTAGGGAAAGCCTGAAAGAATCAGGATTATGTTTCTTTTTCAAAAAAGTTTATTACAAAATCAAAAAATACAAAAATGAGTAAATATAAAAACAACCGCTTCCCCCAAGGAGGAATTAGTTCTAAATTAACTAAGAAATAAAGAGTTGATTTACACCAACTCGGTTCTTCTGAGAATCGCCCCAAACTTCTCCCCAAAAACTTGTCTAGCTCTGCTTCTCTCCAAAAAAACTGACCTGTCATCCCCCATCCAGAGGACGGGGGATGACCTCTCCAAATCTGCTCCGTCTCTCTCTGTCGTCTGCCCCAGCTGCTTGTCGAATCTCTCCAGCTCTCTCAGAGCTACTCTTTTATACCCTTCCTGGGCCAGCTTAGGCAAGGTAAAAGGCACATATCATTACCTCATGTCAGAGAGGTCATGGGGTCATTTACCAGACACACACTTTTTTGCTCAACACAAGACATTTGGTATCATTTTCACTACATGCAGCATTCTTCTTAACACAAGTCATTACATGCAGCACTCTACATGAGGGCACAAAACACTACATCCAGCACTCTTCATGAGGGCACAGGTCATAAATCATCATGTTTGTAGCAAATTGTAGGTCTTCCTTCAGCATTCCTGAGAGAACTTCTGGATCTAATGGGCTGTTTTCACTCTAGTCCAGTCCTTCGTTTCCCACCAGAGGTGGATCCAGGGGTGGGGCCAGGGGTGGAACCAGGGGTGGAACCAGAGAAGCCAGCCTGCCTCTTGACCTTTTGCCTAGTTCTGTCCCCAACAGCAAGTTCTGAACTCTTGTCCTTTTGACCCTTGTGTGACCCTTGTTTCTGACCACTGTTTCTGAGTCTTGACATGCTGGAACTTGCTACAGCATCTGTGTTGTTGTTCTTAATAATAATAATTTTTTTTATTGTTGATGTTGTTATTTAAAATATTGTTTGTGTGTTTTGCTTTGCGTGTTTGTGAGGTCCTACCAATACCAAATAGACAATACAAATGAAGTCAAGCAGAAACTCATCTCTCTGTAGGAGGTTGTCTCTTGTGAAGTCTCCTCTCCGCTCCTATTTTTATTTATTTATTTTTTTTAATTTTATTTTTTTTTTGCATTCATTCACACATTAATTCTTGATGTATAATATTCCTTTTTAATGCAGTGGCTCAACTATGAGATTCAATTCTTATCTAATCAAATATGTTTTTTTTTATTATATACAAATAAATAAAAATGGTGCAGAAATGTGTGTTTTGTCATTTCTACATTTTCACTTTGTTGGATTGAGGTGAAGCAGAAACTGAAGCAGATGAGAGGAAACACCATGTTTGCTAATATTCATCCAGAGAAAGAGCAGCTGTGGTGTAGAGATGGTCCAGACACACAGATGATACGATTAGGGACATGATCTCTGTCACGTATCCCTGATGCTCACAAAGGGCTTCATGTTTCTCACTCAGACCTGCATGTTGGATGCAGAAGGGAATGTTTTTATTACTATAAAATACCTTCTAAAGATACTTCACAACATATCTTTAGCACGGTACAAGTTTGCATTTTAGATATTTAGGTTATTTTCTGCCGTAACAAACTGATTTGTGGAGTTCTGTTTCATCTCATGCTCTCATCCTGAATATGAGAACAACAAAAACCCTGATCTCAACCATGCCCTGCTCCATCAGTGTTTGTGTTGCTGCAGACGACACAAAGACTTGGTGACCAATGTTCTTTGATGTTTTCCTCAATTAATTTAATTGAGCAGTTTTTTATAACAGCTGACAAGAATGTGAGTAATTTCAAAAATCCTAATCATGGTTGCATGAGACAAATGCATTTCAGCCAACAATAACTACAGAGTTGATCAGGTTATTAGAGGAAAATGTGGTCATTAATCATAACTGATCAAACCAGAAAAGCCATCAATGTTAATTATTCATCTGGCATTGTATTATTTAAAGAAATTCATATTTCTGCTGATTTAATGTTGGACTTTTTTTTTTGTACCCAATAGGTTTTTATGGTGAGAAATAAGGTTTGGGCCATTTTGGTGATATTTTGACCAGCCAATTTAGAGTTTTCTCTTTTGTTTAGTGTTGGCGGCCATGACGAATCTAGTTGACTTCGTAGGGACACCTTTTAGACGAGCATCCACTGAAGACTTCCTGAGAGTTTCTTTATATTTTTTAGAAGAGCTAATGCTAAAAGCAACTCAACAGCTGAACACTAATGTGACTAGTAGATGAATCATGACAAGTGGGATTCGATCACAGGATTTACACACCAGAGGACCCAGACATGGAAGGAAAGGGCATCTGGTTAGATTAAAATCTACTGAACACTAAGCGTCTGGCTTTTCTCTGTGTGTCTGTTCTGTTTTAAAAGTGCTGTAATGTGATGGTTACAGTTCTCAGTGACAGAAATTAATTGGTTTAAAGCTTCAGGTTCTGATGATAACTTGCTTTCTAAACAGTTGCAAAAGTTTCCTGCTGTCATTTTGGGAAATCATTCAGGTATTGCTGCAAAGAAAATTACTTTAATTTCCACATTTTCTTAATATTCAGAATATTTCGATTAATGCTTCCTTCAGTCTTCCATAATGACGTCAAAGCTGTGCTTGTTTACACTGAAATTAAACATTGGCTTCTCTCTTACATCAATGCATCCTTCTGCAAACTTGGTACAGTAAATTTAGTCCACAGCAAACTGTTTGCTTCAGTTTAATTTGCAGTCTCTAATACTACAAGGACCCTCCCATCACACAGTTTGTCCAGAAAGGAAAGGAGAGGAATAGGAGTCCATGGAGCTGGGTTTTAGTTTTTTCAGCATTTAGAAACAGTTTTGATTAAATGTTTTCATATTGAAGAATTTTGTACAACACTACGATGATAAAATACAAATGGTTGTATGTTATTTAGCATGATATTTATCTAATATACTGAGGTGAAAATATATATATATATATATATATATATATATTATTCAAAAAAATTTAAATTTTAAATGAAATTTAAATAATTATTAAACACTCAAAAGTATCGAAAATCGGTATTGATACGTTTTGTATCGATTCGTAGGTACTGGTAATTGGTACTGTATCGATTCAAATTCATACTCATATAATATAATATATTTAGACTTATCAATCAATCAATCAATCAATCAATCAAAGCTTTATTTATAAAGTGCCTTCCGCAACCCTGTCAGGAAGCCCAAGGCGCTGAACACTGTACAGTACAAAGTCAGATAAAGTGAATAAATCAGAAAATAAAAGCAATTCAAATTACAGATTACAAATTACAAAAAAGGTGAAACATTCTAGTAGAATACAAATGTGTAAAACATACAATATTATGTATATCCGTTATTGCACAGGTATTGAACACATACTGAATATTGCATTGGTGTTATTGTGTAACAGTACAACTTAAACTGAGGAGTTATACACTCTTACTGCAGAGGGGATGAATGACCTAAGGTAGCGTTCTGATTTACATCTGGGATGTCTCCGTCTGCCTCTGAAGGAGCTCTCCATTGCCTCCACAGTGGAATGCAGTGGGTGGGAGGTATTTTTTTAAAGATGGAGGTCATCTTCCCCAGCTTCCTCCTTTCACACGTCTCCTCAAATGAATCCAGTGGGAACCTAGCACCGGGCAAGCTTTGTGAACTAGTGATGTGTCGGTCGCGAACGAATCGGCTCTAAGAGATGAAGTGAACGACGGGAGCCGGCTCGTCATTAGGAGCCGTCCCCTCCCCTCGCCCCTCCCCTCTTGCTTTGGTGAAAGCTACAGGCGATTGGTCAACATGTGTAACTGCGTGTCCAGACTGTCCACACACAGAGCAGTAGGGGCGGGGAAGAGGGAGGATCAGACTCAGACACACAGCAGAGCACATGCGAGTGGAGGGAGATGAGAGGGAATGAGGAGGAGGAAAAAGGCGAGCAAGAGGAAGGAGAGTGTGACGAAGACGGTGAGAAAATGAGCGCCAGCAGTCGGAAAGTGGAGATTTCTTAATGTGTTCAGTTATTAAATCCATAGAAATGATAAATATTTGATATATTGCATTTTTTTACATTAGTAAATCATTTTACATATAGTTTTGCATTATTTTGGTCATAAATATACTCTACACAACAAAAAAATCTGAGGAGCCACTTGGAAGCCGAAAGAGCCGGCTGTTTTTGGTGAGCTGAGCCAAAAGAACCGGCTCTCTAAAAAGAGCTGGAATTCCCATCACTATTGTGAACTAGCTTGTTCAGTCTCTTCCTGTCTCGGTCAGAGCTGCCTGCACCCCAACAGACCACAGCTGAGTGGATAACTGAGCCAACCACACAGTGATAAAGGATTTTAGCAGATGGGAATTAACTCTGAAGGACCTCAGCCTCCTCAGGAGGTGGAGGCGACTTTGGCCCTTCCTATACAGAACATCTGTTTTGTTAGACCAGTTCAGTTTGCTGTTGAGGTGAACACCCAGGTATTTAAAGGCATTCACCACCTCATTGTCTGCTCCCTGGATGTTTACTGGTGAGTGAGGAGGAGGCTGTTTTTCTTGATGTCAATCACCCTTTCCTTTGTCTCACTGGTGTTCAAGCGACGGTGATTACGCTCACATCAGTTCAAAAAGTCTGTGATGACTGACCCGTACTTCAGGTCATTCCCCTCAGACACACAGCTGACAATGGCCGAGTCATCAGAGAACTTCTGGAGGTGACTATGAAGGTCATTCTGTTTCAAAAAGCACAAACTGCTGGTGTTGTAGGTGAAGTCCAAGGTGTAGAAGGTGAAGAGAAAGGGTGAGAGCACCGTACCTTGTGGAGCTCCTGTACAGCACACAACCACCTCAGATGCACAGTTGTGCAGCCTCATGTACTGTTGCCTGTTGGTGAGGTAGTTGATGGTCCATGCAGTCAGATGTTCGTCCACTTCTGCGCCCCTCATCCTATGCTGCAGTAGACAGGACTGAATCGTTACCATGTTCAACAACATTTAGGCAGTAAGAAACACAAATTTTATAATAAAACTGCTAAACTCTTTCTAAAAAATATGTGAAAGAACGCAATCGAAAACAAAATTCAATATATTTTGACCAAGTGGCATTGCCGTAGTATGAGGACGTCGTCGGTAGATGCAGGACTCTGAGCAGGTTCAGAAAATACAGCACCAGAAAACTACACTTAGTATTGCATTCTCTTGATGAAATTAACTGAAGAAACATCAAAGTATGAGGAGCCACGCCGAGGTTACAAGCTTTCTGCTCCCCAAGAAAGAAAATTTACTGTAACGTTTTTTTAAACTAGCGACAGTCGCATGGTGTATGATGTGAAACTACCCAGAAATGTATGTACTACCCCCTAGCGCCAGAAAACTACACACTGCCACTTTAAATGCAGCTTTATTATAGTTGGACAGTGTAATTTATGACTCAAATTTATATTTACTGAATAAAATTTGATCAACTCATCAATAATTCCATGTGTTCACTTTTTATCTTTAAGCTCCTTTTGATCTATAAACACATGAGAGAGATGTGAACTTTCAGGCTCAGAGCAAACGCAACGAGGGTCAGGTAATTGTGGTGACCTTTGCATTATCAATATGAACAATAAATATCATCTAACGGCAGAAATAAATCACAAAGGAGATGTAACTTTAATCTTCTTTGAAATGTATAAACAAGTAGTAATTTACAGGTGAGACACTTGGAACCTGTTTAAAACACTTACGTTCAGCATTTCTGTGAAGTCATAGAAAACTCAAACCAAGGTCATACAAAATAAATACAACTAATAGGAAACTTGGTGAAAAGGCTGAAAAGGAAAATTCAATAAAAATGTAGTTATTTGCAAACTCATACAACTCAGCTGAAAAAAGTCAAAGAAACAGCAAAAACATTTAATAAATTGCATGAAATCAGCAGTTATCATTGATTCAAACGATTCTTCACCTAATGAGTCCATGATGATTTATTAATGACCACCCCTGATTTTCCCCAGTGTGCTGAATACTTGTTTAATTATTAAAACGATAGCCGACTGTGTTGACCTTAATAGGATTTTTATCCTTTTATTATTACAGAAGAATCTTATATTTTAAAACACGTAAAAAGAAAGATTGATCTGCAAGCTTCAGCATAAAGTACGTGATCTGTATAACACACGGTGTTCCCTCTCAGAGGACATCCTCCTCTACATTCACACAGCATGCTGTGCTGCAGAAGGTACAGATGTATTTTACAGTAAATGGCATTAGACAGTTCAATTTATCCACATCCTGCCCCCTTGTCCCTGTTCAGGTAGCTGAATAGGGCACAGGAAGTGACATTCATCACATCCAGGAGGAACAGCCTTAAAGGGCACGGCAAGGCTGATAGAAGAGGGGGAGACAGGCCGAGCAACGCACTGTTAAAGGCCCCCCGCCCACCGAGGCAGGAAGGCTGGAGCAGCAAGAGAGAAAACATGATGATTTCTAAGGTGCCTTTGTAAGATCCAACCGCTGCTTTAGAGCCGTCAGCAGGATTTCTACCTCTATCACTGGGGTGATTGTTAATAAATAATGTGAGCTGATGCTTTAGAGCTTTTATTAAAGGCAAAGATACAAACAGGTGAATGAAAACCTTGAACTGTTGTTTTAGTAAGAGGGTTAGCCGTAGCCTCTCGTGCACCCAGAGACAGAAGAATAAAGAATAAAGCTGTGATCATTAGAACAAACAGCAAGTCTTAATAAAATCACAAATGTATTGGTTTACACTAAAGTCTCCTCTTCTATCATTCGGTTTTAAATTACTGATTTGAGGAATTTTTTTCTGTTTTTATGGTTCCTTGAGAAAAAAATTATTTCTTTTTTTATTTAGCCTAAAAGTCTTTTTGAATGAATGTAAATTTCCAAAAGTTTTCAAAATTGGAAAATTTAAAGAATTGCTTTTAATTGATTTGGAGTGAAATACCAGCATCCATGGCTTTTTTATTTCATATTTCAGCAACTAATTTAGGATACAAATAGTAAATGCATCATTTGACATCATCAAATTTCATTTACCGCATAGGACAATATATTCAACTCTATTCATTTACTGGCAGACTAGAAGATGATAAATGTACATTTTTGTTTAAGACAAATGGAGTTTCTCGTGATTTCTCTCCGATTTTGAGAAGTTTTTTTTTTTCATCTGTTTTCAATCATTCTGTATGAAGTTGGGCTGAAACCAACCACCTCTAACATAACAAAGCTGCTCATTCATTAGTCTATAACAGCGCCAGCAATCATGGTCTACTTGGAAATGGTTTGATTGTGTATTTATAGTGGTTTTGTAAAAAAAAATTAGGAAAATATGAACAAAAACAGCTTTTTCCTGTGAGATTTTACACACATTAAAGCACTCCCTCTTCTGTTTGATACATACTGCAACAAAGTCATTCAAAATTCCTTCTTCCTCAGATATTTATTGTCCCCCTACAAATATTCTTAAGACACGTTTTTGGAAATATACATTTATGTTGTGACATTTAAAGAAACTACTAGACACTTCTGGAAACCTAACAAAAGGGATTTTTGTGCACTATGAGTGGCTGAAAACTACCAAAATCAGAGCTTCCTGGTGGAGGGGGAAGAATGATGCTGCAAAACCAGAGAAGCGAGCGAGGAAGAAGGATTCAAAGCTCTTTGGAGTCTTGTGACCTTTCTGCTGACTCTAGATAATCCATGTGGGATCCAGGTTAGGTGGCAAATGGATAATTTAGGAACTCCAGTTAAACAGTTTAATTAGCTTCACTCTGCTGCTGCAGCAGACCCCTGGTTTAAAAAGGTTTTTGTGATAGTTACATGTTCTGTTGAACTCCTTCCCTTTGCAACGCAATGAATCAAAACTGTGCTGTAGTGAAACAACTAGCAGCTGATTATTATTGCAGAAGGAGTGTGCACCCCACAGTTAGTGGCCAAGTTAATCAGATCCTCCGCTGTTTCCTGAGAAGGTTCCAGGGACGTGGCCATGTGCCCAAAACGGACAGCTGCTGCTGCCCACAGTTGCCAGCCCAAAGTTTAGTCCTCATCTAGAACAGTTTTAAAACTTGTTGGATGAAAGATGAATCCTGGAAAACTGTCCCTATCTTTGCTCCGTTGGACGGTTTACACCTTTGCTCAGTGGACACGAGCACTAACTCTGCTTATAGACCCAAGCGTCTTCAGGTGAATCAATGTGCACAATCCTGTCAAGACAATAAACACAATCTATGGTTAGGTGGTCTTACACCAAACTCTGTGCAACGTGGGCAAAGTTGTGCATGGAAAGTACCTGTGTGGTGTTCTCTTGTGGAGCTGCTAGTCTGCAAGAAGAAAAATAAAAACGTGATGAGATAAGAGAAAGGTCCTTTTCACATTAAGCATCCTGGCTTGGAAAATTGTATTAGTGAGGGCTGCATTCCATTTAGAAGAACAATCATAATGCACAGCAGCAGGAGGTCTCAAGATCACCTAAGATGTTTCGCGCCTCATTTATACCGAGTGCAGAAAAGATGCGGTCCAGTTTCTGGACGGACTACACAGACTGCAGATCGTGAGCAGAACTTCTCCGGACATTTGCAGCTGTGAGAGCACCAAACATTTGGGGTTCACACGAGTTCACTTTAGAAATCTGAAATAATAAGTTTAAATATTTACTTGCGTGAACCATCATACAGTATACCTGTCATTAATAAAAGAAACAAGCCAGTAAAAAAATGCAACACAAGTTTTATTTTGAAATTATACCAGAAGCAACTCGCTGAACCAAGTCTCACTTGGATCAGCATCGCAGCTGCTAATGGCCATACAGATTCTGGATGGCATCTATCCGCACTCTGTGTAAATGAGGGGTGATCATTGATGAATAACATGCTTCTGAACTGCTGAAAAGGCAATCCAACCATTAAAGCTGGTTTGTTGGAGCAGGGTAACCACTGAAACATGTAATCTCGTGGACCAGGGTTGGAGAGCGCTACGTATTCCATTAGCGTGATAATGGTTAGAGAAAAATACTGATTTTCCTATCTTGCAGGAGAAAACCTTTTCTCTCTTGACTATTTATCCAGAATGATTTAGAGTTGCGTGGTTAGTTACCTTTCCGTGTGGACTTGGACTGACTAGCAGCTACAGTGGTCAGATCTGCTGGTAAACCCACATAGACACCTCCATAATTCCTGAGAGGAGATAGAGAGAATTTTTTGCATTCTAAACAGACATTGGTTATCATTACCATAGCTCATAATATATACAGTAATATACAAAACATACCTGATCATTTGACTAAACAGGAAATAATATTTACTGTCACAGCAGGACGCATGTGACACTCTTCAAACTTCCCAAAGTTTGAACAAATTACCTTCTTTTCTCATCTTCTGCCAAAGGATCTTCTGTCCTGATTGAGAGAAAAATCTCATGTCAAGTCAACTTTCAAATGTTTAGAAGCAGCAGCAGACACTGGACTGTGGAGGTGTGTTTTATGTACCTGCAGAACATTTGATGTGTGCTAAAGGGAATACTGATCTCACTCCCTAGCGATGTAGCAGGCTGAGTTGCCAATTACCGTTTCAGCCAAACCACTGAACCACTGGTTTTCAGTGACCTCAGGTTTGTTTGTGTTTGGTTGGTAAGAGCTGACATGAAACTGCACTCTGAACAATTTTTGGAGGAATTAAAATGTTTACTCCTTTGTTTTCCTTGTCATGTGGCCTTGTTATACTGTTTATTTGGGCTCTGGACTTTTACACCTCTCTGAAACAAGGGTTAGACTTAGGATAAAGGTAGTAGACATGCTTGTCCCGAAGACAGAAACACCTAGAAGAACTATTTGTGAAGACTTGTCTGTGATATTTTGCTGTGTGGAAACTGTGATTAGTGTTGGTGAGTCAGAAGTCTTCAGTCAGCTCTCCTGGGTCCTAAAGTGGATGCTGACAGAGTACACACACACACACACACACACACACACACACACACACACACACACACACACACACACACGCGCGCGAACATACACAATGAACACAATCTGCTCATCCCACTCATTTCCAAGTATGATGTACAATTTTTTCTTAATACTATTAAAAAAAACAATGAATGGCAGAAGATGACCAATTCTCTTTAGAATTTTAATTAGAAGAGTGATTTTAAAGTAGCTGTTTTCTCTTTAGTTTCTTTGGTGCTTTTACAATAATCATGACTTTTGTTTTAATTCCAATTGCAATCAAATTATATATATATATAATTAGCTTAATTTTGCTGGCAAATACTCATGGGTACTGCTGAATTGTGTGCTGTTTTTATAACTATTTGCGTGTTTATTTAAATACCTACTGAAGCTGCAGAGAGGACATACTTGGAAATGTATTTTAATGACACTATCTGGAGAAAAGTTATTCAGCAGTTCAAAATTTTACGTTAGAAAAACATTTTTTTTCTTCATGATGATAATAACTTTCAAACAATTAAAAGAACAACAGGTATATAAATCAGGACAGTCAAGCAGAGAACTGATTCGTGTTAAAATGTCACCAAACATTGATCATTAAACTACTTATGACTGTTAGAAATCATCTGTAAGGGAATCGTGACAGAAAGTTTAAATAAAACTGGATGTGACACATTTTCATCCTGTTGTCTTGAGAAAACAAAGATTTTAGAACATCAAATAAATCTGGTTACCTTGAGATAAAGCAATATTTAACTCCTGATCATCCACTTATCTGGGGTCACAGGGGCAGTAGCCTGAGCACAGACGCCCAGACTTCCCTCTCCCCAGCCACTTGGGCCAGCTCCTCAGGAGGAATCCCAGGGTGTTCCCTGGCCAGCTGAGAAAAATAGTCCCTCCAGCATGTCCTTGGTTTTCTTTTAGGTCTCCTCCTGGCTGGATGTGCCTGGAAAACCTCACCAGGAAGGTGTCCAGAAGGCTCACTCTAACTAGATTGCTAGAACCACCTCAACTGGCCCCTTGAGATTTAAATCGGTTCGACGCCCGCATCACTGCAGACGTAACACCAATCCACCTATCGATCTCACGTTCCATCTTCCCCCACTCATGAACAAGACCCCAAGATCATTAAACTCCTCTATTCAAAAATATATTCAATATCATATTTGTTATTATTACTGTTACCATGAATTATGTCTAAAAAGAACCCCAACAGATTTTACCTAAAAATATTCCTCATTTCTTCTACTTGTTCAGGGCATATGTTCAAATATGGCAAATTTGATTTTCATGCTGAGATTTCACCAACTTCACTGAGTTTAACATTTACAACACATATATCTTTATTTAGCACAACTAGTCAACCTTGTGACGTGAGAGTTTCATAAATTGTTAGTTTTAGAGATCTGACAGTAAACATGAGAAGGGATTGAGGAGTTGCCTGGCTCTGCAGACACATCAATATTTGGCTCCTCATAGGCCGCATTGAATAGTGGAATGGCGCCATGGCACAAACTGCGACTAGCTTGATCTCTGATGATTGTTTGGGTGAAATCACGTAATTCTAAGAGTTCGTAAAAAGCCACACCCACATAATATATGATGTAAGTGGAAGTGTCTAAATATAGATGTTGGCCCTATAAAGTGCTAAGAGGAGGAGTATATCTCAGGGTCTTGTTCACAAGTGAGGGAAAGAGTGTAATCAACAGGCATCTGCAGTGATGCGGGCGTTGTACCAATCTGTTGTGGTGAGGAGAGAGCTGAGCCAGAAGGTGAAGCTCTCGATTTACCGGTCAATCTATGCTCCAAACCTCACCTATGGTCACGAGCTTTGGGTAGTGACTGAAAGAACGAGCTGCTGAAATTAGTTTTCTCTTCCGGGTGTTTGAGCTCTCCCTTAGAGATAGGGTGAGAAGCTCAGTCATCCAGGAGGAGCTCGGAGTAGACCCGCTGCTCCTCCACATCTTTTTTTTTTTTTTAATGAATGAGAAGTTTAATGAGAAATTAAAATCAATAGTACAATATAATATAACAAAGAAACATTTGCAGGTTTACAAGCAAACACACAACTTACACAATGCTAAGAATGGGCGCAGGCAGAAGCATAAGCTTATAAGCCCAGCCCCCCAAACCCCAAGAGGGGTTTCATGATGCCATCAAGAGGAGCCAGTTGAGGTAGCTCAGGCATCTGATTAGGATGCCTCCCTGGTGAAGTTTTCCAGGCACATCCAACCGAGAGGAGACCCAAAGGAAGATCCAGGACACGCTGGAGGGACTATGTCTCTCAGGTGGCCACTGAACACCTTAGGATTCCTCCTAAGGAGCTGGGGTCTTATTTATCAAACATTGCGTAGAATCCTTACCAAAATCGTACTTAAGCTCAGCAAAAAATAAAGTACTTACGCCAAGCAGGTTTGTGATCTATCAAACATGGAGTACGCGCAGCTGCACGCAATCTCCGCTTCATAAATCAGAAACTATCTACAAATGTTCTCAGCTGCTTTTTAGTCACATCCCGCCCTCACCACGCCCACTTACTGCCATAAATATACAATGCAAAGTGCCTTGTGGATCTCATGCATGTACATAAGCCGGCTTGTTGCAGCATTTCGATCACAACCGCAGATCAAGGAAGCGCTATTTCACAAGCAGAAACTGAGGTACCTGTGGGTGAGGTGGAAAAATGAAAGGAAGTACTTTTGCAAAACAAATAAGAGAAAATCCAGTGGTACAGCGTTGCTGAAGCCGTCAATGCTGAGTTCTTCAGAGAGATCTGTGGCGGACATAAAAAAATGATCCAACTGGGATTCGAGCCCCAGACTCCCAGGTGAAAGTCACGCGCAATAACCAGTCAGCCAAACAGAGATCTCCCTTGCTCAAGCATTCAGGGCACATGATCAATCGGGTCACAGTGACAGGACACACACACTGTCACAGACGAATGACATTCTGTCTAAATCTGTCCCCCTGCTGATTTTCTGCATTCCGTATTCTGCGCTTCAGGCTGTGTGTGAGTGTGCGCGCATGTGTGTGCGCGCGCGTGTGTGCGTGTGGGGGGGTCTTGTTTTGTGTGAAAACGAAGCAGTACAAGTAATAATAATAATAATTGGATGGATGCTTTCTTGCTCAGTTTTCAAGACATTTTGTTTATGAATCCACATTTTTGTTCTGATGACATCAGTCTTTTGGGTGTACAAGCCTTTTTCTGGACTGTCATGTATGGTTTTATGTGTTTTTTCACCATTGTTCTTATTTTCTCTGTTATTCCTCATTTTTTTCTGGTTTTCTGGTTCTTTAATTTGACCATTTTCACTTTTTGCTGCTCTGACAAAGGCAGCAGTTAGGAGCCGAAACTATCAGCAAAAAGGCAAAAACAAAGATTTGCTTTGTGTATAGATAAGAACTGAAAATGACATTTAATTGATATCAGCAGAATTATGAAGCTAACTTGTAAAATGTGAGAAGTGTGGAAATTGACAGAAGCTTCACAAATAACAGAAAAACAATTAAATGATTAATTTACTTACACATCTTTGGAAGCTTCTGCAGGCCCTGAAAACACAGAGAGAGAGAGAGAGAGAGAGAGAGAGAGGTTTTCTTAAAGGTTCCACAGAAAGGAAGCATGATTAATGTTAAATTCTTGTGTCAGCAGATCATGAGATAGTTGTCCAGTACAGCAGTGAGATGAATAAACTTCTTAAGAAAATACTTTAATCACAAAGTTATGAACAAATATTTAGAAACGCCATCTAAATTAGTCAGTCACTCATCGAAAGGTGATACAGAGTGCACCCTAAAAAATTATTCAGGGGCTTAGTAAATATCATTATAATTCTAAGTTAGATGACCTTGATTAAATCTTTGAAAATCACAAAAGTGTTATCTTGAGTTGAAAATACTGAAAAGAATGTTTAAATTTTCAACACCAGTTTTTCAGTTGAACTGAGCTTTTTTGTTCAAGTTTATTTCAAAGAAATAATTCTGTATTTAAACCACATGGCGCATTATTTAAATCTACTCAATATATCTCATATAAAGTACTCAAAATAACTGAGACACTGGTATTCATACTTATCATTGTCTTGAACTTTAATTATTAATGGTTCAAAATCAATATAATTTTGTCCCCCAATACTAACATAAAACTTTGAGTAACTAATGACCTTTGGCATGTACCGCGCGCGAGGAGCATGGCCTCATGGGAGATTTTCTGCACGTTGAACGAGACAGACACACTTCTATGGCGTTTAAAGCGTGCCACAACCCGTGCACGCGCATTGGGTCCACAGCGCGCGTGTGAACGGGACTCGCGAGCGAAAATATACATGGCAGCGCGCGCGTGAACGGGACTCGCGAGCGAAAATATACATGGCGAGATGTCATTTGTGCACTGAGAGGGAGCAAACTGTGTCTGTGAGCGCACAAGGATGTGCACAAGTGACAAACCTGCGTGCGCGCGTTGCCAACGAGCACACGGCAGAGGAAAACGTGCGCGCGCGGCAGCCTCTCTGCGCGCTCGGCAGCCTCTCTGCGCGCTCGGTTTCTGATTCCTGCTCGCTCGGCTGTAAGGGCTTTTGGCACTCTGGAGGCGTGGCCTGTGGCAGATCTTCCCTGTCCTCTGATTGGTTAGTGTACCCCGCACTTTACTCTCTACCTATCTATATAAAAAAATCTGAGATTCAGCAGTTGCTGTCATAGCTCAGCTGGGAGAGCGGGTGACTTTCACTCTGGAGGATCCAGGTTCGAGTCTGGCCAAGGAACATAGAGTTGATGTCATATTATTCTTTCCTCGCCAGAGGAAAAGCAGTGGAGGTCAGCCTTTTTCAAGGCTGATGCTGAGGAGGCGTTCCCGCTAAGAGAGAGGTACTCGCTGGAAGAAGCCACCAAGTTCTTCGATGGTGGGCCGGAATTGGATGATTCCACCCACCGTGAGGAAAACTGCAGTGGTGGCAGCTCAACTGCCTCCCAGCTGGGCAGCCTGGCGACAGAAGGGAGGCGAATGAGCGGACGCTCATCCACCCCTGGCCTTCACATGTCGGCGACGCCGTCGCTTACAGTTGTTGGTTGGCTGCTTATGGATCTGCCTGGCATCATCCAGGAGGAAGCTGGTGAGAAGGAACTTCCGGTCCCTCAGCCTGCTCCACCCCCATCGGATGATCTGGCGGGAAGGTATGGCTCCGCTCACTCTCGTTGCCCAGATCCCATCTAGCCTCAGTTCCCGGCGGTGATGACCTACCTCTCTGAGGCAGAAGCAGAGCCAGTGAAGATTAGAGCACCGGTCTCTACCTAGGGCTTCACAGAGGGCTTCACAGACCAGTTTTCCACCTTTTCCCCCTCTAGAGCCAAGCCTCGCTTCAGTTTTCGGCACCAAAATGACCAAGGTCGTTGGACAGAGATCGGCCCATCCCGCCAAACTTGACCAGCTGATAGCAAGGTTCACTGATTGCGCACATCAATGCACTGCTCAGTCAGCTGCAGGGACAAACAACACTGCCTTGCTAGCGTTTGTCATCTCCAGGAAGGTGGAGGAAGCAGAGCTGCCAGAGGAGCTGAAAGGCTTTCTCTGTAAAGCCGCTGACGCGATTATGAATATGTGCGCCACTTCAGTGGTGTGTTCCTCTCGCATCGCTACCTGGCAGACGATGGTCCAGAGGGCAACCTGGCTCCGCCTCTTCCCTCCAAGATTATACAATCTCACAGGGAAATAGTGCAAGCAATTCATAACATAAAATTTAGAAGCTTAGTGGAAGATAATACTTTATGTTAAGGCTTTAGTCTGCATACTGAACAACTCCACTTATATGGATTTATGTCTGGATGAGTAAATTAATCTTTTGCATGTTAGAAAATAAGGTCCAGGTTGCAAAAAATGGTAGTTCCAGTTAAAGATTTTTTGTGATTGAGTCAGAATTTTGGCCTTTAGATTTTTTGTCCTTTGTTTTTTGTCCTCTCCCATCCAGGTCAGTGCAGAGTTTCATAGGATCACGACCCTGAACCTTGAACCAAAGTTCATGTCATCGTTGGACTTGTATTCATCCAAACTCCTGTCCTTGTTTCAAGCCAAGAAAGGTGCTGCTGGACAACGCCACAGGGCACAGTTAAACCTTCTGCTTCAGGTAAGGAAGATTGCATTTTCTAACCACGAAAACGTTCCAACACAGCAATGAAGAGGCCCTCCACTAAAAACGGCTTTTATTAGGTTTCTGTTCAATATTTTAGCTCCACAGGTGTTCTTACCTTGATGGTGGGTGTGAAAACAGGTCAACAACAGAAAAAAATAGTTATGTTTAAGCTAGAAATGGTAAGTCATGTTTTAAATGTGCAAATTTTGCCTCAGTTGAGGCTTCCTGTTTTACAGAGTGGAAATTCCATCAAGAAAATGAGATGTCATCATCGGTTGTCTCACTGACCATCTGGGAGAGGATCTAAGTGCCTTAATCAAAACCTTTGAGGTTGGTGCAATAAATCTATTTTAGGAATATTAGTAGTTTTAGCTTGTGAGATCATAGAAAAGTTTTAAGATAATGTTCTAAAGGAAAAAAAACACTTCAAAGCATACAAAAGAATAGCATTTGCTCAAAGATTTTGGAGCACAGTACCCACATATTATGAGTACCAGTGATGTCATACAAATGAAACTTTTTGTTTCAATGTTTGGAAATATGTGAGCTTAAAACAGTTGTTTCTCTTTTTAAAGGAAAATGCTGATGCTGTCTGTTGAAGAGGCTTTGGCTGAGGAGGTGATGAAGATTTACCTGCTGCAGAATCAAGACAGGTCAGGTGTACCTACTGATGTGAGTATTGTTATTGAAGGCGTTACTGTTCTGGGCAAACTTGGGAATCTGAGCAAAGCCTGTTGCTATCTTTTGGGACTGTGCTATGCTCTGGATCTGAAATATCCCAAGAATCTCAAATGCACATTTGAAGAATTTCAAAAAGTGTTCACGGAGCTGGATACAGGAAACCTTTCTGTCAAGGTCCAAAGACTGAAAAATGACCTCTGTTCATTATAGACAAAATTTCACAGGGCTGTTCTTAAAGTGTTAGACTTGTTAAGTGACATGTAATGCTCATTAAAAGGTTCAGTTGCAGCATTACATAGTGTTGACATTCCTGTTCATAAATAATGTTTGTACCAAAAACTGTGTTTTGTATTAACTTTCCAGATTCACATTAAGGTGTAAATGGGAGAGTATCTTCTGTATGTCTTTTTTTTGTTTGTTTTTGTTTTTTTTAGCGCAATCCTTTTTGAAACCTTTTTATTTAAATTATGGTTGTTATTTTTTTGGTCACTCTTTAGTTATAATCTTCCCAATTTTTTGGAATCAAAATAAGATGTTCAAAAACTGTAACAGTGCAAATGTTTGTTTTTTTTCAGGATTTATATTTTTTTGGGATCTTAATTTTATTTTTGTCATTTGACCTTTTCTGAAAAGGTAAAGCACTGCATTCACTTGAGCCACTTTTATTCTTTGTATGGCAGGTACATTTTTCTTGTTGTTAGCATCAATATGCCAGTTTTACAGAGTTTTATCAAGCATGCCAATTTGGATGCAATTTTATTATATAAGACTGTTGTGGCTGAAATTTTATCCAAGTTTTATCCACTGAATGTAGAACAGATTTCAGCTCACTGTGTTCAGAGGAGGAATCTGCTAAATGTGTGATTCACAAAAAAGCTGGTTAAAATAAAACAATGTTGAACTGACATGGTTCTTTTTTCCTGTGTGTGTGTGTGTGTGTGTGTGTGTGTGTGTGTGTGTGTGTGTGTGTGTGTGTGTGTGTGTGTGTGTGTGTGTGTGTGTGTGTGTGTGTGTGTGTGTGTGTGTGTGTGTGTGTATAAACACTTAATTCTAATTAACGTTTTTGCTTAAGTTAACTTTAAAATATTAAGTAAATTGAACCATTATTTAAAAACAAGTACTTGTAATGGTGTAGGTTATATGTGCCAAGCATTTCAGCATTTCCTAATTAATATTTTACGTAGTTTGAACTTTTGGTTACTGTTGTTTTAACGTACATTTTCAATTGTATTTACTCAATTTTGAATGTTACTGTAACGTCTTTAATTGTTCATAACAACTTATTCCATTTTAGTTGGATTTAATCTATTAAATAGGTGTATTTAAGAGATGTGATTGTTTTTGCATTTACTTATTATTGTTGAGTGTAAAAGTGTTGCACCAAAATATTTAAGTAATTATCAGTTTTAGTTCTTAGAGTGTGTAGAGCGGGTTGTCTAGTAATCGGAAGGTTGCAGGTTCCATCCCGGCTCCCGCTAGAGAATGCTGCTGTTGTGTCATTGCCTGCTGGTGGTGGTCGGAGAGACCGGTGGCGCCAGCGCTCAGCTGTCTCACTACCATCAGTGTGGCCCAGGTCAGCTGTGGCTGCATTGTAGCTCATCCCCTCCAGCATGTGAATGTGTGAATGACTGATGATTGTGTTGTGAAGCACCGGGGGGGGACCCTAAGAAGGCATTGTACAAATACAGGCCATTTACCTTTTACACACATTAAACACACACATCCTGATTAGATTACACTCCTGCTGTTTCTAGCAGGCTTCAGGTCTATCAATGCAAAATAATAAGCTGAGCACTGAACTAGCTTTATGATTAGGATTTCAAGGCCAGTGCCACCTGAATGAACAGAGAATATGAGAAAGAGGATTATACAGTATATGAAACATGAGAGTCAATCTGACAATTATACCCAAATTAAATGGCAGAACGAAGCTATCAGACACCATCTAATTAAGTTTGTGGTTCACAGTAATTACCAGCATCTGACAATTCACCCTGAAACATACTATTTCAGACTCTAAATGAACATAAAAAAAGGTTTTGTGTGATTTTTAATTGTTTTTAACGAATAATTATACCTAAGTGTTAATGTCAGTTAAAAGTCACCATTTATGTCCTTATTTAGTTTGATATTTCGACAGACTAACAAAAGACGAGTGATTTGTGTAGAAATGCTCTTTTGTGTTTCAAGTGCACCACATGAGCCATCACTTTGGTATTTTCAGACCATGTTTTCTTATTAATTCATCTTAAAATGCAGCAAACTAAGCAAAATGCTCAAACTGCAGAAACAAGATCAAATGCAAACAAATAATGGTGATATAAATATTTCAATGAATTGAATTTTTTACCCTCTTTAGATACATTGCTTAGGTTTGTATGGAAGTGAGATGTTTCCACTGCGTAGCTCTCACGCGTTTTATTCACTTTGAGCTGAAGCGTGACAGTTGTTAACATAAAATGGCTTAGTAAATTTGTAGCAAATACACATGTATGACATCAGAGGAGAATTCCAGATTTGAAGCAGAAACTAAACCAGCACCACCTTGTGGCTGATTTCAGTACATGTTTTCAGTTCCTCCACCCACAAAACAGCTTTTCAGAATAAAAATAAACCTTAGCTTTACTTTGCCAGGGCCTGGATTGCTGATTCTTGTCATTCATTCCTTACAGTCGATTTTAATACAACAGGGTGTCATGGCTCCACTGTTCAACAGCAAAGATAAACACGATTAATGGCTACAGGTCAACTCTTCTGAGTGCTCTGTGAGGCTAAAGCAGTTTAGTTCCAGAGTTGAACATAATTAGCAAGAGGATAATGTAGTTGGGATGCACAAGTTTTTCATTATCAGTATCAAATAACTCTTCAGTGAGTCGCATGTAGCAAAAACATTAGTACACAAAAAGCTGTGTAGCCACGTTCCTTACTGTGAAGGTTTGAGTCACCAACATGACAAAAGACCCTTTTCAGCTCCCCCAACAAAAGCTCATTCATGGCTGAAGCTGCACATCTGTGTCCACAAGACTTAGGTTGAGCAATGTGATATACAATGCGGTGAAACGGAGAACGTGATAAGACCTTGTTTGGATTCGTGTTGTTGTCCAACTCAACTTTAGTGCCTCCTGTACGACCCCAGCTGTAGCCAGGATTCCCAGAGGATAATCACAATACACACACTTCATGCAGATTAATGGCACACACACACACACACACACACACACTGGGTGTAATTTAAAGCTGCAATGGCAAATCTGCCAAACCAGCTAGCTTTTAAACACAGGGGGTGTTTCTCAGTGACAAGGAACCTCGCCTTGATGTCTTGGCCCCGCCCCAGTTGCCTTGGAGATACGTCATCAGGAGCCGCCAAGACGTGCTCCAGTGTTCATGTTCTACCGAGGCGTGTGTTCTCCGTTTTTTAGCTGTTTAGCTAGCTGAGCAAGGATACACGGGAGTTGTAGCCTTGGTCAAAAATTACCCAGAATACACTGCAGTATTTTCAAAAGGACGACGGATCAAAACCAAGCAGCTACTTCAGGGGCAAATTTGAAGTTTAAAAGTAAGTCAACTAATTTAAAAGGTTTTTTAAGATCCAAAGAAATTTTCTATGGTTGGTTGCTTAGTAGTTGCAGCTTTGGTGGCTAGCAGGTATCACTTATATATTTAATTTAACAAATATGTACACAATTTGATCAGTAAAAGGCTAGTTATATATTTATATTGAAACTAATACGTATAAAATATAACATTATCTCCCATGTCACGTGACGTTACGTGACCGACGTGGAAGCCATGGTCACGTGATCTAAGACTGCTCCATTTAACCGTTTTCTTTGACCAAGGAAGGACAGTGTCCTTGTAAGTAAGGCACCTGGTCTCGCAAGGCCAGGCGCCTTGACATTGAGAAACACCCACAGTTTCAGAACTCTCACCCCTCCCGTCAGCCATTTTACCTAGGCCACATTCCCCTGATACCGAAACTTACATTTCCAAAGGATACAAGAGAATGCTGAACACCAGTCACCATTTTATAGGTCCAAACGTCTTTTTTTGTCCGTGACTTCTAATGGTGTTTTTCTTTTTGGTACTCTGGTCGTTTGTACTAAAGTTAAAGTGGTAACAGCCAGCTGTTTCTCCTCTAAAATTATTGAGTGTTGAATCTCTCACAATAGTGGTGTTTTGTTACAAAATGCGCGAATGTGTAATGAGTGGAGGACCCAGGGAAGTGCGAAAGTGTGGTGGTTTGGTGAGACAGACAACCGGATGGCCCAGTTGTTGGTTTTTGGCCAAGCCGTGTTATTGGCTGAGGATTTTAAACAGAGACGAGAGAACCACTTCATTATCATATTTTTTGTCATGTTTTTTTTTTATCTCCACAGTGTATTTATAGTTATACTATGTAAAAACATTGTTAAAAGGCACAAAAAACTCTTTCTCAGTTTTGACGATGTAGCTTTAATTTGTGGCCAGACTTCACCAGAATAACGCTTTCGTCTGACTTGTTTATGTCTTTGCTGCATTGCGCAATACCCCTTAACCCACTGAAAGGATGTTAATGAAGATCTCAGAGAGCAGCTGTTGGAATCACAGCTGATTAACCTATCAAGTCACCCTAATTAAAGATGGTCGCCATGGCGGGCCTAAAAACATGACAGTTTAAAAGATCTGTGTGGTATTTCCAGTGCTAACGGATTGAATGAGATTTTGATTTATTGCGTAAGATTGTGGAATTTATGCTATTTCATTATTTGTCAAGATAACATGACCTCAGTTTAAATGCTATGCCTTTATTTTGTTTATTCATCCTGTAAATCTGTGTTTAAGAGTGAAACACAAGAAGAAACACCTCAGGAAGAAGCCTTGAAATGTATTGCGTAATCAAATATTGTTTCAAACAAGAAGTGTTTGTGATTTTTTTTATTTTTTTGCTACAATTATTGATTCTAAAAACAGTGTCCTTTGACACTGACCTGGCATCAGCTGGTGCAGACAAATGAGTGGAGTCACAAGTCCATATCTGTCAGACCCTGACATTATTCTGACCACTAAGAAGGGAAAAAAAAGGCCTGCAAACACAAATGTACACAACTTCTGTCCAAACAAGCTGCCTCGCGTCTAACTTGTAACCTCAAAGCAAATGTTGTTGGGAGCAGCAGCTGTGATCGGCTCTGTTAGCACATCTGGCAAGTACTGATTAGGTACCTGCTCACATTTACACAAAACACACACACCGTGAAGCCTTTAATGGACAGTGGTAGTGAGGTAATTCTGCACATTTTTAATTACTACCTAAACTGAATGTTGCGCCTGGAGATTTGCTCAGAATAATTTAAAATGTGCATTTGATTCATCAGAAGCCACTGAGTGACACGTGTGAAGATGAGGTAACAAGCATGCTTACAGGGTGAGGGTTAAAAACATACATTTTTCAAGTTTCATGAGTGAAACCTTTCTGTTGATTTATCATTTTAGTGGAGGCAAGCAGCATCCATCAGCTGAGGAGACGAGGATGAGTGAATATCAGTGATGCTGTTTGTCTTTCAACCTCCAGAAAATCCTTGGAAAGACGCTCAAATACACAAAAGCACATAAACAGTAAAATAAATCAATGAGTGTGGCTCCTTCTGCCAGACATCCACACTGTAATTACTGTGTCAGTGTTATTAACAAGAAGCCTCTGGAAACTTTAATATCTTTCGTTATGGGAGATCCTTCCAGATTGATCCAGGAGACCATACACGTGTGCACACACAAAACCGGAAGGGAGATGCTAGAAATCTCTTAAAAACACATTTATTTATGAATGAAACGAGCAAACCAGGAGCCACACACACACGTGTGTTCAATCTGGTGTGATCTTAAATGTAAATTTCCTCTAAATGCTTCATTTACATTCCAAACACCATTCCCATCTTGAAATGGTGGGAACTCTGTCCGCCACAGACACACACACACATTCACCCATCATCCTGCACACACAGATTCCTGAATCACTCACCTCCTCCTGAGGAGTTGGTGGCTGAGGAATTGCCACAACCCATTTTGCATCGATGGAGCCACTGTCCAGGCAGAGCCGAGGCACCTAGTGAGGGGAGCGATGAGGACGAAGGCAAGGAGACCCACGACACACGGGGGGGGTGGGGGTGGGGGGTGGGTGGGGGGAGTGAGGGAGAAGAAAAGAACTTAAGAGGAGGAAGGTCAAAGAGAAGCCTGACAGGGATCTCCCCCTCTCCTCTCTGTTTGGTCGTGTATCACCCTTCCCTGTGTCGCGTCCTGTGTCTATCCACTCTGAGAGGCAGTGGGGAGCTGATTGTGGGATTGAGAGGTTTTTTAGACACACACGCACGCACACACACACGCTAAGATGGAGAGAATGACAGAGACGAGGGAGAGGGGGGAGAAGATAGAAAGATGCTTTGCCCTCACATGATTTGCTCTTTTTTTCCACCCTGACATGGTTGCCCGGGCAACCGGGGTAAAGAAGGCTGAGGGTGGAGTGTGCGTTAACCAATCACGAGCTTCCTTTTTACATAAAGGTGTGAAAAATGGACATGTTTAGGAGCGTGGATAAACCAGAGTGTGAAAAACTCCTTATTTGCTTTGATTTGGTCAAACAGGAAGAACCTTTGTGACCAGCGTTCACTCATGACACAAGCTGACCTCTTGGTGCTCTGGGAATTTACAAAAACAAACAAATGCTGAGCATTCCTTGAACAAAAACTCAAGAACCATTCGCTGGTCCCTTTATGTGTCTCACAGGTTCTGGTTGTTTCTCTGGTCTTTGTTTCAGTCACAACTCGTCTCTAAGGGACCGAGAGGAAGGAATTTGGGGATTAACTAGTGTGTGTTTTATCTAAATCAATGTCAATGTTTTAATTGACAAATGTTTGGTTGAAGTAAAACATAATCAGAGATCATCTCTTTATTTCTTAGCAATAATAACGCTTTTCATACAATTATATTTAAATAAAATCAGCTTTATTATTATTACTGTTTGGAAATTTTGATTTTGTACCTAAAGTTTAGGCACAGAGCTCCATCTGTGTCCAAAGGAAAATGCAAAGTGTGTTTAATTTTACCATTTTAGGGAAAGCAAGCTGCCGATCCCATCTATTAGTTTAAATTTAGCTACTGTTAGCAGAGGCATGCTGGGTGTTCTCCCTCCCTGGGTGTGACCAAATGATTCACTTAGAATTACCAAGATCAGCACAACAACATAGTTTTACCATGACGCAAACCAGCATGGCAACAGGCTTGTTCTCTCTATGAAAACTGGAAGAATTTTAATGGGAATTCTATGGCAGTGGCAATTATGTCCTGTTGTTATAGCAACAACACTGGTGACAGATCTAGAGATGGTTGGGGTAATCAAGCAGTGGAGGTGCAGAATTTGGACCTGTGAAGATTCATTATTGTGTTGTTATTTTTATTTTGTTCTGCATGCACAACGCTTTGTTAGCATGGTTGGTTAATAAAGCTAGTCTGGTGTTCTGCTGAGCTGCGGCGGCCCCAGGGGGCCATCGGCTGGCACACTGCTGCTTACCGCATAACATTCTCCTTCTCCTGATAATAATAATTTACTTTAACATAATGCATGCTAGTCCTAGTTCACCATTTATTTTAGATAGGATAAAAACAACAAAGTGTATCTTACTAAATACAATATCCACTAATAAACCACAATGTAACTGGTGTTTTGGTGTTGTGTGTGTGTGTGTGTGTGTGTGTGTGTGTGTGTGTGTGTGTGTGTGTGTGTGTGTGTGTGTGTGTGTGTGTGTGTGTGTGTGTGTGTGTGTGTGTGTGTGTGTGTGTGTGTGTGTTGGATGGCTGCTTATACTGAGCCAGGATCCTCTGGAGGTTTCTTCCTGTTAAAGGGAGTTTTCCTCTCCACTGTCGCTGTATGCTTGCTTGGTATGAGGATTGCTGTAAAGACATTGATACTAGTCAGTGACTTGATGCAACCTGCTGGGTTCCTTTTATAGGAAACTTTTGACTGACTGGCTTAATGAACTGACCTGTATTGGAATGTTTACTGTGTGAAGTGCCTTGAGGTGACTTTTGTCATGATTTGGTGCTATATAAATAAACTGAACTGAAAATTGAATTGAGTCTATAACAGTCTATTTGCTGCTTGTGACCATTGACTCATGCTGCTATGTCCTCCATCCACCACATGCAGAACTGCATCTTCCACACCTCATTGTTAAGCTGGCTTGTCTTAACACATGAAAACATGACTTTAAAGTCAACTTTTACCAAAACTAAATGTTCACATTTGTCACTTTCCTCTCTCTTATATGACACAACACAAATGCAAGAATAAACTTTTATGTATCCTGATGTTTTGAGTTTGACATTTGTGGGTTTGATTGTGTGGACATCAAATAAAAAAGCTGGTTTTTCTATTTTAAACCCCCTTCAGGTGATAAAGCACACTTTCTCATGTGTGCAACTAAAAATAACCCAAAAAAATGTGTTTGGTCCATTTGGCACAATTTCAAGAAAGACAATGATACTGTGATAAGTGAATGTGAATTAAAAAGCCTGTAATGATTAGAAGTAACAGCATTACAGCCAATGTTCTGCCAGCAAAGCTGATTTGATTTTCTCACTTTTATTTCATCTTGAACTAAATGGTTATACACGCTTTGCCCTTGATCGTGTGCTTTTCTGCCTAACAGGCCAGTTGTACTCAAAAATGGAATTGGATTTTTTTTTTTTTTTTTTTTTTTTTTTTGCAGTTACAGAGTTGTCTGCACAAGTGGTGCTACAGAATCAGTTCACCACAGAGCAGACAGGCTGCAGTCTTAAGTTAAGAGACAACATTGTTCTTTGCATCATCCTTTGCTGCATTTTTAAAGCTGTTGATATCAGCGTATGTAATTAAGGGGCAGACTTGGTGGTGTCAGCAAATGCAATCCGTTAATTGAAGTAGGGACTGAAATGTGTTGTCTGCACATTAGAGCCACTACCTGGCCAATTAAACAACACGGTTCCCCTGAGATTTAAAGGATGTTTTCATACTCAGGCTGCCTGAGTGCTTGTTGAAAAGGAAATGATTGTTTATGTTATCAAGACGCTGCACAATGAGGCATCACACTGAGTCAATTAGACCATTATTCAAACTTAAATAAATTATTTGTCAACAAAATCAGACATTTTTCCTGCAACAAGGGCAATGCATTTAAGAGGCAAATTATGCAAGCTTTGCCTACTTGAGGTCCTTTATGTCTGATTAGGACATCTAAAAGGTTGAGAACGCATCATCCACCGGTTACTCACAAGCCAAAAATGACCTCTTAGCATTGTGAAGTATCAGAGTCAGCAGAATGACAAAGATCAGCCAAACTCTTACTCAACATGGTGAGTAATGACTTGATGTCCCAGGATTTCTTCTGAGTGTGTGCAGCATTTGCATGAACTGTAGCGGTGATATGAGAGTTTACAGGAAAAACTGATTACATATTAGTGAGGAAATGCAATTACCAAACATGGCCTTTCAACTATGGCCTGTATTTGGTGCCTTGCTGCAAGAGAAAAAAATCTTTTGGTAATGATGGCAATCCCTATACATCTGAAGAATTCTTGAGTAAATATGGTGTTCCTGTTACTCCAGATGAATATGCAAAGGTGTTTACGGCAGTCCCGGCTGGAATATGCATGGCTATATCTCGGCTATATCTCCACCACACACCTATGATGGCAAAAGGTGTTTCTCAACTCCATCCTCAAAAAAGAATAAAAATAATTATACATACCAACATGTCCATTCTTATTGGAATAAATTTGTACCTGATCTATTATGGTAAAATGTCTGGCTCTTACCTAGCCAGTTTCTTACTACAAATAAAGTTAAAGAAGTGTCCTTTAAAATTATACGTAGAACTTGTCCCATTATAACTTTTATAAAGTCCAGTTTCAAGAAGGACGTTGAAGTGAATTGCGGTTTTTGTAACAACTATCCAGAAACTATTGTACATTTGTTTGGGAATTGTCGGTTTTTCAAACTATTTTGGTTGAAAATGTACTGATTTATGTACCAAGATTGATCCAGACTTCAAATTATATTGGAGAGGTGTTGTTTGGGCTCTTCACATATGAGAAAGATATTGGCAATTCTAAATAACACATTATTAATCTTATAATATTGTTAGCTAAATTCCATGCTCACAAGAGTAGGGTCACAAGTAGAATGCCGATTTTTAATAGTTTCTAAGAGGACTTCAGACAATATGCTTCCTCCATCAGAGATTCTACCAATTAAAAAAAAGCCTTAAAACGTTAGCTGGGTGGTCTAGGTTTAAGTTATGGTTCGTTTCATGGAAAAATGTTATGTAAAGCAACATAGTGGTATGTGTCTTCTGTCTGACTATTTTTATGCTATTTGGTCTGTAGGACTGTTTTTACTTCCGCCATTGTGTGTGTTCATGTCATAGGTTCATGTTCATTTTAATATTTTATTTTACTTATTTTTTTATTTGTTTGCTTATATATGTTCATTTGATTCTATTCAATGACCATTTTATTTTGAGTGATGCTTTACATTGTCATTGTTACAAATTTCTCAATATAAGTAGAAAATCTTATTCCGAGGGTTGAAGCTGCAGTTCTTAAAGTGACCACATAGCGTCGCTTTTAACACTAGAGTGGCAGAAATATTTATTATGTCGTCAACTGGTTTCAAAGTTTCTGATTATAAAACAGAAAGACATTTTTAGCACACAATTAAACAAATATAGTGAATATAAACCCATTATTTTTCTGGGATCGTTGTTTGTTTTCTTTCAGTAGCAAGAGCTTTATTTTTGCATGAGCTGGAAAACAGGCGGTGAGGTCAGACTGGGCCCGGCTCCAAGTATGTGCAGTCTATGCTCCAACCCCTTTCTCGCAAGGACTTCTGGGAAATTGAGTCCGCGCTCTCAATAATTCAAGCTCCCGTTCCCTTCTCCTCCACTGCTAACAAGATGCCGGCCATACATCACAAGCTGCTCCTGGAGGATGCCTTGCAGGACAGTCCTCAGGTAGGCCTGCTCGTTTCTGATCGCGTCTCAGAGCCGTATACGCACCTTGACGCTACGAGCGGCGACGTTAGCCTAGCATCGCTACACGGGCTCCTGCTCAGCTTGTGTTTGCACTGCTCGATGACAGCTCTCTGTTTACGAAATGGGGAGACGCCTGCCTGCTGCTAATTACGATTTATTTATAAACAGTTTCCGTATCTGCATGTGTGTCTTTAGTTGCATTTGCAGCAGTAGCTCCGTCATACTAAAGGCTCCTTTGGAGGATTTAAATACATCCAGAGACTTAAGGGCCATAAACTCTGCAGAAATTCCCCTTTTCCTGCACCTTCTGTCTCACCATATAGGAGAGATTTGGAGATGGAGTGTGCACTGGACCCCAGCTAGGCCTGGTTGTTGTGTGGGGAGGATTTCAATCATATGACTGGAATTAGTCACTATTACTCTGCAACAGGACATTAATAACAATGATGTTATTTATTTACTGGTTTAATCTCAGTAAAGGAGGTTAGCCATGATATAAACTAGTTCTAGGCAAAACCCATTTACTGCTCTGTTACATCACTCTAACAAGTAAAGTGCATGCTGGAGGATGTTTCCTTACTAGGAACAGATCTAACATCTGCCTGCTTTAAATGTAAACAGATACAAGAATCCCTTCCTTTTTGGCCGGGAATTGTCTTTTAAAGACCAAAAGGCATTTCCCATAAATAAACAGAGCTAATGCAATGGGTGTGTTGCCTCCTGCTCTATCTGTTCTCCATTGCCACACCTGTTTAAGTGGATCCAGCAGGAACAGGATTTTCTTCGTTTACATATGCAGCCTGCAGTAAAATCCTCGTGCATGCAGTTTCACGTGAACGTTGCACTTTATTATCCAAATGCATATAGAGTTGTTAATATTAACTCTTTCAGCCCCCAACAATCTCGTTATAGGTATTTTGTTTTGTTTTGTTTTTCTAAAGTAACAAATTCAGATAGTTTTTTGTGTTTTTTCTTTGGCCTACAAGTTAAATAAAGTGCATTGGACATAAACATTCATAGACACCAAAATCAGGTGAAAATTCCCAAAATAGTTTTCTGGCACTTGGCAATAAATGCAAAATATTTTGTTCATTTCTGTAACTGGATGGCAAAGAAATAATCCAGTCATAGCTGGAGAACCATTGACATTCCTGTGTTTGTCCCACAGACGCGCTCTCTGCTGAGTGTGTTTGAGGAGGATTCTGGCATGCTGACAGACTACACCAATCAGCTGCTGCAGACGATGCAGCGGGTGTTTGGAGCACAGGTACCAAATAAACCTCTTCCTGCTTTTGGCTGTGAGCTGCTGGGAAACTAACACAGATAAAATACAACATTCATTTGATCAAAAACAATTATTAAAGGGAAACTTTGCAGTTTTGCCTTGCTTTTAGCACCTCCTAATTCTCTGTTGTTAAAACGAAACCGAAGCTCTCCTCCTCGCTTTGTGCTTCTGCTTTTATCACCTTAAAGGGATATTATGCAACTTTTTCATAATTTTAAATTATTGTCTCGAGCCAGTATGAGCTAAAGTAACCCTTTACAGGGTTTATGAAATGTCACTCCCTTCTCTGGCCAGCATATCGCACTTGCACTTGTGGTCCCTGTTGTGGCGGTTGGCACGGACCAGACCCGAATGGGTAACTTTTGTTCAGATCTACATTTTCCAATCTGTCCCAACCCTTTTTTTCAGACCTCCTCCCAGGAGGTCCAGCCAGGGCCCATATGGCCCCACCCGTACATTAGGCACTGATTGGCAAGTAGAAGATTCATGCCTACCTACGGTGATTGGCCTGGCAGAGTGCGTGCACGGACATGAGACAATAGCGCCCTGAACAACATCCGCTCATCTCCATTTGCTAGTGGGTTTTGTACAAGAAGCAAGCAATGTCTTCTAACCCCAAATCAAATATTGTGTGTAGCAATGGAGAGGTCAAAACCTTTCTCTCCTTGCTTAGGACAGATCCAGCGCGAACACAACGGTACTTTAAGAATCGAGCGAGCATTTCAGGAGCTTTCAGCTTAGGTTCCACTTCAGTCCTAGTATTGCGGAACTGACATGCCAGCTCTGCAGTCTGCTTTCAGCACGTTTCCTGCATGTTTTAGATCATGAACACAGCTGATTTGTTGGATTTAGTGATGAATCACTCCTGTGGACACTAATGAAGGCTGAGGAGACTTTTCAGCTGTTAGATTAAGGTGTTAAAAAGACGAACGCACAGCAAGGAGATAGGTTTCACTTTTTGGTTTCATTAACGGACACTAGGGGGTGCCAAAAGCAAGCCAAAACTGCCTCGTATCCCTTTAATCTAACAGCTGAAATGTTTCCTCAGCCTTCATTGGTTTCTACAGGAGCAGTTCATCGCTAAATCAAACAAGTCAGCTGTGTTCACGATCTAAAACATGCAGGAATCCTGTCTCTGAGCTCTCATTATTCAGAAAACGTCCGACGTTGACTTGTTTGACTCATATTGTGGTCAGACGTCCTTTTATTTATTTTTTAACTTCATCAGATAAATGTTTTCTTTTTTCTGCTGAGACCCCACCATGATAAACACATAATAAATGCTAACCAGGTGTAACTAATCTGTTCTAAGGTGTAAACATGGATTGCTCTAAAGTGAGACTTCAGGGCAGCGGTCCAGAGAGGCTGAAGTTGTTAACGGGTATCCTGCTCACAAGGGGCTGAGAGACTTTTCATTAACCCTGTAAAGGGTCATTTTAGCACATACTGGCTCAAGAAAATAATTTTAAAACATGAAAAAGCTGCATAGTATGCCTTTAAAGTTTTCTTTTGAAATGTTTCCATTTCATCTTTTATTTTCTAGTTCTGCTGCAAAACATCATTTAGGATGTTTCAAATGAAGTATACTTTTACTTCTGCCTTTATTCAGAGGAAATCTCATTGAAACACTGACTCAAATGTTTTTCCTTCACTCTATATTTATTGTATTACACACAAAGGAACATGAAGACCGAACCAATGCAATTAACCTTTCCTAACAAGAATGTCTTCCCGTTTTCTCTAGAGTGAAATGGGATTGGCCACGGAGCAGCTCTCAAGGCAACTCCTGGATTACGAGAAGAAAGTAAGTTAGTTTTCTTAATTATAAACAACTTGGTAAACTTTCTAAAGCTCGTGGGTGATGACTCTCATTTTTGTTTAAAGTTACAAATGAGGAGAAATTCGAAAACGGGTAACAACAAAGATCTTTAGGAAGCCTCATACTAGGAAACGTGGCTGGAATTTTATTTTCTTTACTTCAAAGTCACGTGTCTGGTCCAGATTTATTCCAGTAGTTTTGAATTTTTCATCGCTGTGTGCAGAATTTTGCTCTGGGCAAAGGTGATGAAGAAGTAATCGCCACGCTGCAGAACTTCTCAAAAACAGTGGGCGAGGTGAGGCTTCCTGCTTCATGTTTGTTCTGTCATGTGTGTGTGTGTGTGTGTGTGTGTGTGTGTGTGTGTGTGTGTGTGTGTGTGTGTGTGTGTGTGTGTGTGTGTGTGTGTGTGGAGTGGGGTCATTGTCGCTTAACATTCATGGACTCACCCATTTTGGCTCATGACAGGGAAGGCTGTTGTTGGTTTATTGTCCAGGAATCAGCAAAGAATGTCTAACCTAGTAGAAGCTAACTGTTAGCATTAGCAACTCCACCACATGGCAGAACTCCTCCAGGCTTGTGTTATTTGTGGAGTTAAAACATCAATGTTGCAAAGCAAACTGAGTCGGTGGTAGAGCCACGTTGCTGTTGCCAATCAGAAGAGAGATGTACACAAATCAGGAGATAAGATTCCAAAACCTGCCGTGTTCCACAACTCTCTGCTGCAGCAGACTTGTCCACGCTGATCCAGGGGTTTCCCAGCTTTTTTTGCCCCGAGTGCGACTTGCAAGACATTCATTCCTACCAGAGACCGCTGCAAATGTATTGATCAAATGACCGTTCAACACCTTTAAAACAGATGGGCCTGTCTCTGTCAGCCATAGGAGCTCAGGTTCATGCCCAGGTGAACTCTTTTCAAGGATTAAATTCAACTTCTGAACCCAATCTTGTTGACTTGAGCGTTTGCTAATCCCTCCAGGTGAAACTGGATGTCGGCTTGTTGATAAACACGAGGATTAATGGTAGGATTTGCTCCTTTTTAGTGGGACTCTGCTGTTTCAGGTTTTATTATTTTCTTCACAGAACACACACTAACAGTGTGAGCTTATCAGGATAAAGGTGAAGCTCCGTATCTGGGAAATTATTTCCTAGCTTGCTGGCTGAAAATGTTATTGAAAGATAGAAACTCCATCTGCTGTATGACACAAGTTCTTCGCCCATCCATTTACCATCTGTTTGTGTGTTTTTAGCTAAACTCGCTCCACTCCGAGCTAGCCAGCCAGATGGCTGACAGCATGGTGTTTCCCCTTATCCAGTTCAGAGAGAAGGACCTCACAGGTACGACCAGAAAGAATACAGGAAAAACAACTTTCTAGTGTTTAAGACTGATGATGGTGTATTGAATTTTTGCAGAGATTAGCACTTTGAAGGAAATTTTCAGCATCGCCACTGATGGTGAGTTCAGTTTTGTGCTAGTTTAAGTAAGAAATAACAGACAGTAACGTTATTGGATAGTGATGTTATTTTACTTCTGCCTTGCAGAACATGAGGCAGCTATGGTGAAATACAGTCGACTGCCAAAGAAGAAGGAGAATGAGAAGGTAAAGTAAAATGAGAAGTGCTGTTTCAGCTTCTGGGATGGAGGTTTTTCTCTCATCAGCCACAAGCTTTAGGTCAGCAATGCTCCTGTTAATGCAGTTTGAGTGTTTTATAAGCATTTGAGACAACATGATGATAAAATAAACCCCCCTCTGCTGCCTGACTCTTGAAGTGCACAAGTACAGACTTTGCATGAATTCGGCATGGCACCAAGATTTTTAAAATGGACCAAGAAAAAAAAAACCATCTTGTTGCTAATTTGCATGTCAGCAAGCTCGATCCGTTTTTGCATACTATGATGATTGTTTCTGGACACATAGAACGCACATTTGCATGCTCAGCTCTCTTCTGTGTGTGCAGCTGAAGGCTGACCTGGTGAAGGAGGTGGCGTACACCAGGAGGAAGCAGCACCAGGCCTCGCTGCAGTACTACTGCGCCCTCAACGCCCTGCAGTACCGGAAGAGAGTAGCCATGCTGGAACCGATGCTCGGCTACACTCAGGCTCAGGTACAGCAGAACACTAAGCTGACCCGTGTCATTAGAATTTCAATTCAATAAAAGTTACTAATTACTTTGTTAAACTGAGTTACAATATTATCAAAGTAACTAAATACCTTAAAAAATAGCTATTTTGTTACTTTTTTCATAAAAATATGCAGGAAAAATGGAATCCCCTCTTAATAGAACTTACTTCATTTACTATAAATTACCATCCACCCATCCATTTACATTTATTACGACAATACTCAATTATAAATGACTAAATAGACTCAAACAAAATTAAATGTGTCAAATTGTTTATTATAAAAGTGAATATTTGAAATAAATTGGGCTCTTAACTGGAAGAACTAAAACACTAAACATTACATTTATCTAAACTTTTTAAATATTACTATATACGAAACAAGACCCCAATCAACTAAAGTTTATATGCGGGAACCCCCTGGCAATTCTGCTCACCAATCAGAGCCAGCAGGCGTAATTTCTGTTGGCCAATCAGTTTGTAGTGTCACCTAAATCCCAGTCAGATCGCTGGGGAGGTCGTCTGAGAAAAAGTGTCGCCTCGGACTGGAAAATGCAAATCTGACCCGTGTGTGAAACCAAATTCCGGTTCCATACCCGGCCATGCCGACGCTAATGTGTAAGCGTCAATAGAGCATTGTGACTGGCCTGATCTAAAACTGTTTTGGCCAATGGCCGACCAGCTGAGTCTACAGTGGACCATGGCTAGACCAACCTGCAGAGCCAAAGTTCTTGTTACCGCTACGGTTGGTCTGGATGTCTAGACTTGTGTTTTGTATAATTGCAATAAAATTTTAATTGAAAGCAAATATGTGACTAACTACATAGTATAAGATAAATTATTTTATACTAACTAACTAAAACTTACTATTTCCTACATTACAGGCTAGCTTCTTCAAGAAGGGCATTGAGTTGGTGTCAAAGAAGATGGAAAGTTTTCTCAACTCGGTGTCAAAAATGACACAAAAGTAAATCCCTTCTCATTTTAACGTGTGCTGCAGTAGTGATGGTTGGGTTTGTGATCATAAACAGAAACTGTGTTATTTACATAGTTTCCATATTCTCATTGATGTGTTTGTAACAGCGGTCTTCCTGTCTAGTATCCAGGCCCAGTTGGACGTAGAGGCAGAAGCCATGCGTACGTGCCAGAAGGAGCTTCTGTCAATGGATGACACCGTCTACATGCCCGATAAGGACACCGAATGTGGCAATCGCACACTCATCCAAAAGGCTGGTTACCTCAACATCAGGAAGTGAGATTGATTACATATTTTACTCATGACCCTCTCTCTCTTCTATTCATTGTGTACCTGTCAGCATGTCAAAAGTGCAATCAATTTCCCTCTGGGATTAATAAAGTATTTTGAACTGAATTTAATTGAATGGAAAATGTCTAAATAACCAAATACATCTAAATGATTCAGCGTTTTGTAAAACCTACTCAAAATCTGCATAAACATGAGCAAAGAAGAAGGATATTTGTGTCAAAGGAGATAAGGTGGGTCAGACAACATGATGACAGCATGCTCTGTCAGCCTATTGCAGGGTGGATGGATGAGGAGGGAAACTTCCACAACAGCTTGAGGGGATGAAACTGCAGCGTTCCACGTGTGGTGATGTAGTGGAATAAGAGCTGCCAATACCAATAGTCATTTTTTAAAATCTTTTTTAAATTTCCACAAAAATGTATAGCTCTACTATGTTAGAAGGTTAAGAGGCATGAAAACAAGCTAATGTGTTTTCTAAATTTGCCATTACATTTAATCTAACTGCTGAAATTGACTGGGATAGAATGTTTCTCTTTGGACAGTTTAATTAAAAACCGTCAGGTGGTTCATGACCTAATTAGTCCACACCACAAACAGAGACTTTCCCTTTGCCAGATGATGAGTCAGATATTTGTGTTTTCATGAGTGGAAAAATGAAAATAATTTGTCAGATTCATTGTTTCACGAGTTTGAACAGAGCACATCTGAAACCTTCAGTGGAAAACAAAACCTTAATGATCAACCAGTGCATTTTATTATTAAAAGGACTCACTCTATTCTCCTGCCATCACAGTAAAACAGGTCTGGTGACCACCGCCTGGGACCGGCTGTACTTCTTTACCCAGGGGGGGAACCTGATGTGTCAGCCTCGGGGGGCCGTGGCAGGCGGCATGGTGCTGGACCTGGACAACAGCTCCGTCATGGCTGTGGAGTGTGAGGACAGACGCTACTGTTTCCAGATAACCTCCCCTTCAGGAAAAACGTAAACAAACACACACACACACACACACACACACACACACACACACACAAGTGGCTGAATTGGTTTGAGTTCATTCTCCTTGTTTTCTTTGTTTACTCCAAGTTCAATGATTCTGCAGGCTGAGAGCAAGAAGGAGTATGAGGAGGTTAGTTTGAGAGAGGGTGTTTAAACCCAGAATGTTCTTTTGTTTTCTCTCTGACGCATTTTATTGGGCCATCATAGCAGCTATTACAAGGGTTGTTATGTCAGGGTGAATCGGGCCAGAACCGATAACGACCTAATGTGGATCCTTGTGTTCCCCTCTCAGTGGATTTGCACGGTTAACAACATTTCCAGACAGATCTACCTGACGGACAACCCAGAGGTAAGCTCACGCAGATGCTTTAAAAGTTCGTAATCGATGAGGATAAATATTCTGTGTGTGTGTCCATCCTGTTAGGCTGTGGCCATCCGACTGAACCAAACCGCCATCCAGGCAGTCACCCCCATCACCAGCTTTGAGAAGAGACAGGAAGGCTCTCCCAACCCGGACAGGTTAGACGCACCGAGTTTAATCAGAATAACCTGTCGGTCCGCTAAAGTTTACAAAAACTCATTTATTCATTTACTTTTGGTTGGCAGGCTTTAGCTTTGATTGAGGTTCATGTAAAAATATATCTGCAGCCGATGCACATGAACCTGGCAACATATTTAAAACTGTTGCTGTAAACCCTGGGCATATAATTATAATTTTAAAATGTGATAGATGTGAAAATGGGACAACTCAATAGCTGTGAGCTTTAATCGGCCATTAAAGGTTTAGAAATGAGGTCAGTTTGTTTTAGGATCAAGGATCAGCCATAAAAGCTACTTCTGCTCTTTTCCCATGAAGAAAGTTACCTTTGCAGAGCTGCTAATCACACCCGTCTGTCTCATCCTGTCTGACTGTTAGCTAACGGTCTGCACTTACTAGTATTACGACCAGCTAGGTTATGGTACAAGGCTGATAAATGCTGGCTGACCTTGCCTTATGATGGCTTTACTAGTTCCAGCTTTATCTTCACAAATCTTTTGAAATATTTATTTAGAAAAATCTAAATTCTTTGCTTTTTGCATACCTCACTGGTGCAGACCGGGAATTTGGAGAGGTTCCTCTATTGGTGGGCCTGCCTGATGCCCTCAAACAGGTTTGGATATAGAAACTGTATTATCACAGGCGTTGTATCAGGCAATAAAGGAAATTTTAATCACATATTTGAATAACAAAGAATCAACTCAAACTAGACTTTCTACAGTGGTCATGAAAATTAATAATATTTATTTACATGTTTTTTTGGGATCAAAACTACAAAAAGCTACATGTGGCCACCCCCCAGCTTAGGATAATCATCAGTGACACTGAATTGTTAATTTATTGAAATAAAATTATTTGAATCTTCCATAATTGCAATACCAAAATGTACAATACCAGTATTTCGAGGAGCTGCCTGAACTGTAATTAATCACAGGTGTTAGCTAGAGCCTGGGTTCAGATGTTATTATTTACAATGCTGAAAGCATGCCAATAAGAACGAGTGATTAAATATTCATATTTTCTCTCATTTCCTCGTCAGATTTCCCAAAAACGTTTCATAATCAGATCAAGCTAACAGACTGGTTAACGTGGGATTAGGTTATGGGAAATAATCCATGCATCATATTAAACATGTGCTGACTTAGAAGAAACTGTGTGGGTAAAAGTTTAGGCTTATCTCCTTTTTCATTCCATTGCCATTTTCCTTCATCCTTGGCTTATTAATCATCCGTTTGGGGAATTAGTGACATCACATTTTAGGAAGAGTGCTTTTGTTCTCACATGTCAATTATATCTATTACTAGTTCCCCTCTTAAATAAACTGCAGTGGGAGACCAAGAATACAATCATAACACAGCTTTTTATGACCTCATTTTCTCTGGAGAATGATGGACTTCCTCCTCAGTCAGAAGTAGATTAGGACTCCGTCGTTTCAGGAGCAGATCTGAAGGACTGTTTTACATTTTCTGTGGCTGCTTTTGAGCAGCTTCATTATTTCCTGGAGCTCATACTCGTTCTGCCTCTTGTCCCTGCAGAGCAAAGCCAGGAGGTGCCCACGCCACTCGCAGCGATTCCCAGAAATCTGGTTCTGCTCCGGAACCGGAGGACCTGATAGCTCCTGGGACGCCAATTCAGTTCGACATCATGCTGCCCGCGTCTGAGTTTCAGGACCAGAACAGAGCTGGGGGGAGGTGAGGCAGGAAGTGTGTGTGTGTGTGTGTGTGTGTGTGTGTGTGTGTGTGTGTGTGTGTGTGTGTGTGTGTGTGTGTGTGTGAGGTGAGGCAGGAAGTGTGTGTGTGTGTGTGTGTGTGTGTGTGTGTGTGTGTGTGTGTGTGTGTGTGTGTGTGTGTGTGTGTGTGTGTGTGTGTGTGTGTGTGTGTGTGTGTGTGTGTGTGTGTGTTGTTAGAAACAGGCACAGATGAGGTACCGGTAGATGATGATGATGATCTACTAAATGCTGACCACAATGAGTGTATTACACAATTTCCAGGAAGCTGAGTTCCTCCTAATAGGCAGCACAGGAGGTTTATTCTGGTTTGTTTTTTTTCTGATGCGTGTCCCTGCATCCTTTCAGGCGCACAAATCCGTTTGGAGAAACAGATGGTACAACAGAAAGCGATGGTACCCATTTTAGTTCTCCAGAATTCTTCCTAACGCTCCATTCTGTTCAGTTGCCCCCGCGTGTTTTTAACCCTGTTGGTGTTTGTACGCTTCTGCAGACTCCCTCCTGCAGCAGGTATTCGCCGTGCGTTTCCTGGGCTCCATGGCCGTCCGGTGTGGGGACAATCAGGAGGTGATCTACGAAGCCATGAGGCAGGTGCTGGCTGCCCGCGCCATCCATAACATCTTTAAGACCACCGAGTCTCACCTCCTGGTCACCAGCAGCAGCATCAGGTGAGACTAGAGAGGTGCAACAGGTTTCCTCTGCTAAGAAGCAGAAATGCATTTCCCTGCAGTGATTTAAAACTAAAAGCACAAATCAAGGAATCAGGTGTGAATTACTTTTGCAGAGAAAAATATGTTGTCCTGTGTCTTTTAGCAGTTTTAGACTTGTTGCCTAGTAACAAGACAGCTATGATTTCTGTTATTCTGGAGCCATTTATAGCTACAAGATATTGCAATATTGACCCCCAAAAATGTCTTTATAATTATATTAACTTAAAAATAGCTACCAAGCCTTTAATTCTACATGATCGATCATAACCTGAAAGCATTACATACCAGACTTACCTGTGCAAATTAGCTTAATAACAAGAAATTCCTCTTTTCCTTCACAGGCTGATAGAACCACAAACTCAAGTCACAAGAATAAGTGTAAGTGGGACTAAAAACAAAGTGGATCAGTGTTTTTTTTTGTTGTTGTTGTTGCTGTTGTCTGAATCATCCATGTTAATCTCAGTTCCAGCTGGAAGAGGTGTGTCAGTTTGCAGCTCACCAAGAGAACGGGAGGCTGATGGGCTTCGTAGTTGAAGGGAGAGACTGGAGTGACGGGAACGAGGAGGGAGAACCGTCGTTTAGCACCTTCGTCTTTGAGAGCAACACAGAGGGTGAAAAGGTCGGATTACCCATATTTATTGTTTCTTCACAAGGATGTGAACGTGTTTATTTGATGCTCAAACCACAAAATCCTGCCTTCATTCACAGATATGTTACACCATAAACTTGGCAAAGGAGATTACAGAAGCTAAGAAGGTAAACACAAACAGGGACGACTTGTACTTTCGCACCTGAAATCTAAACTACTGATGCTTACTTAGAACAATTAAATATATGTCCATCATAAATACTGAAAGCATCAGTCTCTGTGTGTAATATTAGTTAAACATATTTTCTGTAAGAATGTATGCTATAAGCTAATTGAATTAAGACAGCCTAATGTAAAAATAAAGTTCTGCAGAGAAAATAAATCAGAAATTTGAGCACATTTATATCACCTTTTTCACAGTTGAATCCATGTATTTTTCTATGTTTTGTTTATAATTGACATCGTGGGATTTTTTTTACATTGCTAAAAGTGATTAGAGCATCCATTTGCCTCTGAAAATTTTAATCTGCATTAATATCATGTTATTACTCTCTTATGGAATCCATTCTACTCATTAAAGCACACTGGGGCCTTTGCACCCTGCTGAGGAATAAAAATCTTAAAAAAGTTTCAGAGGTTTTTGCAGCCGTCTCACGGTGTTAATGTCGTCCACACAACAAGGAATATTGAAGTACTCAAATTTGTTCAAAATAAAACTAAGCCACTGTTATTACTTTTACAGTTATCTGTTTTAAGAGTAATTTAAAGTCATGCTTGTTGTTCTATAATGTTATAGCCGATTCTAGATCCTTAGAAAATGATGCGATTGAGTCAGAGCGTCCCTAGAATAAATAATTACTGGTTTATGTTTATGTATTTAGCAGACGCTTTTGTCCAAAGCGACTTATAAGTGATAATCGGCATGTTGCCCTGAGGCTAACAACAACAATAACAACAACAACTTGACATCAGTCATGGAGAGGAGGGAACAAGGAGTGGACAGTAGAGAGGGGGGATGGGTGCAGGGTACAGAAAATGCTTAATCATAACCATCCTCATTAAGACAGGACATTTATTACATTTACTGTCATGAAACACATTATTTCTATAATAAATGCAGCTTCATTAATTAGGTTTTAGGCTTAATATTTTCAGCAGTAAATCATTTTCAGCGTCCACTAGAGGGCACCATTTACCTACCAATACCATAAAGACGTTACTAATCTTAAAAAAATGGCATATTAAGAATCTCACAAATTAAGATATTCTAACTCGTAGTTAATGAAGTCCTTTCTTGCTCAGGCGGAGACAATAATTGGGTTTTTTTTTTCCTTAGGACCCAGAAGCTCTGGCCCAGCTAATGAAAAACATGCCTCTGACCAATGATGGCAAGTTCCTGCTGCTTGAGCCTGGGACAGGAGACTCAAACGACGGAGAGGGGCAGGAGGACCTGGAGTCTGAGGCCTAATTTTAACCAATAACAGCAAAGACACTGGTGTAATGCAAGGCTTGTCCTGGATAAAGTTCTCCTCATGACCCTTAGCACTAACTAGTACTGTAACACCAACATGAGAGTGTGGTTTACTTCCATCGACCTGTACGACTAGACCTGGTTAGAGGTGGTTTGACCAAAGTAATGGGAAAAAACACCAGTTTGATTGTTATTTCATTCCAACAACAGCATGGGTCCATCCACATCACAATAGATACCGGTTGTTTATAAGAACCTCAGCCATCCAAGAGGAGGTGGTGAGTGGCTCACCTTCAGTGAGGTTTACATTTATTTTATATAGTTGAAGTGTTTGTATTTGAAGAATGTAATCATCTGGTTACCTTGTATGTGAGGTGTTTATTATTATACTCATGTATTCTTTAATTATTCATGTAGAAAGCATTTATTTCTCATCCACTCTTTGTACCTTTATAAGAACATTAACGGTTTGGTTTGGACAGCACTAATTAAGACAGCAGCGACTGGTCCCCTCATGTTTTAAGCAGCAGCATGAAGTGAAACGTTTCTGCTCTGATTGCGCTTCTCCTCCCACAATCATGTTTTAGAGCTAAAATCTTAGGAATGCTGGTAAAATAAACAAAAGTTGTGCAGGATCTAATCCCACATTACCTGAAGATAATCTGTATGCAAGATCCTTTTGCAAGTTTCCCAAAACAAATCCTGTTTTATTTCCTTCTGAAGTCTGTAAATATGATCTTTTGGCGTGTCTCTATAGTGGTAAATCTGTCCATATGCTACGACTTGCAGCACATGATTAAATGACTCTTCTCTCATTCCCTTTGCAAAAGATTATAGCCTCTTTTTCTTTTTTTAATAATTGAAGAAAATCAAGTCTAATGTGGCTCAGAAATGCACGAAGCAAGGCCAGCTAGGTATTGAGCTACTGGACAAGACATGTTTTGCATAAATGGAAAACTAAAGCAAATTAACTAAAACTCTTCTCTCCTTTTTCTCCTCCTAAAGGCCACATGCAGTGAATGTGACTAATTCGAGGCCATAAAGGTTATTAAATATTACCAGAGTGCTACATCTGTCTTTATCTACAAGCTTTTACAAATATTTAATACATTGTGACTTTATTTTTAAGTTACAATAGTTTCATGGTGGATACCAAACATGTTCATGAAGTTCTTAGCACTAAATTCCTATGACATTAAGTCATTTACCACTGACATTTTCAGTAGCTTCCAGAATGAGCCGTTTCACAGCTGTCGCCTTAAGAAAACTACCTGTTGCTGGACATAACTTTTGTCGCAGTTTGAAAAGAAGCATTTTCTTGGCATCAAAGTGTGCCTTTAAAATGCAGACATGTGCTAAATCCATGGCACATATAAAACGAGATCATAAAAAACTTTTATCCTCTTAGACTACCATTATTTTTATTTTTTTGCAATTGAGAACCCGTAGTACATAAGTAGATGGGCGTGACTTAGGCTCCCTATATGCAAATAAACTTCACTATCCAGGAGGGGCTGGGAGAAGAGCCGCTGCTCCTTCAGCAGCTTTCTCTTGCTAGCGTTCCTTGTTTGTGGTGTTTGTGACATCACAACTGGGGAGTTTTTAAAATGGCTTGTTTCAGTCACATTCCTACTGACAGAAAACGGATAGATTTATTATTTTTTAATGTTCATGTCAAGGTGAGTTTTGCATCTGTGCCTTTTAAGTCAAGCTAAAGTTTTTTCAGTGATGAAGGTTGTGGGGTTTTCTTACTTTAATGGAATGATGAGCTCAAAATTAAAGTGCAGCTTTTCTGTTCACTAAAGGGTTTAAAAATCTATCCACCATTCTTTGGTTGGTGAAGAGCAAACACTTCAGTTTTTGAGCCATGAGCTGGACACCCCAACGATTCTGGTTTACAGAGCGTTTATAATATTAGGGTATCAGTCAGAACTCTGACTTTATGATCAATTTTAAAATTTGTACGTTAGGTAAGGATTTCCATCTTGCAAGATCATCTTCCACTTTCTTTAAAAGTGGGATGTAGTTTAGTTTGGTTAGATCTGCTAACTTGGGAGAGACATTAATTCCCAGGTATGTGATATTCCTTGACTCCAATTGTGTATTAATTAAATTGACAAAAGAGAAATTAATTGGTAGAACTGTGGATTTTAACCAGTTTATAGAGTAATCTGAAACTTTTGAAAAAGAGTTTATCAGTTCTATTGAATGAGAGAGAGACGATTGAGAATTCCGGAGAAAGAGTAAAACATCATCTGCATAAAGACTGATCTTATGTTCTGTAAATCTTGGATTAATTCAACAACAAAGTCCACAATAGAGCTTTTATTCAACAAAACATTTGTATTTACACACAGACACATCCAATTTATATTAGATTTAAATGCCTGTCATTACAACACCTGTGTATGAGAGATGGATTAACACAATTTGATCTCTTAACAGAGTCTTTGTTATTCAAATGTGCAGAAATGACAGCATTCAACACTGATTTAAGTTCATCAAAGCCACGTTTTGTCATAAAGCACAGCAGAGATTGACTTTAAAATATTTTGGTGACACGATAAAATTCTCCTCACATAGAACAGAGCAGCCTGTGTGTTAGGAGTCCTTGTAGTAGTTGTTGAAGTTGATGCGAAGCAGAAAGTCCTCTAAGTGAGGCTGATAGCCTCTGTTCACCAGCTTAGTCACCACTGTGGAAAAAAAGGAGCTGTGAGTTCATCCTTTATCCTCGCTTCAGTAAAGAATTCACACCAGCTAATAGTCGGATGCTAATGATGATGCACTTTAACGCTGATGACAAAACTTCTCTGTCTTCCAAGTCAAAGCTCATAAAAGCCATTGCCTCGCTCATTTATCTGATTAAATTCAAAACAACTTTTCCATTGCAAAGTAAATGGTTTGTATTTGGTATGGTGCCTTCTAGATTCCTGGAACCCCCCCAAGGCACACAATCAGTCATTCACCCATTCACACACACATTCACACCCCAGTGGTAATGAGCTATGATGTAGCCACAGATGCCCCCGGGCACAATGACAGAGGCGAGTCTGATGTACAATGGCGCCACCGGTCCCTCCGAACACCACTAGCAGGCAAGGTGGGTTAAGCGTCTTGCCCAAAGACACTACAGACTGAGCGGGGCTCGAACATGCAACCTTCCGATTACGGGACAAGCACTTAACTCCTGTGCCACCATTGCCCCCACAAAGTATTCCATTACAGCCTTTCTGACTTAAAGTTCATCAATTGAAGCAAAAATCCAGATTATTTTCTCAGAGGACACCATCTAGAGGCAGAAAAACATACTGCACCACAATAGGGCTGCAACAAACGATTATTTGGATAATCGATTAATCGGATGGGGTCTCGACACGATTAATCGATTAATCGGATTACATGGGGAAATTTTTAAAAACTGCTAGGGAAACGTTATTTCTCTCCTTCCTTCACTTTATTTAACACAACATTATTAGAAAACAGTTCAATAGCAGAAAAACAACATGCCATCACCTAAATTGTCTTATAAGGTGTATAGACAGAGACCCTAAGCTACATCTATCTGTGACCTAAAATGCTTGGTCCAAGTTAAACAGCTTAAGGGCAATTCTCATCTGTTTTGTTTGATCTCATCTGTTGACATTTATTTTAAATGTAATTAAACATAGGCTGTGAATTAATCAAAATTGATCACTATTTCCAAAAATGACTGAAAAAATACCAAATAAAACAAAAGTAAATGAATGCCATTCTCCTTGCGATGATGCCCTGGGCAACTGCCATAAAGTCACATCAAGAAATGCTGCTGATCATTCCAATGATCCCAAATAGACTCACATTAGGCCACATGAAAGCAACTGAACCCAAAAATATATTAACCAGTATATAACTGCACTCTCACACAACACGCCTGCAGCAACAGTTAGGACTCCTCCCTCCCTTTTAAAAGCGTTTTTGCTTCCGAGGACATTGTGGTTGTAAAACCACATGCTAGTAGTCTGGCCCCGGTGTGATCAACCAGTTTCTGCGGGAATGTGACGGCGGAACCAGGGCCAGATTAACACTTTGTTGTACCCTGGGCAACAATATTCAAGGGCTCCATCATCACGACCCGAGGATCACCATAATGTGGTCACATACAGAATATTTTACTGTAATATGCAGTAAATATACTCAATACTTGAATGCCTGACAACACGTAACCCGCCCAGAGTAACCTTTGACCCACCTCGTGTGGACTGACCAATGAGGAGAGGGTCTTAACTTGAGGCCCTCTCTTCATTGGTCAGTCTGCATGAGACTGACTCTCAACTGACATTCAGTCGTAGGCAGCAAAGCGTCTCTGTGCAGCGCAAAAGCCCGGGTGGACAGTTTGTTTAATGTAGGGTGATCATATTTCCATTTCCAAACAAGAGGACAGGGGATCTGTGCCTATGACGTCACACTATGGCAACGCCACACAAACCATGTTGGGACCCATTTTTTGTAAGAACTAAATTAATATCAGATTCTGCCAATAAAAGGGCTCTAAAACAATTCATATGTAAATATTTTGCATATTTAATGCAAAATCTCATTTTTATGCTTTAGTGCTGCAACAAGGTTTTATTAATAATAAATTATTATACCTTTTGTTTTACTACAGCATCGGTAAGCTTCCTGTGCACAGATTATTAAGGATGCTTGTTTCAGCTGTGAGATTAGACGATAGGATCAATGATAAAATAAGTTGTCACTCACTCCATGGAAACTTTCAGAGAATCCACAAATAGTGGCTTTCAAATGGTTTTGTTACTTTTTGCAAGTTTAGAAAAGAAGCAGATGAGACAGCGTGTCTGATAATTTAGTTTTTCATCTGATAACATTTGAACATGTCAGTAATGTCTGAGGGGCTTTTATAAACACTGTATAACTAACACTCCTGGAGAGGGCATCAATTACACAGAGGCTTCTGGGGAGCCCAGTTATGGGGGGGGGGGGGGGGGGGGGGGACATTTTGCCTTGGCCCCCAAAATGTCTTGAAACGGCCCTGGGTGTGTGACTGAGTTTTGAAGGTGATCTGAATTGTATCAGATGTATAAATATGACATGTGCATAACTTATTGTTTTTTACTGGTAAAAACGTGTAGTGGAGATAAATCTACCTACATTTTACTTTGTTTTCTTGTTTTTATTTAACTATTTTCCTGTCCTGTCTGTCTCTCATCTTCCTGCATCTCCTCATAATTCTCCAGAAAATCTGTTGCCTGGATTCTTACTTTTTCACCTCATCAGTTACTTTTGAGCAGATCAAAGAGATCTCCTGACCGCAAAGCGGAGAGCGCGTTTTCGATGCTGCGTGAGGTGAAATCACCACAGCACAGGTGATGAGCTCCGCAGCAGAGCGCTTCAGGCACAAATAAGACAGAAAATAGAGAACATGTGCAGACAAGAACGATCGTGTGCTAATTATAGTTTTTTGGTTGCGCCACTTTGAGAATGGACCGTGCGCTGGAAGCAGCTGCCTGGATCGCTGTGCAACAATGCGGAACCGGTTCGCAGCAGCGCAAGTCTGCAGGCTCTCCCTCGCGCTGATCTGCCTGTACCGGCTCTCCCTCACGCTGATCTGCGGCTCTCCCTCGCGCTGATCTGCGGCTCTCCCTCGCGCCGATCTGACTTGCTCTGGTCTGCGCGCAACGGTGGGCGGGAGGGGGGGGGGGGGCGCTTTTGGAAGAGTTGTGCGACACAACGAATCGATGACGCAATTCGTTGCCAACGCTTTTAGTAATCGATTTTCATCGAATTCATCGATTCGTTGTTGCAGCCCTACACCACAAGCCCCTCTCCCTACTTCTGTGTTTACAGATGGAAGCAACGCCTCTTTGTGCACGTGCATCTCTAGCTGGCCAGCAGAGCTTAAACACTGTGTTTTTACAGTTGTTATTCTCGTGTTTGGAGTCTTATTTCCTGATATTGGGACATCTTGCCTCTGATTGGCTAACAGCAACGTAACTCTACCACTGACTCAGTTTGATCCACCAACAACACAAGCCTGGAGCAGTGTCGTGTTGTGGAGTTGCTAATGCTAATGGTTAGCTTCTACTAGCTGGGATATTCTCTGCTGCTTCCAGGACGCTAAACCAACATCAGCCTTCCCCATAAGGAGCCAAGATGGGTGAGTCCATGAATGCAAGTGTTTATTGTGATGTGCACTGGCGTTCCTAATTCAAGTGTTTTCCCATCTATTTTCCATTGGCAGCTAATGCAGGAAATAGGGGTAGCCTAAACGTGAAACTCAGAGTGACTGATCAACTTTCAAAAATAACAAGTAAAAAAACTTTTTCTAAGTGAACTTGCTCTTTAAACGTTAAACAACATCAGCCCTTGTCTCGTAATAACAAGTTTAGTTCCTGCTGAAAGCTAATGCTGCTAAAGCCTTGCCTTTCCGTCAGTGGTCTGTTCAAGTCTGCTCTTACCTTTAAACAGGAAGTGAGAGTAGTACTTGAAGGTGTTGTATGACTGCTGCATGGCAATAAAGCTGGGGTGCACCGCCTCCCCCTGTTGGTTGCCCCAGGGCTGTGCAATCAGCTGCGCCCGAAATTTAAGGATCAAGCTGAAGATGCTGTGGATGATGTTCATCACTGGAGCTGCTTTCTCTGTCAACAGACCCCTGGGGATGAGGACCCCACAGGGAAAAGGTCAAAGTTCAAGTGGAATTAAAGAAAACTTTTCCTACATGCCCCATTATTATAATGCACCCAGTGTGACATTAAGAACCTCTGCTGATTAATTCATCCAGAGACTAAATCATTCATTGGGCTCACCAGATAGTCTCACATCTATCTGGAATTCAAATGAGTGTTATGAGAAGGAGGAGCTGATTTAATGTGAGATCATGGGAGTGAAGTGTGGCAGATAAACAATGTGTCAAACATTTATTTCTCTTCGGTCTCCTGATGGCCAGATTTGATGAAGGACTGAAGGTTTTTGAGGTTTAATGGGCTCAACACATGGGAGGCGACAAACGACCGCGATCAGCGAAATTTGTCGCTGTCGCTTTTATTACCTGACACACGGGAGGCGACCTGTGGCAGCGGCCAGCGGCAAAGCAGTCTACGTGTTCTGTTCCCTGGCGAAATCGAAACATCCGTAGTTTTGTTTGGCTGTGTCAGGTTGGAGGGAATTAAGGTTATTTAAGCGGTTCAGAGTTAATAAAGCGGTAGATATGATGTTTCACAAGGTGCTGCTAGAGTTATGTGAAATCTTACTTCTGATTTTACTATAAAACATAATAATAATCAACTTCTCCTTCATGTTTGCTCGGAGATGTACGGAGCATCCTGTCCGCTCATTGGTCAGTGAATGAAACCTCCGTTGATTGGTCCCCGTCCGAGCGACAGCGATGAAAAGTTGAAAATGTTTCAACTTTCTGGGATCGCGTCGCTGGGTTGCCTGTGCACGACACGTGCACGAGTGCAAAATTTCACACGCATGTTTTTCGCGTTTCGCTTGGTAGGAGAGAGACCCGCGATTATCGCTTTGTCGCGCACGTCTCATTGAAAATGAATGGAGGAGAGGCGATGTTGCCTCCCGTGTGTCAAGCCCATAACACGGTAGACGTTTCACATTCGGGGCGAAGGTTTAGTAGATTTTATTCTGTTCATCATACTGAAACATAAACTGAATGTAACTAAGAAAATTAAAGGAAAACATAAAAACATTTGTGAATGTATGATTATTACCTTACATTATGGTAAAGGGCCTGTATGATATAGCACCTTCTAGAGTCCTAGAACCCCTCCCCAAGAAGCTTTACAACACAATTGGTCATTCACCCATTCACACCCTGGTGGTGAGGGGCTACAATGTAGCCACAGCTGCCCTGGTGCGCACTGACAGGCGAGGCTGCTGAGCACAGGCGCCGCCGGTTCCTCTGAACACCACCAGCAGGTGAGGAGGGTTACGTGTCTTGCCCAAGGACACGACTGTGACAAACTGAGTGGGATTCAATCCCACAACCATCCAGCTATGAAACAGGCACTTAACTCCTCTGCAGTTATAAATTAAAACAGAACAGTTCAACTGTAGATTTTTTGGTGTGGACATTAAAGGATTAAAGACAAACTCTCTTAAGCATTTCTTTTAGGGATAAGTTCCAGCTCTCACCTGAAGATGGCTCTGTTGAGATAGTCGGCGTGTGTGCGGTGTATGGCATCCAGGTCGTTGGCAGTGGCAAGCTTGGCCGTGAACTCAGTCCAGGACACTTGCAGGATCTGGCTGGTGATGTAACCCTGAATGACTTTGACGAAATGCTGCATCTCGTGTCTGTACAGCTGCAGCTGGCGGAACTGCACGGAGCGACCTGCACCTTTCACCAGGGCTGAGGCGCACGGAGAACAGAGACGTTAAAATTAGAGCCGCAGGGCAAAAAGGGGGGAGAAAATGCTAATCACAGCCATGAGATTATGCTTGTATGAACAAAAAAAAAAAGACTTTGGAGCCCTGGAAACAGCTGACAAACTCACATTCTGCTTTATGTTCAATAAAAGTAAAACAATGGGACTTAGTAACAAGATAAACCAGCATAAAGAGATGTAGAGAGATATATTTAGATGTTTTGCTATGCCAAAAACTGTGTTGTATGTAATCATTAAAACTACACTGTAAACTCCCAAGTTCACATCCTTTTAGTTAGTAACTTTTTTCTTCTCCTCTTTATAAGATGCTCGTATAAAGTCTGCACACCGCCGATCGACCTAATCAAGCCCAGTGAAGCGTGATGTTTACAACAATCCCTCTGCCTGGGCCGGTGCTTTGTATAAATAAATCATAAAAGAATTCCAACATTCCCTCCTATGAATGTTTTATGAGCAGCTAAAGCACAACAGGAAGAATCTGATGCTCTGAGGCGAGCTGGAGTCCGAGCCGGGATCAGCTCCCGTTTCCCTCACCTGTCTTCTTGAGGTGGAACCAAACGTCCCTGAGGCTCCACACCATGTGTTTGAGCTGCAGCAGGAATGAAAACAAGCGGTTGTACTTGTTCATGCAGCTGTCCGTGATGATGATATTCAACGGCCAGTCCACCTGAGGGGAAACGCGAAGGGCAGGGAAAGAAGTTAAATAAAAAAAGACGGGGATGTGACGCTGACAGAGCCTGTTGGATTTAAAAAACAGAAAGGTGGAAGGAAAGTTGAGCAAAAAATTAATAAATAAATTAAAAACAGGTAAAAGAAGAGTAATGAATGACGCCAGGCAAGAGGAGAAAGGTGTGAAGCCACAGACGCTGATAAGGAAGGTGAGAGGATTTTGAGGGGAAGGCTGTGTGGTGGCAGACGAGGGGGGAGAAATATGACAACATAAAAAGGCAAAACATGTGAAGCAAGTGTTAAAGATAAGGAGTTCTGGGAATCAGGGAGCAGCAGGAGGTGGAGAGTCAGCAGCTCCAGGAGGGGGAGGTGTGCAGAACGTGAACAGTCTGATGCTGATCTGTTTAAACGTGTGATAAGCTCATCCTCCAAACACACGGCAGTTTGTCAAAACATGGCAGGCTGTCACATTCAAGCTGTCGCTCATGCCGAGACGATGTCAGGGTCCACTCCATCAAAGCTCACACTGCCTCACCTTGTAGCGCAGCTCCAAACAGTTGAGGGAGTCCGGGGCGTGAGGATGGAAGGTTTGCGGGAGGAAGCGGAGGGCGAAGGTGAAGTTGGAGGCTAAAGGCGTGTCCCCGTGCAGGCTGTACTGTAGAGCTTTACTGAGGATAGAGTTGAGCACCAGAGGAGTCAGCAGCTCCCCCGGGGTCTGACCACTGCCCATCTGAGAGGACACACACAGTCCAGACCAATAAACACGTTGTTAGGACTTAAGTGTTTCTCTCACAGAAGCACAACCGGGAGATGATTACGAGATTAGCTTCCTGTGTAGCTGAAGGTGTGCCAATCAGTGAAATTAGTGCTTTGGCTGGATAAACAACACCTTCTGTCTCATGAGCCTCAAGAGGCAGATGTACATGAATGTTTCTGCAGAACAGCACCGAGGTGTTAGAGGAGGCTGTGCTTGTTGTTGGGAGACAGGAAGCTTCAGTCTGGCACTGAGATCCGATTCAGAACACTCACAAGCAGCGACACCACTCCAACTTGCAGTTCTCTGTCGTGTGTGTGTGTGTGAACTTATCTCCATTACTCTTATAAAAAGTATTCACTATATTAATGAACAGGATGCTGCGTTTTCCTTAAAAACACCTGAGGAGCGAACTATCCAGCTATAGAAATGACAGGTTCAAGAATTACACCACATGCAGCCAGAGACAATAAACACCCTCACTAAAGCAGAAATGTAAGAAAAAACATGTTTACTTATTCTTAACTACAGCTTACAAACACTCGATGAGAGGAAATCTCTGATTAGTCACAAGCTAAAAGCAGATGAAGCGGAGATCATACATCACTAAAACTTAAATAAATATCATATTAAAGGGATGCTTTGTAACTTTTTCATATTTTTAAATCATTCTCTTGAGCCAGTATGTGCTAAAATGACCTGTCACAGGCCACTTAGCCCCAATCGCCCCGTGTGGCCAGAATATTCCATTTACAACTTCGCTCTGTTGGAACTTAACATACCTCACACTACAGTCTGGTTCCAGCACATTTCCTGCAATTTAGTGACAAATCACTCCTGCAGACACTAATGAAGACTGAGGAGAAATTTCAGCTGGTAGATTACGGTTAGATTTAGATTAGATTAAAGGCTAGATATAAACCATTGGATTAAAGACTAACGATCAGCGAGGAGATACGTTTTGTTTTTGGTTCTACAAATGGACACTGGGGGGTGCTAAAAGTAAGCCAAAAGTGCCTAGTTCACCTTTAAAGGCCTCTCATATCTTGAAGAAGTTCTAACCCCGCACTGCCTTTCATGTCAAGAATTTAAACTAATATTTTGTGCTGTGGATGTGACTGGCTCTACTACCTCCATCTGTAAAACTGATTAACAGCCATGTTTATGGTTTTTAAGGTCGGCTGGCTGAAGGAACCACCTTGAGTTAACTTCAGAAGTTTATCAGTTGTCTAATAATTACTTTTTAAAGGTTTAATGAAACCCATTCAGTGGTTTATGAGACATTTTTGATAAACACACACACACACACACACACACACACACACACACACACACACACACACACACACACACACACACACACACACACACACACACACACACACACACAGAGAGAGACAAAAGCATCATTGCCTTCCTTTCAACTTGACAGCACAAGGTTTTGTGTGTGGACTAAAATGAATGTCCAAGATCTACCCTGTTGAAGCTACACAGATGCCATCAACACAAAAGAGTCACCTTCTCAAATATCAGATCACTGAGTGACTGTGCAAACTCTCCATCCTCCATCAGCAGGAAGTGGCGCAGGGCCTCGAAGTGTCGTTCCACTCCCAACCCCACAAAGAAGTAGTCCACCGCAGCCTTATTCACCAAAGACACGCTGAGAAGGGAGGAAAGAGAGGAGAACTGAACCTTATTACACATCAACCTTCATTGTTTCCAAGGTATTTTTACAGATGTGTGATTCTGGAAAGGCAGCACCAAACATTTAAGGCTTAATTATCTTAGCATTATTTTAAAATGTGCTTCCCCTGACATTGCATTAGGCTTAATAGAATGGATGAGTCATCAAAAGTTCATATGGGAAAGGTGTAATTCCTCCTCCTGCGGCGCCGCTTCAGACGGACTCACTGTGTGATGAGCGGCGCGGTGACAGAGTGTTTTATCAGTACAGGAAGAGAGACCATCTCACTGAGATGGACAGCTGTGGTGTCTGTGGCTCTGCGGAGTGTGGGGTCCACAGGAAGTCCCCAGGGGCCCCGAGTCACCTGCTTCAGCAGCTGACACTCAGGAGACAGAGCTGTGTGAGAGGGAGAGGCGACAGGCTGAGGAAATGTGGGGAGCTGCTTTACATAACGTCTGCGACAGTAAAACATAGATGTCAAATGCAAGACATGTGAATTTTTAACCTGATTCTGATAAACATAAATCATTTTCTCAAATTTCTTTCTCGGCCAAACAATTTTATTTGACCTGAATCAGCTGGGCTGAAGAAAGCTGCTCTACTTGCTTTGTCCTTCTGGATATTTATAGAAAGCTGCATAAATAATTCTGGTTTCCGACTTTGATCAGCGGATGGGAGATGTGTTCCGCCGTGCAGATGCTGATTGGGTTAGGCATGACGACTCGCTGCATGAATGAACTACAAATAAAGAGTGAAAAGGAAAGAATCCGAGTGTAACGAAGCATGGCACACCCCACCCAACCATAAATCTGGTTTTCATAAACCATTACTGCTTTTGATGGAAAAGGAGAGAGGCTGCAGTGATCATGTAGCACCACAAATCGGTACCCAATCATCTCAGATTTGGCTGAGATTGGGTGGGGTGGGGGGTGTCACTCGCATGCGTCTGTTTCAGCACAGAGAGTTTGGTCAGAGAAAGAAAGCAGATTCAGACGACAGGATTTGGAGTCTTATTTACTGATATTTGGACATCTCGCCTTGCATTGGCCAACAGCAACGTGACTCTACCACTGACTTTGCTTTGCAATTTTGATGTTTTATCACCACAACTATCCCAAGCCTGGAGATGTTCTGCTGTGTGGTGGAGCTGCTAGTGCTAACAGTTAGCTTCTGCTAGTTGAGACATTTGCTGCGGTTTCCCTTGATGCTAAACCAACGGCCGCCTTCCTCGTCATGAGCCAATATGGGCGAGTCTAAGCGACAGGTTGACGAAGAACTGTCGGGCTTTTCAAATCCTAGAGTTTTACCGTCTATTTTATTTCAAATCTAATGCAGGAGATAGGTGTAGGAGACTATTCTGATCTTCAGCCTGCATGAAAAACCAGTCAGTGACCAATAATTTTCAAAAAGAATACGTAAACAATGGTTTCTCAACACTAAAGTGTTTTTAACACTTTAAGCTGTTGCTTTCAAAACTGGGTTCAGTAGTTCTTTAGTTAAAAACTTGAGTAACTTCTCATTGGAAAACACTCTTTAGCCCTCTGCTGACCAGAAACTGCACTTAAGTGTTTTGGGGTTTAGGTAGTAACACTGGTGGGAGGTCTACCTGTTTTACAGTAACAGCTGTTTACGGCGCCTGTGGCTCATATAAAGAACAGCAGTTAGCTTTTCAAATTCGCCAACTGAAAAGAAAGAGAAGCATTTTGCAGGTTTTTTTTGGCATCATGGTAGAACTTGGAAGTAAAAGCAAGAGAGTAATTTATTTTGGAGGGAAAGCAAAGAGCTAAAGCCAGAGTGAACATCGGCACGGCCTACAGTCGTTTGAGGAAGCTGAAGGAGGCTATGAAATCATGGAATGATGGTGACCTGGCTTTGTTGCTACTGGACTAAGTAATCATATTTTTTCTCCAACTGTGTGGATCTCTTTACTTTGTGGCTTATTCAGTATCAGTTGGCTTGTGTTAGCGCTAGCTACAGCAGGCTGCGACACAGTTATTTACAACAGTTTTAATCCCGCTTTGAAACAGTAGAAGGGAGAAGCGTGAAACTTATTATGCCTTAAAGACTTTACTAAAGGGTTAACTACACCCTACTTAACCCTCTTCAACACAGCTGAAGCTACATTACGTTGTTTTCTCTCAGGGATAAATAAAGTTTTCTGGATTTCAATAACAGCCTAAGCCGTTTTATTTGAATATAAAGTAGAACCGGTTCTGAACCGGAACTTAATCTGTAATACTTGTTATCAGGTTCCTACAGGATTTACACACCATGGTATGCAGATTCATTCAAGTTTCATTCATCTTGTGAGAGTCAACACGATAAGGGACCAGTGTGAGCCAGTAGCACATTTTCCACTCACTCATCAAGTTGTAGCAGTCTTCATAATGTTCCACTTGGTACCGAGAGGCTAAAGCCATAAGGTATTCCTGCTCCGACTTCTCCCCAGGAGATAAAACAGAACCAGACATCCAGCATCCAGTCCCTTCAACAAGCTGCTCAGTGGGGCTTCCACACCCTGGAGAAGAATATTGAAAACGTGTTCATCTTTGTAGGTTCAGGAACATCATTTATTTTGAAATTGACATTGACTTTTTAAAGCAATCCAGTTGAAAATTCTTCTACTTTACATTAAAAATATTAGTGACAAATTTCCTTTCACATCAGATTCTTCCTTCAGCTTCATATTTTCCTCTTTAGTCTACAATGTTGTGCCCAACTGTTTAGTACCTTTATTGTCCAAGTCTTTTGTCTTCAGCTGGTGCTTGGAGTCTCTCCCTTTCACCACACACCCAACCCCCAGTGAGGAGTCTGACGAGTGTCCGTAGGCGCTGCCTAGTGAAGCAGCAGGAGGAGCTGCTGTCCCCAACACCACACACCCGACTCCCAGGGTCGAGTCTGACGAGTGGCCGTAGGCGCTGCCTGGCAGCGGTGATGGAAGCTGATCCACTTTGGAGACGACGCATCCGACACCTAAGTTAGAGTCTGATGAATGACCATGGGTGCTGCCGGGTAATGGCGAACGTTTGGGCTCATCTCCTAAAACCACACATCCAACACCTAAGGCTGAATCTGAGGAGTGTCCATAGGAACTTCCAGGCAAAGCGGAGGAGGGTGGCTCTGCTCCTGAAACCACGCAGCCCGGCTGAAGGGAGCAGTCAGAGACATGACCGTGTTTGCTCAGACGAGGTCTTGCTTCACTTACGTTGGACACAAACTCACCTACTGTAATATGAGCATCTGAGGAGTGTCCATGAATACTGGGAGCAGGACGCAGAGACACAAAGTCTGAAGCGTTGTCCCCAACCTTTATATGAGAATCTGAGATGTGGCCATGGACACTGGGTGGCAGCAGAGAAGCTGTTATGTCCGATACGAGCTCCCCAACTTTGATGTGGGCCTCAGAAACGTGGCCGTGGACATTAGGAGTTGGGAGACGAGGGACAAATTCAGAAACATTTTCCCCAATTTTGATGTGAGCATCAGACGAGTGTCTGTGTGTCCTGGAGGACGGTGGAGGAGCACTCGCACCGGAAACATTTTCTCCGATCTTGATGCGTGAGTCTGAGGCATGACCATGAACATCTGGGGAGGGAGCAGCTACCTCTGATACATAATGTCTAGTCTTTATGTGAGCATCTGAGTAATGTCCATGGAAGGAGGACTGACAGACATCAATGACACAAGCAGTGGAGACTGAACTCTTGATGTCTGAGAGAGAAATCCCTTCAGCAGCTTTATCTGGAGCCTCTGAGCTGTGGAGTTGATTGTTTGCCTCTAAAGGTTTTCCGTCATCAGAACAACGTATGAGTGCAGTGTGACCACCTGGATGTTTGTCATCTTCTGTTGCTATGGCAGCCAAGGCACCATCAGCCAGACCTTCTCGAGACATATGTTCTTTGAGTGGATTTAGGTTTTGGATCAGCTCAGGCTGGACTGCAGCCCCCCAACGAGGTCTGGACTGGACCGAGGCTTGGCCAACAATACCTTCAAGTGGACTATAGGGGGCGCTAAAGTCATACTCTACAAGATGTGCAGCAGGGCCGGCTTCAGGCAGGTCAGAACCAATCCCTTCCAGGGCTTTATCCACTTGCTGACTGTCAGGCTTTGGTGATTTAGGGAGAAGGTCACCGATGTCAACGTCCTCAGAGATGAGAGCAGCTTCTGCTGTAGATGAACCCTGTGGGGGGGGCACAGTCTCAGCTGACTGCTCCTCCTGAGGAGGCAAACGACGCAAGCAAGAAGTTGGAATTTGACCACATTTCTAGAAGAATAACTGAGAAAAGTGTAGAATAAAAATATTATTACATGTGTTTGTTGTGCTGCGGGAACAGCTGGTAATACATCGGGGGGTCTCTCCTCGGCTAAAGGGTAATTCTCCAGCATTGTCTGCAAAACAATGCCAAAAGCTTTGATTAAAGCTAATTTAGTCATAAAATATACCAAGTCATGCATCCTTCATCCTAGAAGACAAATTGATTATCTGATGCAGGAAGATCATTTTAATACAACTTAACAGGACAGTGTACATTTTGGCAATCTAGATAGATTTCCTTAGAAAGGTAGGGTAAGACGTTGGCCTTGGCGTAGGATTAGCTGTACAAAGTTTATCAGTCTCATTTTCTGTGTGTGTATTTATCACAAACTTGAATTTTCTGCCTGTCAAGCATGAAGAAGTGGGCCCGGGCTTGGCTGAGTCTCATTCGCTGCACTCTCCATAGGGCCCGTCTCTCCCTGCGAGCTGCGTCCTCTGATAAACGGCTGTACTGAGCGATCAGCTCCTTCCTACGGTTAGAGATAGGAACGAAAAGTAGACGTTGACAAGAGAGTTTAAACACAGCAACATGGAATCCCCAGCAAGCGCGTTAGTACACTAGAATCGGATTTAAATTTAAATGTATTCATTAATTTGATGCTCAGATTTCTCATCAGATTTGTGAATTATTTTATTTCCTGACTCTCCTAAAAACATAAAAGCAAAGACTCCCTTGGGAAGAAGCAGGAAATTATGTGAAGGGGCTGTTTGAAAAGCTGCAGATGGAAGGTACTCTCAGCTTTGGCTCTCTCCGATCCCCAACATGTAGTCAGGCTGAATAATAACAGCTGGCTGCTTGCATGGCAAACTCCCGATAGCATTTGCCCGTGCCGTGGCATCACCAGTACTCCAAATGTACGGAAACGTGGCAGCAGTCCATCAGCTTGCATATGCCATACCTCAAATGATGTCTAGGCACTTTCAGCATATATTGTACATCAAATAAAATCCTAACATGGACTGTCAAGAATTTGTGACTGCAGAAGCTGTCAGACCTGGCTCTCTGCTCCAGCTGCTCCTCCAGGGCTTGTAGTCTCTTCTCTCTGTCTCTCAGCTCTCTGGCAAAGCTGAAGTCGTCCTCCTCCTGCTTCTTCTTGGCTGCGTTTCTCCACTGCTCACAGATACACAAACACACATACATCACTGCCTTAAGCTTAGAAGCTGTGGCACATTTTCTTTAAATCATGACACTGTTTTCTTCTAAAAGTGTACTTGGATTTTTCTTTAGTGGGAGGTTAGCGGGGAGTACATGTGACAGATGAGCAATTGATGCTTAGAACAGAACCACCGAGTGAGATTTAACTATGTTGAGCTGAAAGTCTAAGTTTAGGATGTTATAAAGGATGCAACGGCTAAATTACCATGGTAACGGAGGTAAATGTCTGGAAAAACTAATTTATTCTTTTCTTGCTTATGTCCCAAGTTTAAAATTAGACTGAAACAGTAAAGATAAAGTCGTAATTACACCAGATCATGAAACTTTTTAAATAAACACCAAATTAAAAACTTCATGATCACCCGATAATGATTAAATTTAGTCATGTATAATCTACAAATATAAGCTAAACACATTTATTCAGATACAGAAAGGCCTTATTAATAACAAAGATATAATTAATTTAATTTGACTAGTCTAAACTGAATTATAGTCTAATAAATATTATTTACAGCCAATGGATTCTAATGTAAAGTGAAAAATCAGTTTAATCACACCACTTATTAAATTATTTTTGCATCATTCTGATGAGAGAACAAAAACAAATGTGAAAAATACATTAGTACTCTCATAAAGTCTGTCCTTAACTTTGAGAGGGAGACCAAAGTAATTAAATCCTAATGTAAAGTAAAGACCAAAGTAGTTCAATGCTAAAGTAAAGACCAAAGTAATTAAATACTAATGTAAAGTAAAGACCAAAGTAATTAAATACTAATGTAAAGTAAAGACCAAAGTAATTAAATACTAATGTAAAGTAAAGACCAAAGTAGTTCAATGCTAAAGTAAAGACCAAAGTACTTAAATACTAATGTAAAGTAAAGACCAAAGTAATTAAATACTAATGTAAAGTAAAGACCAAAGTAGTTCAATGCTAAAGTAAAGACCAAAGTAATTAAATACTAATGTAAAGACCAAAGTAGTTCAATACTAAAGTAAAGACCAAAGTAATTAAATACTAATGTAAAGTAAAGACCAAAGTAGTTCAATATTAAAGTAAAGACCAAAGTAATTAAATACTAAAGTAAAGACCAAAGTCATTAAATACTGAAGTAAAGTAAAGACCAAAGTAATTAAATACTAAAGTAAAGGCCAAAGCAGTTCAATACTAAAGTAAAGACCAAAGTAGTTCAATACTAAAGAACAAAGTAATTAAATACTAAAGACCAAAGTCATTAAATACTGAAGTAAAGTAAAGACCAAAATAATTAAATACTAAAGTAAAGGCCAAAGCAGTTCAATACTAAAGTAAAGACCAAAGTAATTAAATACTAAAGTAAAGACCAAAGTAGTTCAATACTAAAGTAAAGACCAAAGTAATTAAATACCAAAGTAAAGACCAAAGTAGGTCAATACTAAAGTAAAGACCAATGTAATTCTATCCTAAAGTAAAGACCAAAGTAATTAAATACTAAAGTAAAGACCAAAGTCATTAAATACTGAAGTAAAGTAAAGACCAAAGTAATTAAATACTAAAGTAAAGGCCAAAGCAGTTCAATACTAAAGTAAAGACCAAAGTAATTAAATACTAAAGTAAAGACCAAAGTAGTTCAATACTAAAGTAAAGACCAAAGTAATTAAATCCCAAAAGTAAAGACCAAAGTAGGTCAATACTAAAGTAAAGGCCAATGTAATTATATCCTAAAATAAAGACCAAAGTAATTAAATACTAAAGTAAAGACCAAAGTAATTACCGTAAATACTAAAGTCAAGTAAAGACCAAAGTAATTAAATACACCTTGTGGTTACAGAAATATACTGTTTAAAGTGTTGTTAAGTAAGTCAACTGTGTCTCACTAACATTTTTTGTTTATTTTAAAAAAATAGCTTGGGTGCAAATTCTCTTTAACAATTAAAATATGATTAATCAAGATTAATTAATTAATAATTTAATTGGATTAACTTTTTTAATTGCGTTCCATGCCTAGATTTTTATGTGAATGAGTTCTGAGACTACAGTTAAATTTCTGACTTTTTCTGATGTACGGAACAAGAGGCCACGGAATATTCATCCGTCCCCTCAGGTATCTTCCCTAAGACGCTTCTGCCGGAACCGCAAACCCGCAATCCTGGAGGAAGAGAGATAGCGCTAAACACCAGTCGCCATTTTCTAGGTCCAAACATCTTTTGTCGTTCATAACTTCAAATGGCGTTTTTATTTTTGGGACTGTTTCTCCTTCTCTGGTATTACTGAGCCACAAACCTCACACACCAGTGGTGTTCTGTTGCTAAATATGCAAGTGCGTAATGAGTGGAGGACCCAGGGAAGTGTGGCAGTTCAGCGAGACCAACAACTGAATGATCCAAAAGGTGCTTTTGGTCCAAAACGTGTTATTGGCAGAGGTTTTGTGACAAATGCAAGCACACCACTTTATTAATATTTCTTGTTTTGTGTGTTTATAGCTATAGTATGTTAGAACATTGTTAAGAGGCATGACATTTTTAGTTTTTTTTTTTAGTTTTCCAAATTTGCCATTTATCTTTAAATCAGAAATGCAGTTTCCAACATCACCATCTAGAGGCGGAAATATGTGTTGTACATCAAACCCCTCTCTCTACTTTCATGACAGTTTTACAGGTATGATGGGGCTCTTCAAGACTGGCTACACTGCATAACAGTACAAGGTAGGACTGTCACTTGTACGGATTTCTAAATACTCACATGCTTTAACAAAAAATTTGAAGTTGCGTCAAACCAGGTTATGCATAAAAACCACGTTGAACTTGCTTCCTGTAAATAAATGACTTTTTGGCATCTGAAACTGCTGAAACTTTATAATTCAAGTCAAACCAAGAATATAACATTTTTATCCACCTTACTTTGGGAAGGAAGACTTGGTTCAACACAGACTGTGTTAAAGTGACTCGGGGCTGTCGACGGTAATATGGAAAACTTAAGTTTTTGAGGAGTGACTTAAATTTGGAAGGCAAACATTGTCTGTTCTCCAGGTGATTCTGTTCTGAGCAGCGGTTAGCTCGACCCATCCATCAGAGATCCTCCTGTCATCTCCACACTGACAGCCATCTGCTGCAGGTAAAACACTGGTAAGTGCTTCACACCGCCCCACTTAAAAAAAATAAATCTCTTAATCTCTCACCATAACACCCACGTCTTACTTCCTCACACGTCTTTTGTGCACATGCTTGCGAACACACACCCTTTATTTTTAATGCTCTTTCACACTTTACCTCTTGCTCCTGTTCCAAGTGCTGTTTCAGTTCCTCAAAGCGCTCCCGTTTCTTGGCCTCCTCAGCCAGACGCAGTGACACCTGGCGCCCTGCAGGAGGTGAGGCAGATATTGGTGGGCTGTTTACCCCATCCACATAAGAGATGCAAGGCAACAACTCCATCTCCTCCTGCTCTAGCACACGCACAACACAAACAACATCGCCATCTGCCTCACAGACAGCCAAAACGTGCATCAGGCCACACGTTCACCAACACGACCTCACATCTTCTGCAGTATGAAATCATGTGAGGAGTTTGCTTAACTGTGTGAGTGATGATTAAATTTCACAGCCTGAAGAAATGGAAGCTATTCTGATCATTCCTCCCTGCAACTGGCCCAAATGCATCTTCTCTGTCTTCCGAAGGGGGAGAAATAAGTTGGATGAGACGAGGAAATGTGATTTGTTTTAAACCATAGGTAGAGTTGGATGGAAGAGGGCATCAGGAACTGTATAATTCTCCTTCTTACGGTGTGTTTCTGTGTGCTTAAACGTGACACTAACCTCGGATGCTCTCCAGCGTATTTGCTGCCGACTCTCTGACCTGATTGATCAGCTCCTGGCGGACCTGCTCCGTTCGCAGGGCCTAACAACAGACAGGCAAGAAATCATCATTAACAAAGATTTATTCCCCTGCTCAGTGGCTCACCCCCCCCCATCCAGTCACAGCTGCCAGCTGCACACACAGTACAGGCCATGTAAATTAGAGGGGGCTGTAATACAGCAAGGACAAGCCCCAAGGAAGCCCCATCATAATAGATCGTGTAAAAAAGAATTTAAATTAAATATGTGAGAAATGTAACACGCTGCACAACTACTTATATTTGCATCATTACTTGCTCCTCCCTGCTGACAGCGCTGTGCTTTGCAATCCTCTCCATGCGTCCGCGATACACAGCACAGCCTCTCTCAATCTCCTCCACCTCCTGGAGGGAAAAGGTGACAGCGATGCGGGGAACCGGCACCTCCGACCAGCAGATGTAATGCTGTGGAAATGCATTTGGAAAGAAGTTGGTGCTACAGTTTCAAGTGTCAATTTAGACGACTCATCTTGTTGGCATCACGTTTAATAACCTCAAACGTTCATTTAATAAACAAAATATGTCGTAGCAGCTGTCTGTGAGTGTAACTCTTTTTTTACGGCTATAACCAAATGCAGCGAACAAGAAAATCTAGGCTGAAAGGGAGGAGAGCTGATAAAGCAGCTCTGATACAAAAATAATAATCACAATTGTTTTGATTATTTAATATGATTATTCACTGAGTTAGAACACACCATCCAGAGTTCACATTTAAAGAAGGCTGCAGGTTTGCACCAGAGTTGATCTTTTTTTTAATGGTGATTAAAACTCAACAAATTATTATGTTTTTCATTCTAGAAAAATAAAACACTCACTTAATTCTACTTGACCAATACAGACAGCACTGCTATAAATACAGAAAAGAACTGCTACGCGAGCCCAGATGTCTGCATGGTGGCGCAGTGGTTAGCACTGCTGCCTCGCAGCACAAAGGTTGCAGGTTCGAAACTCAGCTCGGCTGCGGCCTTTCTGCGTGGAGTTGCGTGTTCTCCCCATGCATGCGTGGGTTTCCTCCGGGTACTCCGGTTTCCCCCACAGATCACAACATGCCCTATAGGTTATGAATTGTAAGTCGCTTTGGATAAAAGCGTCTGCTAAATGAATAAACATAAACATAAACGTGTCCAAACAGGAAGTGGGTGTGCAAAAAAAGTGTTTTATTCATTATTGTGGTGCTTGGAAATTGGAAACAAAATTAAAGAATGTACGTTTGTTCTGCTATCTTTGCTTGAGCAAACAGTTCAGTTCAATCTTAAAAATGACAAAAAAAATTGTATTATGTTTGACAATTGAGTTTTTTTTTATCGTTTGCAGCCAAAAAACTAATTTGCAATACAATTTCAATTAATTGCACAGCCCTGCTTTCTGGACACCATTACAATCTTACATTTCTCTGTTTAAACGTGGCTCAAGAGAAGCTACATCCATGTTTTGTATCCATCCATCATTTATAACAATCAGGCGCTACAAAGCACGTCATGGAAACAGTACAAAGGGTGCCCTTTCAAAATAAAACCCAAAACTGATCTCTGATGTCTCAGTTCTATTTATAGAAAAATGCAATACATAAACAGAAGGAAATTCACATTGTTCATTAGAGGCCGGCCGATATATTAAATTTTTTTCTATACCGGCCGAAATTATTTTAAAGGTCGATGAAAAAATTATAAAAAATCAGGCACCTGTGTGACCAACTGCCGCCACTTCTAGACTGAAGGAAGAACCCAAAGGACCCGAACACACCATGTTTTAAAATGTTTTGGGTAAGCTTTATGACAAAAATGGCGCAACGAAACAAGAGCCCTCCATCAGCTGATACTGGTGAGAAACAGCAGCGAAACATGTGCAAACCCCCACCCCCGCGCTCACGGAGGAGTGCTGCGGGACGGAGCGCACGACCGCCGAATCCGCCAGGCTTAACTGATTTTCTGGGAGAGGGTGCTCGCTGCAGAACTACAAAGGCGGAGCTGCACCAGAGTCAGCCCCGCCCATTCACGCAAACTCAGCCTAGCCCACTGACTTCTTCCGTTTTTGTTTTTCAACTTTATCGCAAACTAACCTGACCCACATGAATTATGGCTGTTACTAGTTTACAGTCATTAATGCTATGTTCTATGCTCCAATTAAACAAGATAAATATAACTTGCTACATGACAAAGCCTGAATAAATCCCGAAATGAAAAGGTTTCGTTTAGCAAATACCTGCCCACAGCCACTCCAACAAAAACGGCATTCAACAGCATTTAAGGCCATTGAATGGGTTCTGGTAGTCCAGTGGCAAGATTGTCTGACCTAAGTTCTGCTAACCCCTCTGCTGATACTGGTTCGACTCTCGGTGGGGTCAGCAGCTATCTATTTAGCCAGCTGAAACATTTAATTTGTTTATATTTTAGTTGTAATGTTTATTTTCTGCAAAATATTTATGTCTCTAAAAGTTCTTTGAATTTGGTCGTTCCTAAACAGCATTTTAGTTGAAACTCTGCTCACAAATGGACTCACACTGGCTAAATAAACGAATAAATAAAAAAATTAAAAAAACACATTAGTCATTATATTGTAAACGGTATACCAATAAATTGTTGTAAACATAGTACTGGCAAGTGTAGCTAGAAAGGAAGAAAAAGGGTTATAAACTACCTTTGTACTGGGAGGCGAACCTGCGCAAAACTGCATGTCAGTCTGACTCCATAACCACTTCACCACTACATCTGATAAAAAGCAAGTGGCGTTGCATGTAATTGTGCCATCCAGTGTGTCTTTGTAGATGGGATGTATGGTTTTTCTGGCGGTGTCTCAGTAGAAGTCATTTCAGAAATAATTTGTCAGAAAATTCACAGAATATCCAGATTTGAGAACCAAGACCCGACCCGCTTCGGAGGAGACCAAATTGAAGCTGAGATGGGAAGAAAATGTGAATGAGGCCAAAAATGCCTTTGTCGTGTTTCTTATGAGGAAATGACAATATAACATGGTAAAAAGTTCCAAAAGTTAGATTTTTAATTAGATGGAACCTTTACAAAAACTGTTCAATTAACTTCTCAACTCCGTCCTCAATCTTGCATTTTAGATGATATTAGCTATAACACCCTCTTTGGTTCCAGAATGCTATCAAGTCTGACAACTGGAAAACCCTAGAAATGACTTAAAACACTTCATAATTATAACTTCCTCAGGATCTCTTCATGTGTCTGAGGATTTTTCAAACCTCCCAAAAAATAATGTTAGGCTCTGAAAAGCAGTTTTTACATGGAACATTACTTTAAAGAAAAATCATGTGATGCACAGTAGGCACTAGGCATGATGGGTGCATCACTTCATCTGCCTCTCTTCTTACCCTGATGCACCCGTCACTCTGGAACAGGGTCCATCTGGACTCAGACCAGTTTTTAATAATGTGTTGGACAATTTAACACAATTTAGTCGTTTCTGCAATCTCTTTAGATGTTTTCTCTGCTTGATGCATGCCAATGATCTGATCCTAACATCTTTTCCACAACCACCAGATGCGTCTTTCCACATGGTTGTTTAAGAATTGAGAAGCAACTCATTGCACCAGTAGAGGTTAACTAACTTGTTGCCAGCTGAAAGATAATCGCTCACGCAGTAATTATCCTATAGGAGGCTCGTACCTGTTTGCTTCGTTAAATCCAGGTGGTGACTTTTTTTAGGCCAGGCGGTCCATAATCATGCATAATAGTTTTCATTACATTTGCTGACTTTAAAGGCATAAAAATATAAAAATTTAGACTGTGTCCTATACTTAGTAGAGTTATCACCTCACGAGCCCTGTTTGTGTAGTGCTAATGTTAGCCTTCTATGCTTAATGTATTCACAGTAAAACAGAAATTAGATTAGCTTTGAACGATTTTTGGTGCATTAATACGATTCATGCTATACACAGGTGAAACAAAAAATAAATAAATAAAAATATGGTACAAAAGTCAATTTATGTAAAAAAAAAAAAACAAGTTAGGCTGAGAGACCATCTAAAGACGCAGGAAACCCTTTGCAGATGTTTAGGAATCATTAACTGATTAGAGTGTGACACTGAGTCTAGAATATTGAACCTTTTCATAATGTCTGAGATTTTAAATTGTGATTTTCATAAGCTGTGAACCACAATCATCACAATTATAACAAATAAAGGCTTGAAATGTCTGGCTTTGTGTGGAATGAGTCTCTCTCGATTATTGGTTTCACCTTTTGAGTTGAATTACAGAAATTAATTAATTTTTGTACCACATTCAAATGTTTTGAGTTTCACCTGTACTGTGAGCTCTAAACATTGTTCAAATGCACATTTGAAGATAAATGTGTGAAAACTACCTGTGGACAGCAAATTTTCAGGAGATTGATTGTTTTTCCACAGACATACACGTCGTTGGCAATGTGTCTGAGGAAGGCGGGCACACAGTCCTCCACGTCCTCCGAGATCAGAGTGTAGCCTTGAACCCAGAAGTGTTTGTCTGCACAAAATCAAACATGCCTGTTATCAGATATCTTGGAGAAAACGGGTCCATTAAGCACTAATCTTTGACTGAAAATCTTAAAACAACTGGTACTGGATTAATACTGAATCCAAACTCAGCTTAAAACTTTTCATTATCAGAATGGCTCACAGAGAATGATGAAACTCTGGCTGCTTGAATTAACAATTGTTAGCACTTAGCTCAGTGATCCTAAGCAAAACACACGGGAGGAACATGAATTCACAAGCATCCACCGCTCTTTACATAAAGCCCGCGGCTCGTCAAGAAAGCTTTGCTACTGATTGCTTCCTTGGCCGACAGAGTTGGGAGAACAATGACATTTGTGTGTCCTCCGGAAGGCAAGAGCAAGAAGTGTGGAGGTTCGCTGCTGGAATTGATGAGGTGTAGCCGATGAGCAAATGAAACTGTTAGCCAGACAAAGCCAAAGTGATGTTCTGACCTTGAATGGGAGGCTGCGTGACATACAATATTTGGACAGGCTGCAATGATTCATAACATGCCATGTTTATACTGTCAAAGTTAAAAGGTAGAAGCTTGTACTTTTGGTGAGTGACTTTATGGAATATGTTGTTAATCTATCTGTAATGACCAGACTGAAGCCAGAACATGAATGGTGTCCGTTGACAGTTATTGCGCCGATTGCTTTATCTTTTTTTCAATAACTATATGAAAACAATCCTACATTTTACCCATAGCATCAGTTTGTCAATCACGTTCACATTTTTCAAGTGCTATGAGTTTCGTAACATTTCCATCCGTCCATTTTCTGCCGCTTATCCGGAGTCGGGTCACGGAGGCAGCAGCCTAAGCAGAGTAGTCCAGACTTCCCTCTCCCCAACCACTTGAGCCAGCTCCTTCGGTGGAATCCCAAGGCGCTCCCTGGCTAGTCAGGAAACAAAGTCCCTCCAGTGTGCCCTGGGTCTTCCTTTAGGTCTCCTTCATGTTGAACATGCCTGGAAAACCTCATCAGGCAGGGAGGCATCCTAACTAGATGCCCGAGTCACCTCAACTGACTCTTCTCAATGTGAAGGAGCAGTGGGTCTACTCTGAGCCCCTCCTGGAAGACCGCGCTTCTCACCCTATTTCTAAGGGAGAGCCCAGCAACCCTGTGGAGAAAACTCATTTCGGTCGCTTGTATCCACAATCTTATAGACCCTTTTACTGTTTGTAAACAATATGACGTCAGCGAGAATGCGCGCGCAGCTTGGCAACAGAGAATGGCGTTGTGTCAGGCTTTATCAAGCTACGCTGCGGGGTTATCACCGGCAAATCTTGAATGTTATATTATTAAACCCACTTTAACGAATGGCAACAGACTCCCAGATCCCTGTGGCATTACGGAATGGGTGGAAGATGTAGGTGCGTGGCCAGATATCCAGTGGCCCGATATATACACGTTTTTAGTGGAGAGGCCCAGTAAGTACACACGTGAGAAGCTACGGGCATACAAATCGCTAGATGCATACAACTATGTTGTCTGTGGCCACGTACAGAAAGTGATAAGTAAAATATCACGACATAGACTCTGAGTTTTGCGTCCTGAAGGCAGAAGTCCTTCCTAGCCAAAGACAAGGACACAAGACTGCTATGTACAAGGCTTGGGTCATAGTAAACAAACCAGAGAACTACGTCTTCACAGCCAACTGTACCTGCATGGCAGGGTGAGTATAGCATAGGTAGGGCTGCAACAACGAATTGATAAATTCGATGAAAATCGATTACTAAAAGCGTTGGCAACGAATTGCGTCATCGATTCGTTGTGTCGCACAACTCTTCCAAAAGCGCCCCCCCTTCCCACCCGCCGTTGCGCGCAGACCAGAGCAAGTCAGATCAGCGCGAGGGAGAGCCGGCAAATCAGCGCGAGGGAGAGCCGCAGATCAGCGCGAGGGAGAGCCGCAGATCAGCGCGAGGGAGAGCCGGCAGACTTGCGCTGCTGCGAACCGGTTCCGCATTGTTGCACAGCGATCCAGGCAGCTGCTTACAGCGCACGGTCCATTCTCAAAGTGGCGCAACCAAAAAACTATAAATAGCACACGATCGTTCATGTCCGCGCATGTTCTCTATTTTCTGTCTTATTTGTGCCTGAAGCGCGCTACTGCGGAGCTCATCACCTGTGCTGTGGTGATGTCACCTCACGCAGCATCGAAAACGCGCTCTGCGCTTTTCGGTCAGGAGATCCCTTTGATCTGCTCAAAAGTAACTGATGAGGTGAAAAGGTAAGAATCCAGGCAACAGATTTTCTGGAGAATTAAGAGGAGATGCAGGAAGATGAGAGACAGACAGGACAGGAAAATAGTTCAATAAAAACAAGAAAACAAAACAAAGTGTTGAAAAGTAAAATGTAGGTAGAGTTATCACCACTACACGTTTTTACCAGTAAAAAACAATAAGTTATACACATGTCATATTTATACATCTGATACAATTCAGATCACCTTCAAAACTCAGTCACACACCCAGGGCCGTTTCAAGACATTTTGGGGGCCAAGGCAAAATGCCCCCCCCCCCCCCCCCCCAATAACTGGGCTCCCCAGAAGCCTCTGTGTAATTCATGCCCTCTCCAGTAGTGTTAGTTATACGGTGTTTATAAAAGCCCCTCAGACATTACTGACATGTTCTAATATTATCAGATGAAAAACTAAATTATCAGACATGCTGTCTCATCTGCTTCTTTTATAAACTTGCAAAAAGTAACAAAACCATTTGAAAGCCACTATTTGTGGATTCTCTGAAAGTTTCCATGGAGTTTGTGACAACTTATTTTTTCATTGATCCTATCGTCTAATCTCACAGCTGAAACAAGCATCCTTAATCATCTGTGCACAGGAAGCTTACCGATGCTGTAGTAAAACAAAAGGTATAATAATTTATTATTAATAAAACCTTGTTGCAGCACTAAAGCAGAAAAATTTGATTTTGCATTAAATATGCAAAATATTTACATATGAATTGTTTTAGAGCCCTTTAATTGGCAGAATCTGATATTAATTTAGTTCTTACAAAAAATGGGTCCCAACGTGGTTTGTGTGGCGTTGCCATAGAGTGACGTCATAGGCACAGATCCCCTGTCCTCTTGTTTGGAAATGGAAATATGATCACCCTACATTAAACAAACTGTCCACCCGGGCTTTTGCGCTGCACAGAGACGCTTCGCTGCCTACGACTGAACGTCAGTTGAGAGTCAGTCTCATGCAGACTGACCAATGAAGAGAGGGCCTCAAGTTAAGACCCTCTCCTCATTGGTCAGTCCACACGAGGTGGGTCAAAGGTTACTCTGGGCGGGTTACGTGTTGTCAGGCATTCAAGTATTGAGTATATTTACTGCATATTACAGTAAAATATTCTGTATGTGACCACATTATGGTGATCCTTGGGTCGTGATGATGGAGCCCTTGAATATTGTTGCCCAGGGTACAACAAAGTGTTAATCTGGCCCTGGTTCCGCCGTCACATTCCCGCAGAAACTGGTTGATCACACCGGGGCCAGACTACTAGCATGTGGTTTTACAACCACAATGTCCTCAGAAGCAAAAACGCTTTTAAAAGGGAGGGATGAGTCCTAACTGTTGCTGCAGGCGTGTTGTGTGAGAGTGCAGTTATATACTGGTTAATATATTTTTGGGTTCAGTTGCTTTCATGTGGCCTAATGTGAGTCTATTTGGGATCATTGGAATGATCAGCAGCATTTCTTGATGTGACTTTATGGCAGTTGCCCAGGGCATCATCGCAAGGAGGATGGCATTCATTTACTTTTGTTTTATTTGGTATTTTTTCAGTTATTTTTGGAAATAGTGATCAATTTTGATTAATTCACAGCCTATGTTTAATTACATTTAAAATAAATGTCAACAGATGAGATCAAACAAAACAGATGAGAATTGCCCTTAAGCTGTTTAACTTGGACCAAGCATTTTAGGTCACAGATAGATGTAGCTTAGGGTCTCTGTCTATACACCTTATAAGACAATTTAGGTGATGGCATGTTGTTTTTCTGCTATTGAACTGTTTTCTAATAATGTTGTGTTAAATAAAGTGAAGGAAGGAGAGAAATAACGTTTCCCTAGCAGTTTTTAAAAATTTCCCCATGTAATCCGATTAATCGATTAATCGTGTCGAGACCCCATCCGATTAATCGATTATCCAAATAATCGTTTGTTGCAGCCCTAAGCATAGGTTTCTTTTTTTAGCGTGCTCAGAGTACAACCGTGTTAATTTTAGAGAAATACAGTTTATACTAATATGCAGTAGGAAAATACAGATGAATTAGAATGAAATGTTAATTTGAAGCATGAAATAAAGCGTATACATTTGTTTAATTCTGTCATTTTGATGTTCCAGACTTGGGTCATGCTGCAGCCACGCAGCAGCAATTTTATTCAAAGTTGAGCTTTGTGTTAGGATGGGAAAAACAGAAAAGGCTGCAGTTACCCTTTTGATGGCCTGCAGCCACAGACGCCTCCGATTTTGTTCAAATGGATGTGCTCCCTTCGGAATTCTGTAAAGTTTCAGTCCACTGCTTGAAGAGAAGCGATTCTGGCATCCATACACGCAACAACCCGACATTTTTATGTGCTCAGAACTTCAAAACAAAGTGTTTAAAATGAGGAAGCCTTCACTCTCGTTGCCAGGCTGCGCGTGCAACTTTTGATGACGTAGGTAGTAAAAGGGTCTATACTTTTGGTCACTGCCCAACGCTTGTGACCATAGGTGAGGCTAGGAACGTAAATCGACCGGTAAATCAAGAGCTTTGCCTTCTGGCTCAGCTCTCTCTTAACCACAACAGACCAGTACAACGCCCGCAGCACTGCAGACAGCACCAATCTGCCTATCGATCTCACAATCCATCTTTCCCTCACTAGTGAACAAGACCCAGAGATACTTAAACTCCTCCACTTGAGGCAGGACATCATCCCTGACCTGGAGAAGGCATTCTACCCTTTTCTGACTGTGTCAAATTTAGACAAGCTGATTCTCACCCCGGCTGTTTCACTTTCGGCTGTGAACCGCTCCAGCGAAAGCCGGAGCGGGCGTTCTGATTAGGCCAACAGGACCACATCATCTGCAAAATGCAGAGGCCTGATCCTTAGGCCGCCAAATCAGTTATGATAAATGATAAATGACCCGCACTTGTATAGCACCTCTCAGAGTAAGGACTCCAAAGCGCTTTACACTACAGTGCATCATTCATCCATTCACACACACATTCACACACTGAAGGTGATGAGCTACAATGTAGCCACAGCTGCCCTGGGGCGCACTGACAGAGGCGAGGCTGCCGAGCACAGGCGCCACCGGTCCCTCCGACCACCACCAGCAGACAAGGTGGGTTAAGTGTCTTGCCCAAGGACACAACAGCAGAATTCTGTCCGGAGCCGGGATCGAACCTGCAACCTTCCGATTACTGGACAACCCACTCAACCTGTTGAGCTACTGCTGCCCCAATCAACTGAGTTCCCCTCAACCCCTTGGCTGCGCCTACAAATCCTGTCCATTAAAGTTATGAAAAGTTTATTATTAAATAAAAAACCACAAAAGACTTAATGCTACTGTCTCAATTTGAGTCTAACTAATTCAGTCAGCTCAGGACACATTCAACTTGTTCAACATTAGTGGTACAACAAAAACTAGCATAGATAACAACATTAAAGACCTGCCTATCTGAAGTGAAATACTGGGTAAACACTAAGTGAGTCAGCCGGTTCCTGTGGTGGAGACAGATATGTCTGCCTTCGCCTTCTCCTGTCTTCACTCTACTCCTTCCTCCTCGTGGAATTGAGTCATTAATTGGACAAAATGAAATTACTCCAGCCAGTCCAGATTTGTCAGGAGGAATTCTAAGAGAAATCCGTTTGATGCCGTTTCTTTTTGTTTCAGTCAGCATGGCGCACCAAATGGAAAAGAATGAAGGAATATCATTTATTTGTGTTTGTCCCTGTGGCTTGCTGAGTGGGGACGGCTGTGGTTCCTGCAGCTGAGGTAGATGACTCTGTTTCCCACTGATTATCATCCAGTAATTCCTTTATAGGCACACGGACAAACACAGCTTAGCAGCAAGGGCTGAAATGAAATCTGTGTTTTGATGTTTTCCTACTAGAGTCTGTCTGGCAGGCTTTTAATGCATTTTGTGTCTTTGACGTCTCACCCCTGAAGCTGAGGTATTCCTCGTTGACTTGAATCATGAACTCTCCATAAACATCTCGGAACACTCCGCTGTACACCCAGTCAGACACAAACCTGAAGTAAAGGGAATGCAGAGCGTAAGGACTAACCCAGGAGAGCCTGGTGTTTGGGCTGTACCGATCATGAGACACACAGCTACTGACCGTGTGTAAGGTTCGCAGCTGCTCTTCAGCAGCGACAGCAGGACGGGGTAGTTCTCGTTGCTGCAGTTATTCTGCGCTTCGCTGTACAGGTAGGACAGCAGTTTGACCCCCTGAGGTGAGACCAGAGCGGACATCTCATTTGTGAGGTTAAACACGATCGTGATCAACGACCATTTCAACAGCAGTTTGCAGATAAAAGAGCGCTCACCACAGGGAAGGTGGCTTGGCCCACACCCAAAGGTCCATCCACACAGCACAGCTCAGACAGGTACCTGAGATTCAACGAGAGCAGAGCGTTTATGAGCCGATGGCGTCCACATCAAGGTACTCCTTATCAGAATATGTCTGACTGGATGAATTAAAGTTGCAGTACGTAAGAATGAAATCCTGTGGTCATATGTGGTTACTGCAGTACATTTTCTTAAGCAAAAAGTTACTCTCAGTGTTGTTTCATGGCTTTCATGGCTGTAGCCAGTTACGGTTCACCACCAAAAGATTCTAGATAACAAGCAAAGACAAGTCATGCAGTAAGTTGATAAGTAGATTAATACATTGTCATATCTGGTGTTAGCACTCGTGTGTTTTACTGTAGGGAGCAGTTTGTACACTTTTTACGGTAATATGCCTCCGACATTAGAGGAAATGTGGTTGTCTACAGTCTTGCTGTTAGCTTGCTGTTATAGCTCTGAACGAATCATTAGAGGACGTAAAAATTGACTCATTATTCACTTCACACATACATTTCACTGTAATATCGAGTTGCTGGTGATTAAAACAGTATGCTTGAGATATTTTCACCGTTAGCATCGCTAGCTCAACATTAGCCTCTATCTGGCTTCACCCGATATGAGAGTAAAACAAAAAGATGCCCTGACTTCTTCTGGGTCGCTCTGTTTTGCTGGCTCTGGGTTGTTTTACCTGCTGGTGTCAAATTACAAAAACCAGTGCTGCAGTGCTAGCTCGCAGGTGACTCTGCAACCAAATACACTCATAGATTATAAACATTAACTATGTCCCTCTTTAGTTTTTTTCCCAAAGGAGAAAAACCAACAACGCCCATGCGGGCTGAGAATAAATTCCAACATGATTGAGACGTTTGACTGTTTAGAGATTATTTCACTGTAAAATTCTTACTTTATGCTCACATTTTGTGCAACATAAAGCTATAATATTACAAACTTGAGCTCACCTGAGTTGGCGGCCGACTTTGCAGAAGAGGAAGCCGATAGTCAGCAGGCTGAGAGTGGGTGGGGTGGTGAGAACACAAGCCCTGTAGTAGTGCAGATACTTACTCAGACCACCGGTAAACGCCTTGGGAGAGAAGAGAAGATCATCTGGTCTAATGTGAAGTGACTGAAATGACTGATCTGCTGCTTAAACTCACAGATAACCAAACACAGATTTTTCTTAATTTTTACGGTTGGTCCACAGATATATATATATATATATATATATATATATTTTTTTTTTTACCCATGAGTACTTCTCCACTTTTTTCCAGATAGTTTTATCTTAAACTAATTGTTTATGTTTAATGTTGCTTGGCTGTCTAGAATTTCCCCTTAAGGAATGATTAAAACTTTCTAAATTGATGAACACAAAACTGGCGGCAGTCGTGCAAGGGCAGAAAGGAAAACGTGTGGCCCCAGCAGTATTAATTAACGCTGATCATACATACATACCTGAAAGACTAGGCCCTTCTTGTCAGCACTCTGCAGAGAAAAACGGCTAAGCCTCAGGTAGTAGGTGCCATACTGGGCCAGCTCCCCCAGAAGACGAGACACGCTCTCTGGAGAGGCTCCCGACACACACACACCAGGCCTGACGTCAAACTGAACGCTCTAAGGTAGAAAACAGATTCACAACAAGACAATAAGGACCTGTACAGTCCAATAAAATCCACCAAACTTGTAACACTTAATATAAATCTTTGTCAGAGGTGTCAGAGAGTCAGCTCCAGGGTGATGTCTGAAGGCATCGTGGTAGACTTATTATATTAGACAGCCATACATAAGCAGTTGTGTTTTCTAGTCTACGCCATCAAAGTTTTATGAGAAAAAGATATTGTGTTCTTCTAGGCAGCATTCTTCTGGGAGAAACAATAGCACGAGCAATATTTTTGCAATCACAAACCACAGACTGGGCCTGTTGTTAAAAACATCACCTATCTGACTACAGGAGCAACGTTTGGAAGTCACAGAGTAACTTGACTAACTGAGCTGCACTAAAGTCTAATTCCAGTGTTGATCATATTGTGGAATAGGTTTCTTTAATGAAAAGAAAAAAAAATTAAAACGTATAGCTAAATTTAGCAACCTTGCCTTTCAACCGGATGCATAAGCCGCACATCCCCCACGTTTCAGACGCACAGTTTAACGCAGCTAGTTCCACGAGATCACAGAAGAGTTGCAAAATCCTTGGTGATTTATTTTGCTCGTGCAATAAAAAGCAAGGAGAAAGATGGCAGCACATATCTAAAAGGTATGTGGTTTATTTTCTGTTCTTTTATGGAAGTTATGTTTGTGCTGGAATACTTAAGCAAAAGGAAATGTACATGTGTATTTTATTTTGAAAGTTTCAGGAATTTTTTTCTTTACACTGCTCCTGTGTTTGACTTCCTGTCTGATCAGATTTGAACAGCTGAACTTGACATGTACCTGAAGCCTAGTACACATGAGGTAAATCCAGCACGTAAAGCTAGTGGTGCGCCTCTGCGTTCCTGGTGGAAAAACCTACTGTTTATAACAACAGTTATTAGCTGCATTATGCTCTTCGCAGACGTTATGCACCGCTTACACATCTGGTGAAAACACTGGTACAGAACTTCTAATCAGATACATAACAGATAAGATTTTAAAAAATGCTGTTTAAAAATAATGATATAATAATAAAAATAACCCAATAAATAAATAGAAGTTGCTAAAATCACAACTTTAAATGTGGTTCTTTGATTTGTTATTAATAGAAGCTTGATTGTTGTTTTCCCATGATTATTATTAAAATAATAATATTATTAAAATCATTAAAGAGTCAAATAGTTTTCAGAAAAAGGTTAGGTACCAAAGCTGGACTATTTGCATTCAATCATATCTCATTTGCTAGTTTCTCCATTCATGTTTTCACTCCCTAGATTATTCTGCTAGTCTCTCTACACAACATATTACATTTAAAATGCGGTCAATTCAACTGAATCTTTTGATTTTTCCTCTCAAATGATGAGTTTTACTTTTATTTTTCTTCATTTGTTATTCTTCTTTGCTCCTGATCTGAATGTAACAGCTGCTGTGACACCAACACTTCCAAACTGAGGGACAATAAAGGAATTTTCTTTTCTATTGTATTCTAGAATGACCTGATTTTAAGACTCACGGGTCAGATACACAGCCTGGGTCACCTTGCCCTGGCTACTACTCCAATCTGCAATATAGTCCTTCACAGGAGACTTAAAGTCAGCTCACACAGGTCACAGTAACTAAGTGCACATGATTCTTGTCATAGTTAAACATTACTGATTATCATAAATAATTATTAACCAAAGAATAATAATTCATCTCAGTAATTAAACAGTTATAATGAACCTTGATGATTAGCAGTAAAAAGAGTTCATTCAAATGATTCTTTTAAATCTTGAAATGTCCTCGTCTTGCTGTGGATGGAATAGCAGTCAGACAAGCAGACAGCTGCATAGATTAAAGGAGTGGTAGTAGACTTTAAGGCCTAGTCCACACGTAGCCGTTTTTTTTTAAACGAATATCCGCCCCTCCAAAACCTTGCATCCACACCACCTTGTTTAAAAAAAAAACTCTGTCCACACGTACCCGGATAAATACGTTGTTAAGGACATGCCAGACCTGTAGGCGGCAGTACTTCCCCCGTTCTTAACCTCGTCCTTCGTCTGTGGTCTTCCGCAAGGAGCAGTAATTCCGCTTGCAAAAAAAAACAAGCAGAAAGCGCTTGGACAATTGATAAAGCGAGCGCAGCTCTGAGGGCATCCATGCTGTCGGCTAGTGTAAACACAGGTCGCACACGTGATGTCAGCATTTTTTGTCGCGGGAAGTGACGTTGCGGACCTTAAAACTCCGGTTTTGTCTGTCCACACGCAGACACCCAAAACGGAGAAAACGCAGATCTTCACTTTGGCCGGAGTTTTTAAAAAGATCCGTTTTCGTGTGAAAAAACTCCGTTTTCGTGTGGATGACAGGCCAAAACGTAGAAAAATATCTACGTTTTGGCAGATCCCCGGCTACGTGTGGACAGGGCCTAAGTCTCCTGTGAAGGACCATATTGCAGATTGGAGTAGTAGCCATGGCAAGGTAGCCCAGGCTGTGTATCTGACCTGTGAGTCTTAAAATCAGGTCATTACGTGACGTTAAAGTGGTAATGTTTTGAAAATAAAATACGACTTTCAAATACTTATGCACAGCCTGGAGATATATTGCTAAAGAAAACTTGAAAATATGACAAAAGAAATGTGTGCAGTAATGTCAAAAGCTGTTAGTGGCAAAAGATGGAAAGAAACAATAGAAAAAGGAGAGTAAGGAAGTGCTGAAAATAAGAACTTTCCAGAAAAAGAAAACTTAATAGAAGAGAATAAAGTAACGGCAGCACTCTCCTGTGGCTCAGCTTTGAGCATCAGGAACACAGTAATTTACTTCTTGATCGTTTACTCAGGTTAATGACTTGACACGTTTTGGCTCGTTTCTTTGGGGTAATAAGCTTTTTTAAGTGAACTGGGTTTGTTTATACCTCATGCACTAATTGTTCATTGATTCTCATCTCTTTGTGTGCCTACCCAAGTTGCTCAGTGGCAGCACTTAATGTGGAAAAGGATTGCATTCAACAGCATTTCAGAGACTAACAAATGATAATGAATAGCACCTGGTTGAGAGGGAAGGTGGTGGAAGCTACTCCGATCAGGACATTCAGGAGGTCAGACACTAATTGCGTCTGGGAGTCCTGGGGCAGCAGCAGGATGGGAGAGGGTGTACCGGTGCTCACTACCCTCATCTCCCCCTCCCACAGCCGATAGAGCTGATCAAAGGCCTCTCTGCCTCCCTCCGATACGTAGAAGGACTCTCGTTTTCCTGGTGGGCTAGCGGAACAAAAAGCATTGTTTTAGAGAGGAAAAAATCAATTAAACTTTCTTAACTTAGACATCATCCAATGTATATGTTGCATGGATTTTCTGATCAAATAAGTAGACCAGGTATTTTACCAGCCAACAGACTCCCAGCAGCGCCGTCTTCCATGCTCGAATGTGGAGAGAGCCTCCCAGATATCAACGTCCGGAACAGGGCTGGTCTCTGACTGAGAGTCTGGGGTCATGTTAGAGGCTGACTGGAATCCCTCATCGTCAGACTGGTCTAAACAGGAAGGAACCTACACAAACCATTCATATGGAGTCACACAGACAAGGCACAAAGTGATGAGTCTCAACTGTAAAGAAAGAACTCTGGTTTAGCGTCTTACCCTGAAAGATAACCCAGTAACATCAATATTACTGGGCACAGGAGGCATGTCCAGCCTGATGTCCATGTCTGATGTACGACTATGCTGCAGAGCTCCAAACAATGTCAGCCTGGTTTCCTTTTCAAATCTTTCTTCTGCTTCAGATTTAGTCCTCAAAGCTAGCAGTCCTGTGCCTGGCAGAGCATCCATAAAACTATGAGTTCCACAAAGAGTCTCCAAAGTCCCCCATTCCTCTGCACACACTAGACCCCACGCCCGGGCCTCGAGCCTTTGCAGCTCCTCACTCTGGTAACTCCAGGGCTGTGGCTTCCGTTGGACAAGTCTCTCTCGTCTCATGTAGTCCCTGCTAAAGGAGGTAGGTGGTGGAGGAGCAGAGCCAGCTAGAAACACCAGCAGCTCAAGAACCGCTTCCAGTTCTTTCAGACCAGAGGAAGCTCCTTCTGGTAGCCTCTCCAGCTGCTCCTCCAACTTCTCTGCTTCCTCACAACATCCTGCCACCCTCAGATCAAAACACATCATGATGACTTTGTTCCTGGCTGGTGTATTTGCTGTAGCATTCGGTCTAGAGGCAGACCCTTTGCTTCCATCTTGAAATATCTTGGACAGCAGGGCACCGTACGCTCTCTTCTTGAGAGTTCTGTGGAAACTTTCCTTGGAAGTGCCTCCCAAGGCCCTGCGCTTCCATGATACTCCTGACAGGCTGCAGTCACAGAGGGCGCTCAGCAGGTCAGTGATGCTGCTGCTGCAGCTGGACTTTGTGGAGTTGTTGGAGCTCAGGTACATTGTGATACTGTTGCCTCAGACTGCTGCCTGAAGAAAAATGTTAGAGGAAACTCAGAGCTGTACAACACAGTTGCTGAATATCTATCAATCTATTGTCATGTTAGTAAGATCCTGAGGAGACACATCCACACAGTATATGATTGTTGCATTTTTGAAAATATCTTTCCCAAAGATAAAGTAATCATTGTGGTAATCATATTAAGGTTTAAACTGGAATAAAACCATAATATGTTGCATGAATAATTTATAATCAACATCATATTGTAAATCCAACAGAAAATGAAGATGCCAGGTCCTAGTCAAGAACATTTACTGGTATAAAACCTTGTTTAAACATTTTTATTCAGCTGTCTTATTTTCTTCTGACAAGAACTATTTCAAATGTGATTTCGGTTTTACCACCTTGCTTTACACAGGTGACTGCTTCGCTGTTTTCTGAAAGATACCGATAATCTAGCCCTTACATCTGAAAGCATTATTATTTAGCCAAGTTCTTACCACGCTATAGCGAAGCATCTTAAATACGTCTCCTGTCTTGTGTTCTCAGTTCATTTGGTGTAAAAGTTATATCCTTGCATCCACTGCAAGCTCCAGCTTCCCCCATCAAGCTAATGATTGTTAGCGTCGGCTCGTGGGTTATATTTTCAATCCTATGTCGCAAACATGTAGAATCCAGAACGAGGACAGGCTACATAATCCAAAATATTCCGTAATTTTTAAAATATTTTATTTCTTTCGGTTGTACAAGACAATATGCAGCGATGTTATGCTACCTATCTGCAATGTACGCTAGCCCAATTCACGTTCGGTCGTCCTGCGCGGGTTACGTCAAATTCCGGACCTTCCTAGACCTACATTTGATTGGTCTATAGCTTCACTCATTACAACATGATTGGTTAATTGTCTCAGTCAATCACAACTTCGAAAAATCCTATTCGCTACCATGCTTTGGTGCGTTCAAATGATATACGGAAAACAGAACTCTCTCTCCCTCTCCCTCTTCCTCTCCGCAGGTGGAATATATAATAGGTACGGCGTTACAAATGAAATTATTAAACATTTATTTAAAAACACATACAGGTCCTTCTAAAAAAAATGGCATATTGTGATAAAGTTCATTATTGTCTGTAATGTACTGATAAACATTAGACTTTCATATATATTAGATTGATTGCACACAATTGAAGTAGTTCAAGCCTTTTATTGTTTCTAATATTGATGGTTTTGGCATACAGCTCATGAAAACTCAAAATTCCTATCTAAAAAAATAGCATAATTCACCTGACCAATAAAAGAAAAGTGTTTTTAATACAAAAAAAGTCAACCTTCAAATAATTATGTTCAGTTATGCACTCAATACTTGGTCGGGAATCCTTTTTCAGAAATTACTGCTTCAATGCGGCGTGGCATGGAGGTAATCAGCCTATGGCACTGCTGAGGTGTTATGGAGGCCCAGGATGCTTCGATAGCGGCCTCAAACTCATCCAGATTGTTGGGTCTTGTGTCTCTCAACTTTTTCTTCACAATATCCCAGATTCTCTACGGGGTTCAGGTCAGGAGAGTTGGCAGGCCAATTGAGCACAGTAATGCCATGGTCAGTAAACCGAAAGCCAATAACCGGAATGGGATAGAGTGGGGCTGGTTTTGGAAGCTGATTGGGCTTTCCAGCAATCTGACACACGTGACAGTCTCGGCAATACTTTCTCACACTTTCCTTCATTCCGGGCCAGAAGAAATTTTCCAGGAGGAGGAGATACGTTTTTCGAACTCCTAAATGGCCCGACCATTGACTCTCATGAGCTAGCTTCAAAATCTGTGGCCGAAACTGCACAGGAATTACGGCACCTGAGGAATGCGGCACCTGTAGCCCATTTCCTGCACACGCCTGTACACGATGGCCCTGGATGTTTCTACTCCAGACTCAGTCCACTGCTTCTGCAGGTCCCCCAAGGTCTGGAATCGGTCCTTCTCCACAATCTTCCTCAGGGTCCGGTCACCTCGTCTCGTTGTGCAGCATTTTCTGCCACCCTTTTTCCTTCCCACAGACTTCCCACTGAGGTGCCTTGATACAGCACTCTGGGAACAGCCTATTCGTTAAGAAATGTCTTTCTGTGTCTTACCCTCTTGCTTGAGGGTGTCAATGATGGCCTTCTGGACAGCAGTCAGTTGACAGTCTTACCCGTGATTGTGGTTTTGAGTAATGAACCAGGTTGGGAGTTTTTAACAGCCTCAGGAATCTTTTGCAGGTGTTTAGAGTTAATTAGTTGATTCAGATGATTAGGTTAATAGCTCGTTTAGAGAACCTTTTCGTGATATGCTAATTTTTTGAGATAGGAATTTTGGGTTTTCATGAGCTGTATGCCAAAATCATCAATAATAGAAACAATAAAAGGCTTGAACTATTTCAGTTGTGTGTGATGAATCTAATATATATGAAAGTCTAATGTTTATCAGTACAAAAATAATGAACTTTATCACAATATGCTAATTATTTGAGAAGGACCTGTATACTGTGATGAGACCTTTAAAACTTTTATGAACTAAACTGCAACATTTAGTCTTTTTGCATCTAACATATCACATTTTAGTCTGGTTTAAAATACATTTAATGCACACTAAAATGACCCGTATTCTCTTAATTTGGCTAGATCTCAAATTAAAAATCACAGTTTATGAACATATTTTCCAGGCAAAATAAAATCCACAAACATTTTAACTATATGCTTTGTCTTTTTTCTAAAATAAAATCCCTTACGCCTACATAATAATGTTACTACAGCCACGAGCAGGTGATAAGAAAGCTGAGCCCTGACTTGTAAAAGGCTCTCCATTCCTCTTGTAATGAGTTTTGGATCCCATACTGTGCATTTAATTTCCACTTGAAGGGATTTATTTGGCTATATCTTTTATAGCATGTGCGTCTTTGCAGTCATTTTGCAACCAGCTCTATTTTCAAAGCATTTCTGTATCATTATTTTCAACTTTTTATCACTTTGTGATTGCTTTGCATCTTTTTCCTTCCATTGTTTAGTTTGTTTTACCTGTTAAGTTCTCATTGTTGATTAGCACTTTTTTGAAGGTATTTTAAGTCTTGGTGGGTGTGGCTTTTGGTGTGATTTTACTTTTTTTGATGGCATTTTTATATTAGATTAGCAGAAGTTTGACGAGAGGCTTCCAGATCCCATAGATCTGTGGGAAAGTAGATTTATTACTTTTCTTTGTAAGTGCAAATGCAGTCATGCAACAAATAAAGTCCATAACTGATGCATTAGAACAAATTCAATGATAAGTTTTATGATGATGAACTCATTATGTAATGGAAGGATAAACTGAAGCTAAAAGGAAGATTTAAAACACACTTTCAAAAATCAGGTAAGTATTGTTTTAACAAATAACTCAAATATTAGGATGAACAGGTGGAAGGAGGATTACCATAGAAGGGATTATTTTAGGGCAGACACCAAAACAAAAATGTTCTATTTTGTGTGCATGCAGTAAAACATCAACCTACTTGGTATTTGTTTAAAAATAAAACTGACGATAGGCATGGGTCTCCAAAGCCCACTCATGTAATCATGCATCAGTAATTATGTGGGTTTATGTATTTAAATTAAATTCACCATCAGGTTGTTTGCTGCAGAAAGTCAGACACGTTTTGATTCTGAGTTATTTGTCAGAACTGTTAAAAATTGCACTGCACAATAATTGTTTCTATTCCCAGGGAGCTCCCCCCTCCTTTTCCTCCCCACTTAAAGAAGTGTAAATCAAAGCCAAATCTCATTAGGTGGTTTGAAACATGGAAGTGAAAGGCAGGCTACTGGGAAACTCCGTAATCTCCTGCCGAAGGAGAGGCTGGCTGCTGCGTGTGAGGACGTGTCCCTGGAAGGAGAACAGAAGCCAGCAGCGTGCAAACATTAAACCATTTTCTTGTAACATTCCCTGCACATATGCCATCTTTAAATAATTATTGTTTCTGTGGGGTATTGATTTTTAGAGAGTGAAGGGTGAGGGGTGGGTTTTTAATCTTATAAGTGCAAATAAGGTATCTCACAAACTGATGCAAGCCCTAATAGAAACATAAAGTACTCTTTCCTTTGATTTATGATGAGTGATCAGAGATAATGTGCTAGATGCTGCACTTGTGATAATCAAGTTTATTCAGCAGCCCTTGAAGTTACTCCATCTGCTGCTGCTGCTGCATCAATGATCCGCTCACAGAGAAGATGGCCTACGCAGGCCTGTGTGGTCTGTCTTTGATATTTTCACCCCATGCACTGAGGTTTGTTACATACTCAGAAAAGGCAATTTTTGCCTTTCATCTCTCCTTTTTCCAATTTCATTCTTAGCTGTTGGTATTTAATTAACGTTTGCAGCACAATTCTTCTAACCTTCATAGGTGATAGCATGGATGCTGCGCTTCCTTTTATATTACTGCGCAGTTTCAAGAAACTAGTTTGATTCTAAGCTGTGTGACATGATCCTGATGTGGCATTCGGATAAGAATCACCACCATCAGAGGATGCTGCACATATGAGAATTAATAGTACTAACAAAATGTATTTAAAGATTGGGAACTCTTGTTCAATCAGTACATTTCCAGTGGTTTCTAGTATGAATCCCTTGTAAGATGTACTCTGAGAACAAAAATCACTGGTGCTTCTGTTTCAGGACCTAGAAGATTGCCAGATCACTTTATACAGCAGGATTTAGTAATACTTCCTGATATTTGGACGTCTACTTATGATTGGCTAACAGCATTGCAACTCTACCACTGACTCAATTTACTTTGCAACGTTGATGTTTTATCTGCACAAGCCTGGAGGAGTTTTGCTATGTGGAGCTGCTTATGCTAAGTCAGCTTCCACAGCAGACTTTCTCTGCTCATTCCTGGATGCCTTTTGCGAGTCAAGATGGGCAAGTCCGTGAACGTTAATTGACAGTGTGACGTCACGCCGTCAGGCTTTCCAAGCAGGAGATGGGTGTAGTAGACAATCTTCATGCTCAGCCTGCACGAAAACCTCGAAGGACAATTTTTCATCAAAATTAATAACAAAAAATATTTTCAGTGTTTCACACTCTTAAGACCAAAGTATGCAAATGTTCATGCTCAATCGATTGATTAAAAGGTTCAAATACTTCATTTTATCCGAGACAAAGCTAAGATAATCAGTCAACGTAAGAACATCTTATAAAACGTGTAAATATCAAAGACTGAAATCGGCTGCCCCTGGCAACTCAATCACCCAAGGTGATTGGTACCGCTCATGAATAAAGCATTAGCGTGTTGAGTCAAAGCGAATCGATAATGCAAAAGTGAAAGAAACACAGTCAAATGAAGGGTATATATGTCTCTGAGTTTATTCACGGAGGAGTGTATGATGAAACCGGTGGGTAACTGCTCCGTCCACACATTTCATAAAATTAGTCTCATCCAGCACAGCCAGATCTGGTGAGAGATCGAAAATCTTCCGAGCTGCCTTGGATGGGGAGAAAAACAGTGGCTTCCATTACTGCACCTGTTTTCAAAATGAGTGTCCCAAGTTTCTTTTGTCATTACAGCACATTCACAAGTTTCAGAATGGGGGAGAGGATTCTCGACAACAGCAAACAGTTTTTTTTCTCTTTTGTTTTTTATCTCCAGGAACCAATGCATAGGGTAATACAGTTAGAATACAGTATTTCAACTTGTTTTACAAAGATTCATATGGTTTAGGAAACAGGAAATAAAAATAACTGCACAGCAGTAAGAAAGGTCATTTGTCGAGTATAGATAGTCGTTTATCGTACACACTGTAGAATAGCCTAGAAACACAGGGCAAAAGAAAAACACTATCGCAACAGTTTTGCGCTATATTCAATTGAACACCAGGATGCCCTTTTGTCTTCAGACAAATTTAGGAATATCAGACATTTCTAAGGGAAATCCACATCCAATTGGCCACTCTTTTACATTTATTCATTTAGACCTTTTGCTTTAGCCATCAAAGTCCTAGTAAGCACACACCAAAGACACCCAAATGAAATGCACACATCAAAACTGCGACCATAAACAAAATCATACTGAAATGTCTTCAGCCTATTGGCACGCAGCTGGCTGCAGCAGGGCATCTAGCATTTTAGACAGCACACATAAGATCACAAGTCCAAATACATTGCTGTGTCTATAGTACTATTATCATCATAGTCACCTAGGTTACCAACAGAATAATTTAGACACAATTTATATGTATTATCCTATTCAGTAAGGCACATTTTTGGTTAAAGAAAGGCTCTGAAAGAAGCTTCTTGCATCAACTCTGTCAGTAAGAAAGGAGTCACCAGTAAACAACAGAGGAGACAAGGATGGAGTCTGCAGTCGGCATGCAATTAAGATCAAAAGCCTCCCCTGCTGATTCCATTATACAGAGTGCCACTCTGCATCGCACTGAGTGGGCAGTGCCAAATGCTGTTAGCCGGGATGCCGGAGCGCCATGCTGAGACGGCAGACGAGCAGGCTCGAGGTCTGTGCAAAACGTCACTCTAGCCAAGGCAGGAATCGTTAACATTCTGGGGTCTCTGGAGCTTGCTGCTCTGTGTCAAGCACACGCACGCATCCATGATCAGATACAAGAGAGGACAATTAAATCATCTGTCAACAGCAAGACCTACAATTTAGGGATGGTGTTTAATGGCCTAAGGAATATCAAAGTCTCAGTCCAACCCTGTCCACCCTCCGACACTGACATGTCAATGGTTCAATTACCCTCGCTATTATGTACACTCAATCACCCCAAAATCATACAAATAATAGAAAGGAATTGTATAGTTTGTTCAGAACATACTATTGCAGTACCAACTGCATTCTGTGGCAGATTATTAATATCAGCATTAGGCTATTTTATAGCTTTAGAGGCAAAAAGTCATGACGATTATTTTCAACATTGCAGTGATAATAGTGAAAAAGATAACGTAGTTTTAAAATCTATAAATACAATGCTTAAATCAATTTGGATTTTTGTTGAACATATTGCTGAATTGCTACGATAAATACTTTGTAAAGATTATGTAACGGTTTCCTGTGGCTCTCGTGTGATACTGTTATTATTATTGCAGGGCTAACATGAGTAACATGGCTCCACGAAAGAAAAAAGGGTTTCTTTTTCAAAGAAAAGAAAGTTTTATTGCAAAGAAAAATGTTTAGAAAAAAGAAATCAGTGATTTACTGTAATGTTTCATACAAAAATGAAATGTCCCTCTGTGCTTCGGCTTTAAGTGGAATGTTTCATGGCACTGTACAATAAAGGGAGACAGACTGTGCTATTATTGATTTCCACAAGCACAAGTGGCAATCAAGCTCGAAGCGAATCTGCGTCAAAAGCAGAAAATTCAACTGAAATGTTTCTAAAACCACTGGCGACCTGTCAGTCGCGTGAGCCTGAACATCGCTAGATTAACCGGCGTCCCCTGCGAGGGCCCTTTGTTCTCCAACGTAAAGCTCATGGCGAGCGCAGGCTCCCGGGTTCGTCTGAGTTTGGGGAATTCAAAATGACAGAAAAGCAGGCGTCCCTTCGCCCTCACGCCTGAAAATAAGCATCCTGTGTGTGCACGCCCATTCCCACACAGTCCACAAAGCATCCCATCACACACTTCAATCTAGTAACATACGCTTTTTCTTCACATGTTCACGCAAATACACACATACGCACACAGACACACACACACAGGCTAATAAAAACACTGTTCGCACCACAAAGTGATCCAGTTAAAAAGATATTTTTTCCTTATAAAGCTTTCCGCATAAAGACTGCACAATAAAAAAAATATATAATATAACTCTTTTCCACACAGAGAGAAATTCAACATCTGATTATCTGTTATACCAGTGCTCCACAGGGGGGCTTAATTCTCCCAGAAAGGTCCGCCACACTGCATTGTGGGAGCAACACCCAGTGAAGCATGAGAGAGGGCTCAGACATTTAAATTTTGGCAAGTGAGATTTAAGGCGTACCTATGACGGAGGAACCCGTCTTTTTCCTTCCCCTCGTTTATTTTTGTATTTTTTGCTCCCCACATGCGTTTAATTAGTCCCTGCCACTCACAGATCAGAAAGATGCTTCAGGGCCGAGCCGCACGATGTACACACATAAATGAGTCCCCTCTCAGATCTCTTATTTCCATTATTTATGCACAGATAATAAGAAATAAGCCCCTGTAGTCACTGGCGAAATCCCTCCATTCCTCCTTCTTCCCTCATTTGCCTCAGTGGGTTAGAGATCAGTCACTTTGTTTTCCAGGGCAGTTGCAATCTGCTGCAGCCTCAGGGTCAGCTGTTTACTCTGGGCCGCCGGATCCTCATCCAGGGAGGCGATGATCTGAAAGGAAGACGTTACAGACAGTTGGAATGATCGACAGGGAAGTTGGAAGTACCAGAAATAGAGGAGGAGGATGAGGGTTGGGAAAAGGAATGAAGGACAGTGGAAGGGTAATGATGGGAAAAGGGGGGTTAAGGGTGAGGAAGACTGGCATTAGTTGATATCTACAGTCACGGCATGTAAGCGGTTATTGTTTGTGAGCAACACTCATGGGAGACTGACAGCCTCATTTGTTTATCCAACTTGTTCATTAGGTTTTGTTTATCCCCCTTTTTCATGACCTCAAGTGGCAACGCACAATGGACTTTTTCAAAAATCAATTCCCTGAGCAATTTTCCAATTCACATCCCACAGAAATGCTTTCAATTAAAATTTCACACAATCTCTTTTCTGGCATATCGAGGGTGAAGGGGGGAGAAAAATGAAATATAGCGGGCAGTAGTGCATGCAGTGGAATAGACTCTTTTGGGTGAGACAGGAAGGAAAGAGAGCAGCCTCTCACCCCGTCGTAGTATTTGCTGGCATACTGGTAAAGCTGATGGAGGGCCACTTGTGTGTTAAGTTTGTCCGTGTGAGACTGGGGAACATAAACAACAGCTTAAAGTTAGGGACATTAAAAAAGTGGATCAATAACTAAAATAAAGTCACACCTGAATGCAGCCCATTGATGGATCTGAGTTAATAAACCAAAACAGAAAGCAAATCCTTCCAAATATTTATCATTGTCATTGTTTACCTTTTGATTACAACATTCATTTATTTTGCTCAACTAACAGAAAGCTGTAAAGCATGTTTTCAAATCAGTAAAAATCTGACATGAAGTAGTCATCTGAAGGATGCACTACAGATCCCTTAGTTTATGGATTCTCAGCAGCAAAAATAAAAGGTACAACTTCTTTCTGTGATTTATAACTATATTAAACTCCCAGTTTAGGACCAAATATCTTATTATTGCTCATTGCAGCTAGAAATCAGCACAGCTAAACAAACACGTTTGCTATATTTGATCAGGGTCCATAAATGATTTGGTCAGAGCGGTTTTACAGTGTTTAGAGTCGCCGTAACAGTTCGAGCTAAAACCGAAAACAACGTAGCAACAACGGCAAGGCCAACCATACGGAAAGATAAAGATGGCTGTGTTCCTCACCCGTGACACTTCTGCCAAATGAGTGTTCATGTCCTGATCACTGACGGGGACCATCTGCCTGACGCCCTTGTAGTAGCTGTACGCACGCACACACACACGCACACACGCACACACACACGCACGCACGCACACACGCACGCACACACGCACGCACGCACACACGCACGCACGCACGCACGCACACACACACACACACACACACACACACACACACACACACACACACACACACACACACACACACACACACACACACACACACACACACAGGAAACAAAAGGTGGTAAACATTCCCATTACATAACTCTTATTAGAGGAATAAAAACAATAATCTGGAGGATTTAAAACTTACTCGTCCACCATCTTCTTGTAGGTGGAGATCTCCTTTGCATAGAGTAATTTGTTACTTGGAGAGTCCTGCAGACAAGATTCAAACATTTTTGGTTAACTGACCCATGACAGTCCTCTTCTTACATTTTATCTCTAAATCAGTCCACTTCTTTATCCGGCTTCCATTTTCACCCCACTCCTCCACCCGTCCCTCCGCCTCCGCTCACCCGACTGAGTTTGTGCTCGCTCTTGGTGCAAGCATCCATGAAGGTCTGGGCAATGACGGACAGCGAAGCGTCCACCACTTCGGACACGTGGACATCGAAGATGAAGTGAGGATTCTTGAGGATGTTCACCCAGAATCTCAGAGGCAGGCTGTGCGGTGAAGAAGGGGAGGCAACAAATCACAATTATCGTCACCATCCATGCTTTGAAACGTGAAGAAAATCGAGCCATTACATCGGCAAATTCACTTAAGACAAGAGAAACAGCACTAGCCAGAGGTGCAGTTGAGTGCACTATGAGGTAATAACAGGCATAGAGAAAAGCCTCTTCTAGGTGTCAGTTTATTCAAAACAAGAGCTTTCACCGTCAATTTTTATTAGTTTTTCTTATCACGCACATCTGTAGAAAAACTCAAGTTTAAAAATAAAACAAAAAACCTTTGATGATGCGAGAATGATGGTCATTTATGCTAACGACCAGATTAAAAATGCTCCAAAACTTTGACCCTTTAAGTTCCTGAGCAGCCTAGCGATGTAAAGAACAGACTACATAATGTAACGCTCCAGTTCCTGTGTTAATTTCCCTCCTGAACAGTAAAACACTAGCCTCATATCGGCTCACAAATTCACAAAAACATCAAAAATACTGCAGCTTCCAAAAGAGAAAAAAAAAACTATCTCCCTGATTGCTGTGAACGTCCCCCCATCTGGGACCGAAAACACACACAGGGTAGAATTCATACTGGTTTGGTAATGTCTTCTGGGAGGGCTGTGGTGAGAACACAATAGAAGCATAAAAATAGCTGTTTTGCTATAATCACAGAATTAATTTAGCATGGGACGTAATTTCCATGTTTGTTTGTTGCTATGCTTCATACACACATTCATATTTAAAACACGGCCCCTCAGTTGATGTGATAAGCAGAACGGGTGGATGCAGAATGTGGTGTGGAGTGTAGTAAGTAATTAAATCGCTCATCTCCTATCCTTGTGTGGGTGCTCTCTTGCCAGGCTTGCGTCAATCACCGGCATCTACATGCAACACGTCGTCTTGTATGCTTGAGCCTGAGCCGACGTGACACAAATTTATGCACTCAAATACCACATGGAAGCACGGAGAATGCAAATGCAAACTAAGTAAGCTGAATTTGTATATTTGTCTTCAGCTCTTTTTTGGATAGGTTTTTTTTCTTGGAGAGTTATTTGGTCAGACAGGAAGATTGTTTTATAGTTTCTGGTTGTGGTCTCATCTCTGCACTTCAACAGGGCTTCCACCGGTGGATGGTGCAGGGGGCTCCCCTGTGCTTTTGGGTTAAGAGAGGGACCCTGACTGGTGTGTCCTCTCATACCGTCAACAACAGCTCAGCAAATCCAAACCTTTGGGAATTTTTCTTGTAAGATGATCTGGAAGGAACACAGCTGTATATATATATATATAAATTTTGGGGGTGAGTGAAGCTTAAGCTGATTACTGTCTGGAGGCACTTTGTTCTAAGTGTCAGATAGGTGTGGAACACTGGGAAAAGCCCAGGAGATCCTCAGCTCCCAGCTCCAGCAGAACTTTTCCAGGATACTAAGGGAGCATTCAATGATAGTGTGGTGGATTGTTGGTGTCCTTCATTAAGAAACAAAATTAATTGGTTGTGTACAAAAAATGCGTGGTTAGCATGTATGACTTGTAGTTGACTAAGCGGAGATTCCTGCAGACCCAACAGAAAATCACTTCTGGATTTGCAAAAGTAAACAAAAAGGGATACGGCTTCTGAAAATAACATTTAGTATCTTTCAAAGAGCTCGTGGCAGGAGGACCCCAGTGCTTCTCCAGGTAGGACAACACTGATATCATGGTCAGCCGGAACATCAGAGGGCAGCCCGGTGCTGCTGCCAAATCTTACTTAAATTCATATTTAAATTCCTGAAAAACATATGCTTAAAGATACAGTGTGTAGTTTTTACCATTAATCTCTGGAAATATCCTTTGAATCACTGTTGAAAAGGAAAAAAATGATGTCCGGTTGTTGAAAAATATTGGCGACTTCGTAACATAAAACCATAAAAATTGGGTTTAAAATACATAGAGTGTGGATCTAACGCCGTATTAGACACCATGTTTCCTTCTTGTCGGCTTGGGGTCTTGCACCTGTCAATGATTTCACACTAAATGATTGGCTGGACGTACGACTTACGGAAGTTACGTTACCACTGTCAAAAACGTTTAGGTAGTAAGAAACAAGAATTTAATAACAAAACTACAAAACTCTTTCCAAAACCTATGTGAAAGAACAGAAATGAAAAAGAGAAGCAACATATTTTTGGCCAAGTGGTGTTGCTGTAGAGTGATGATGTCATAAGCAGGCGCAGGACCTCGAGCAGATCCAGAAACTACAGCGCCAGAAAACTAGCACTGGCATTGCCTTCTCTCGATGGAACAACTGAGGAGTCATCAAAGTCTGAGGAGTCACACCGAGGTCGCATGCTTTCTGCTCTACAGGTAACAACATTTACCGTAATGATTCCTTAAACTAGCGGCAGTAAGGGCAATATGGCGTAAAGCTACCCTGACGTGTATATACTGCCCCCTAGTGGCAGGAAACTACATAATGCCACTTTACTATGGGCTGTAAAACATTAATGTCAACTGAAAAATATTTTCATTCCTGCCTATTTTTTAATACTATGTCAGCGTATTGGTTTGTTTGATAACTTTAGCTAAGTGTTTTATTTTAATACTGAGCAGTGCACAAAAATAGGATTCAACATCTGGATAAATTTAGTGTTCAGAAACTGAAGTTTGGGTTCAGAGAGGTTGTGTCAACCGTGAGAGGAGATGTTTACTCCCCAGCATCCAGAATGATAATTAATTGCGCAAGCAGGAAGCCCCTGCTGGCTTATTCTACCCACCAATCGGAGGCTCCCCCTAAAGGTAGGGGTGAATTTCAGCCAACCAATCAGTTGACAGTGGGAGTGCTGGGTCACCTCAGCCTAAAGCAGACCACAGGGGGAGGAGGTCTGAAAAAAATGGTCGGGTAAGCACGAAAAACACACGTTACCCAGATGTGAATACAACCTAACCAGGGCGGGCCCATGCCGACCCAGATGTGAAAGCACCCAGTTAGCTGAAAATAAACCAAAGTTCAACTGGTTCAAACACAAAAAGGCAACCAGTGAAATAACACCCATAACAGCATATTATCATCTGACGAAGACCACGTTTCTCTGCATTCGTGCCTTGAGCAGAAAGAAACTGATATCTGTTATCTGTCAGGTTTGTGCTGGCAGCATCTGAAGCATCAGAAAGCTGGCGATAGTTCCCAGAAGCTAAATTAATAGGTTACAGCCAATGATTTCCCAGATAGTTTTTTTTTCTCCTGAAAACAAAGTAAAGATGTATAACTTTTTATTGTCCTGGGTGTTAGTAAAGCATCTAGTCTGACAATAACTGAATGAGTTCTTACCTATTAGTCTTCCAGATATGGATGGTCTCCTCATCCACACAGTGTTTCAGTGCTTGCTCATCCAGAAAGTCAAAGAAATATTTGACTGCTGCTGGGACCACAGCCCCAGAGCACAGCACACTGCGGAAAAAGTCATCCACAAACTGCTGTAGCGTTCCCTGAAAAAGCCCAAAATGTAAGGGTAAGGTGGCGAGAGAGAGGGAACAGCCAACAACACCAAAAAACCCAGAGCTAAAGCTGTGTGTGCTTAAAAATACAGCTTATGTTGGTTTGAAGCTCATTCCAAAGGCAAAAAATCTTAAAATTATTAATTAAAAAATGCAAACATGTGACTGAATCTACAATTTGGAGTTTGTGCTCTATACCTTTACAGAAAGAAGTCGTGTCAGGTAGATTTCTGTAATGGCTTTGGTCATGGACTTGTCCTTTATACTTCCTCGTTTAGATTTGATCTCGTCCAATTCATCTGCTGGCCTCACTAAGTGAAACACTTTATCGTCTTCCAACAGAGCGTTTCCTGTGGAGGAGTGGAGGGTAAAAACTCTTTAAACTTTCTGGTTCTTACTCTACTTTTTATTTATTCATGCATATTCTTACAAAACACATTTACATGACTAAAAATGGGAGGAATGTTTGTCAACTGAATTCATTTTCCACTCTTCTGCAATGTATCTGAAAAGGATTAGAGCAAACGTGCGTACAATTTAGAATCTAAAAATGTAAAAATACATAAAACAACATGCATTAGCATATTTAATAAAAGAGGGAACACCCAGAAGAAACAAAACAAAGGCTCGTGTGTGTGTTTGAGCTGAGAGACACGTACGCTCTTCGTGATTTTCATGGTTCTGGTCGTAGCTGTGCTGCGTGTGAACCACTCGGGACAAAACTAACGTGGCATTGTCCCGCACCTGCAATGCAGAAAAAGTCCCTAATTAAAGCAGAATACATGGAAATCCAATTTATTTTTTATTTTTTAGGTGCTGCAGCTCAGGTCAGCACCACCTTAGAACTAATTTCTAATCAATAAGACTAAGTAGGTCTTTACTCAGGCCAGTTTCTATTGTATCATTTCGTTATTGACCCTACAGATGCTCTGACAAATGCACTAACCTGACCCAGTCAAGGAATCTATGGCGGTGAGTTGGTGGTGTAAGCACAACTGAGGGGCAATAACAGATTGGATCAAAGAGGCCAAGTTGCTTTGAAAAAGGAAGATTTGAGCAGGACAAGTAGGGGATATTGTTGAGTGACCTTTATTTTCTAAGAATCAATACTGTGGCACAAAGATTTAGTGGCATTCAGTTGTCATTGGGAGATTACAAGTATAAAGTAAGATGTAGCAAAAGGAAGGGAGAAAGTCGAGTAAATAAAAATATATATTTTTTCTGTTAAATTTTACTTGATATGTGATAATTGTTCAAAGGGATTTTAAACCACTTTGATGTGTGTTTCTGTTAAAAAAACATATCCGCTGCTCTTTCTGGTAGCAGAAAAAGCCTTTACATCCATCAAGACTGACAAGCTAACAGCTAGTAGTAGCTACAGGCCCTCAGAGGGTGACGGACATTTCTTAACTGTTTGTGGAAAATGATTTGTCAGGACGCCACTTCCTTTAAATTCACCAGCATCATTCCCTGCTGAAGACACGTCATGGCAGATGGAAGACCGTTACGCTGAAAACATCCAACGATATGAACGTTTATACACCCGTGACAGAAGGGGAACAAAGATACGCGGCAAACGAGCTGAGTCTGGACTTTGAGGCTTCTGCCTGAAGAAAGGAGGGTGAATAGTTGGATTGGTGGGGTCACTTCTTTATTCAGCTGGTGAGATAGAATTACTTTTACATAAAAACACACTTCAGAATTAGTGGAATACCCCTTTAAGGCTTAACAGAAGGAACGTTCAAGGAAAGTACAAAACTGATTGATGGATCTGAACTAACTCCTAAACAGAGTGCCATAGCACCTACTTTTAGGATTATCCTTCAGAACAAGCCACACACTGCTACCATCTTCGAGGCATACCAAACACAGTCAGAGCGGATATATACATGAATACATGAGTAGGGTCACATTCACTCTTGCATAATTTTTACATTACATTTGCAACTGAGTGCTATGTGGGGTCGTAAGCAGGAGAAAGAGAAGAGATGTCCTTGCCACAAACACGTTTTATTTTACTTATAGGAATTTTTAGGGGGCTACTAATGCACTCAGGACAGTTATCTAAGATTGGTGCATAGAGATTAGTGTATTGTAAAGAAATGTTGCTATAATCATTCCTTTGCATAAACAAAATAAAGTTGAAGTTAAGTTGAAGTTACGTTTATGGCTTTCACATGTATTATTTTATATGTTTTCATCTCGAGAAGGTTTTTTTTATTCAAGTCTTTAAATGCGAGAATTATCCTGAATTTAAAGAGCAAGTCACCCCCAAATCAACTTTTTTTTCTGATAAACTATATAAATGTGTGTCTAATCGTGCTGCAGACACGTGTAGTTAATAGTTTTGTACTTTAGTGCATTTTAGTTAAAATTGTAAATTTCTGCCTAAAACTGTCAGTGTTGTGCCATTGTCAGGTAAAAACTCTGCACTGCATTAGAATTTAAATCTGCCACCGCTATTGGCTAAGAGGTATGCTATGATGTAAACTGGTCCTTATGATGACACAATGCCGTTGTGAGCCTGTGTGTGTGTGTGTGTGTGTGTGTGTGTGTGTGTGTGTGTGTGTGTGTGTGTGTGTGTGTGTATTTGTTAGCGGCTCCGCCCTCTCGGTCTGCTAGGCAACCGCATTTGTTGCATTTTTCAAACATGAAGAGGGAGTGAAGTAAGTTTCTTGTAGGGGGTGACTTGCTCTTTAAGCATTTGACAGTTTTGTGAGAATAAATACAAAACAATAACAACTCAATGAGGGATCATGTATTCAAAGGAGACAGGGAAATGGGCAGTAGGCAGATTACATGGAAATCACAGTGATTTGCAGCTCAGACTGAAAACACGGGGCTCGATTCCCGTCCACACACCCACAGTTATCTATTCACCCCTCCACATCCTTATCAAATTCCTACCTTATTTCCTTTTTTCGTGTAATTACAACAACACATCTTGTCGGTACTCACGTTGTAGTGCGCTAGAGTGTTGATGCGCCTCCACCGGCCTTCTTTCTGGGAGGTCAAGTCCAGGTCTGATAAAATCTGCCCTGTTGAGCCGGGGCGCCACTCTGCAAAGGCACGAAGAGAACAAAGACCTCACCGTGATGCTGGCAAAGCGTCACCATATCTGAGCTATTAGTTTATCCAGACATTAGACCACGACGGGTCACAGACGCCAAGGTTTCCCTATAATAATGTAACTTTAAACAAGTTCAGCTACTCATCCTGCATTGTGACCAGCCTTCTCCTGGGATTTAAAGACAGTGAAGAAGTGACACATCCCTGTTTCATGAATAATTTAAGTTTTACTCCAAGCTGTGATTTGTGCCCCAGCGTTGTCTGCGTAACTGCAGACTTGAGTCCAACACCACATGTGACATACTGTGTGATTCATTTGAAAGTACCACCAAATATAAAGGAGAGGGGTTTTTAAATGTATTTTTTCACTATGAACAAAGATGAATCTCTTCCATCTAAAACGTGTAAAGAAAATGAGATATTCGGCGTGATGGGAATAAAAAAGAGCTTTGATGTTAGAAAAAGTCTGTAGAGCTTTGGTCTTTTAAGTCAGTCCCTGAGGTTTATGACTACAGCACAGAGCAAATCTTTCTTAGGAGATTAAGGATTTCTTCATGTTGCTGACAATGAATAACTTTTTCAAACATTAATTCATGTTTTGATTTTGTTTCACACAAACAGGTTAAAGAGACAGCAACAATTTAGAAAAGATTCACTCGTTTGCAGCGGTCTCTGGTAAGAATTAATGCCTTGTGAGTAGTACTCTAGGGAAACAAAGCTCCAGCGCATCAGTTTCAGGAAGTAGAAGTGAGGCACATCAGAGCGGAGTTTTATGCAACAGGATTCAGAGTATTATTTCCTGATACTTGGACTTCCCGCCTCTACCACAGACTGTTTGCTTTTGAACGTTGATGTTTTATCTCCACAAATAACACAAGCCTGAAAGGAGTTTTGCTGTGTTGTGGAGTCGCTAATGCTAACGGTTAGCTTCTCCACAGCCTAACCTCACTTGCGGGAAAACACGTCACCAGACTTTAAAGCCAAGATCATCATCATTTTGTGGTCAAGTCTCGAAAATAAGGCTATCTCATACAATATTGCAGGATCTCATGGAATTCGTTAGTGCTCGGAATATTTGTTAGGGATGCATTTCTGCTACAACACAATCAATGTTAGTTCAGTGTAATATAGTTGAAGCCATTTTGTGTTTTCTAAAGTCAGTTTGATGTAGTGGTTGAATAGTTTGTCAATAACTTAACCATAATATTAGAACTCATTACCAGCAAATGACATATGTGAGAAAACTAACCAGCATTTTTACTTTCAAAATTTATTGAATAAATAACACCAACAACTATAATACTTACATTTTTTTATTTACATCGCTAAACAAAGTTTTCTCATTTTTATCTTTACTTTTAATTAAATTCAACATTGAATGTTCACCTTGTTTTCTGTCAGCTGCATCATTCTGTTGACTTTATATCTGGTTAAAAATCCTCAATGTTCACTTCTGTTTACATGTGTATTGTAAATGAGTTTATAATAGACTCAAATAAAAATAAGATAAACACACGGGAAAATCATTCTACACTTAAGTAGTAACAACATTGTTATATGCAGGTATTTCTGATCCTACATGTCCTCCATCCTCCCTCTTGTTGAGTCCTCCTCCTCTCCCCTCTTTACTCACCCAGGGTGACACTGTCCACCTTGGGCCTCTGGGAGTACGGTACGTTTCTGTACACTTGCTCGATGATCTTCTCCTTCACCTGTGAGATGGTGTCACAGTTCAGCACCTTGACAGGAGTCACATCTGGACCCTCGCCCTGAACCAGCACCTGCAGGGTCTGGCAAGCAAAGGAACAGATAACAACAAATTGGTGCTCTGTGGAGAAAGAATAGGTGTTCAACATAAACCATGCAAAAACATCTTCACCTGTCTAGAGCAGGCAGCCATCAGTGCATGCTGAGCTCTGTTGGGATGCTGTTGTTATGGCAACTGGGCAAATGCACACATATGCTGCACTGACACCTGACATGAGACCTGTCACCTTGGCGAGCTAATGACCAAGGTTCAGCAGGAGGAAACTCTGACCCGCCTCACCTCCCACACTCAGCCAGCTGTGTAACATTTAACTGACCACTAAAGAGTAAAAAAATCTCATCCCAACAGGAGCCTCATGAGCTCATCCACTTTGGAAGTAAATATGGAGCTCACACTGTGAATAAAGCCACCAGCACACACTGTTCGCTCGTGAAACTCGGCTTGTTATGTATTTTTTTCCTCCTCTGTGTAATTTAATCACAGAAGGCGATCCATCACTACAGGAGACATGTAATTCAGCCTAATTTGATAATTGTCCTCGACAACGCCATTACCCATGGGTCTTTTTGTTTGTGCTGACTTTAATAGAAAACAGCTGTGTTCAGATTAGCTTCCATTATTGAAACACAGCACCAAAATGAAAGGCGCACACTTTCTCCTGAAAGGTGCCCAAACGGATGTGGGGCGCATGAAGGCGGTGAGGTCGAGGGGCGGTTGTAGAGGTGACTTTTTCTTTATTCTCGCCCCGACTTGTCGTGCGTTCACCTGGGCCCTGCGTCTCGCTGCTATATTGGAACGTGTCGCCTGAGTTGTTTTTGAGTTGAAAACACTGACACTTGAAAATGAATGTCACACAAACGCAGGCAGTTGCCTCAAGGTCCCCCCCCCCCCCGTGTGTGTGGTTACCATGGTAACAACATAGAGAATACATGTGCACGTTCCTGTTGCTCATCCACCAGACAACAGTTAAACAGGGAGTTTCTGGTGTGTTCGCTGTGTGTCCATCTCACCAGGATGGAGTACTCCACATCATCACCCAACAGGCCGGTGTCGTTCAGGGTGTACTTGGCTTTCTTCACTCTCACGTCTACGGGCCCCTTTTCAATCTGGTGCTTGATGGCTCGAAACAGTTTGTACAAGGGCTCGCCTGCGGAGTCCTACAGAGCACGAACACACAAGCACGCAGGAAAACACACACAGACACAAAGCAATTTAAAACTCATCTCTGATGTTGCCAGGAAGCTAATTGTTCTGATAAACAGCTGAAAGGATAAATAATCTCACATCTTCTCTGGGTGCACTGAAGAGAAACAATCCAGAAATGCAGGAGCAACTTTTTTTTGTAGCGCCAAACGGGTCTTTAAGCAGATTATTTAAAGCCCATTACTTTTGTCACTGAACAATAAAGTTTGTTTCTCAAGAACTAGACTATGAATATGTGTGTGTGTGTGCATGCGTGCGTGTGTGTGTGTGCCCGTGCGTGCGTGCGTGTCATTATATCCCTTTAACTTCCTCACCAAGAAAAAAAGCTATGAAAACATTCCACTTTTGCATTTTTTGGGGCAATAAGGGCTTTAGTTTCAGGTAAATCAATAATAGTAACAACATAATGTAATATTAAGATTATGATAAAGCAATATAACAATTTTATAGCTTGGCCAGCCAGACTCGCACTGTTTAATTCTGCACAGAGACTGAAAGGCCTTTAGCGCTTCTTCTTGTTGAGGTTTTAAAGACATGTCCAAGTCATTCAGAACAGAGGAAAGAGCCGCGGCGAACTCCCTTTCAGACGCCATATTCGTTGTTTACGGGAAACTGAGAGTTGCGGGGTGTGGCGTACGCTGCTCAGCGATGATTGGTTCGGTTGGCATTCACGGAGGGTGGGATTATTTGAATAGGAGAGTTACCAGACTCAGTCTCTGTGCAGAATTAAACAGAGCGAGTTTGGCTGGCCAGGCTAACAATTTTGTGCATTTTATTCAAACAACTCCCTATTTTTTTTAAATAATTCTGTTTCACTATTTTTTTCTTGTTAGGTTCTTTAGATGATTCAGCAAGTTGTAGGGACTTTAAATATGCTTTACCAAGTGGTTGACCAGGCAGGCAAAGTGACACGCACACACGACACATTTACGCTTCTAAGATGATTACCATCCCTGTCACATGACTAAACAATTCCACATCATCACCCCTTCACCCTCTGAAACAGATACACAGAGACAAGATTGAAAAATCATCGGTTGTTATCGGCCCAGTTTTACTTATCGGACCGATGCTGATAAGGTAAAAAATGACAATACTGGCCGATACAGCTATTGATGCAGATATATTGTGCATCCCGAATTTAAATCATAGTCTGATAATGTGTTTCCATGAAAATAATCACTTTATGTCTTAGATGCCTTTAATGTCACTGCATCATATTTGAACAGATCTTTGGAAAAACTGTTACCGGTAAGTGGTCTTCATCTCCTCCCACAGGTACTGCTCATTTATGTTTGCATTCGTTCTGCTAGAGTCCCCGTACCTCAATATAATTAAAGAGCCAAGCAATAACAGTGAAACGATCAGCTGTTAAAAGTTTAGGCAGTTGTTTTCTTACACAAAAACCAGTTTGGACTTTTAAGATTTTTGTACAGTTTTTTGTTTTTGTGCCTGATCTCCATCACTGCAGTTTTCAGACAGATACGGTTAAGTTTAGAAATACTAAAACTCGTGTTACCTTCAAGAACTGGTAAAGGCAGATGGACATCCAGTTACACAGCATCCTTTCCACAACCGTCTCAGATCTGAAAGACATGAGATGAGCAGCTTTTAATATAAAATGTGTAATAAATTATATGATTTCAGTGATAGTGAAGAATCCTAATGAAAGAATATTTGCAGATATGGCACTCTGGACAGTTAAACAAGGCACTCAAGAAATGGAAGCTGAACTATCAAAATGTCTGTATTTAATCTGAATTAATCCCAGAATAAGTAGAACACTTGCTTCTCCATGGTTATAATCATCATCGGCGGCGTCAGAGAGAAGCGTGTTTTCATAACAAGGGTAGATAATCTAACTCCAGTGGTTTTTCTATGGCAGTGTGACATTATCTAACAAACTTTCATTTTTTTAGTCCTCCTCATTAGCAAGAAACCACAAACAAAAGAAAACTGCAAATGAAAGAATCAGTAACTGAAATGTCAATGTATGAAGGTGAAATAATGCTATCAGGAACATAATTAACCTTAAAGAGATCCTTCACTCATATTTTTAATACATTTGCAGTGGTCACAAGTAGGAATGAATGCCTTGTAAGTTTATGGGGAAAAAATGCTCTGGTGCACCTGTTTTAGCACAGAGAATTCAGCTGGAGGAGAAAGAAGCTTCAGACGGCAGGATTTAGTCTTATTTCCTGATATTTTGACATCTTGCCTCAGATTAGATAACAGCAAAACAACTCTACCACTGACTTGCAAGGTTTATGTTTTATCTCCACAAACAACTCAAGCCTGGAGGAGTTTTGCTGTGCGGTGAAGTTGCTAATGCTAACAATTAGCTTCTACTAGTCGAGACATTCTCTGCTGTTTCCTGGACACTAAACCAACAGCAGCCTTCCCTGTTGTGAGTCAAGATGGGTGACTCCATCAATGTTAAGTGACAGTGTGACGTAGATCTGTCAGGCTTTTCAAATCCCAGTTTCACACAACTGTTCTCTATCTGAAGCTAAAGCAGAAGATAGGTGTAGGTGACTTTTTTTCATGCTCAGCCTGCATGTTAAACCTAGAATGACAGATCATTAAAAAGGTCAAAAACGGCTCCTCAGTGAATCCAATAGGGTTCAAACCCCTGTGGATACGATGACTGGGATTCTCACCTCATCAATAACAGGGACTTTGGCACAAATGTACTCAATGAGGATTAAAACAATATCTTTAGATTAACAATGACCTTGATTACTCAAAAGGTCAGGGACAGAAGTTGCCCTATTGAGAAAAACACAAGTATAATGTATAAGGGTAAACATTTTTCACTTCATGTCTTAAAGTTTGTGTTACTTGTGTTTGAAATTGTTGCAACAGCTCTGCAGCACAACAGTTCTTCATCAAGACATTTTCATCCAAATCTCCTGTCAGCGGCCACTTGATGGACTGGTGTGACACCTGTTATTAACTCATTGCTCTCCTAATTAGATGTCTCCAGTTTAACTGGGCCTGTGTTTGCACAAAGACCTGATCAACATAATGAGCTTCTCTACTGGGGAATAATTAAGATGTGAGCCTGCATTACAGCTAGTCACAGCCTGCCTCAGCACAGCAGATAGCTCAGATCACACGACCCAGTCTCAGGAGTGATGAGTGAATGTACTGTCCAAATAAATGGGCTGAGCTGAGGGAGGTGAGGCAGCAGTCAGCAAAGGATGTGACAGTGACACGATCATTACAGCACAACAAAAAAAGAGGTCATGCTCAGAGTGCCGCCACTTTCAGCTTTGTTCTGTACAACTATTGCTTTGTTAGTTTCAGGCTGTTATACTTATAAAGATTGATGGATTTGCAAAAAAACATCTTGAAAAATGTCAGAATATAGAAAAATGTAATGTGATTTTATTTTTATTTGTTATGTATAACTATTTTCTTATTAGAACGTTAAAATGTGGTTTTAACTAAGGCCATAAATGCTCAAACTTGTATTCATTTAACTGAAAAGAAGGAATAGCATAAGACATGAAAAGAAAAGGCTGAATTATCCAGCAGATCGTTGTGGAATTCAATGAAAAAATAAAAATAAAACAGAAGGGCAAACAGAAGGAGGAGGACTGGAATAGATTGTGCAGCAGCCTGGTTTTTCACAGTGGACCACAGTGGTCGATGCAAGATTCAACAGGAAACATGGCAACAGAATGAAACAGTCCGCTGCACGTTGAAGCGATTCCCAGTCCGCCTCGACTGGCTGAGACGATCAGTGCCAGAGTTTAAAAATGGGGGATTCATTATAGAGCTTCAGAAGGAGGACATTTAACAATCTGTGGTAAAAACAAAGTTTCTGGTCAATTTAGAAACTTTAAACTTTTAGAATAACTTTATCTGATGACGGGGCTTTAAAGGTAAAGCCAAACACCTTCAGACAGCTTAACTGTGGATAAGTGATGACCACAATCACCATGTTCCCTCTTTAGCAGACATTTACCATTGTGTTAAATAACCTTATTTTATAACCTTATTTTACAAGTTTGACCATCAAGCTCACCTTAAAACCTAAACTATACTGAATTTTAAAGAAGTAACAGATAATTTACTAGATCCATTTTGCACTCACCTGCGCAGCATCAGTTTGGGGTTCTTGCTCTGGACGTACTCCTCCATCAGCTCCAGCAGCAGGGTTCGCATGATGTCTGTGTAGTATTCCAGCTTCCCGTGCAGAGCCACCGTCAGCAGGGAGGCAAAGTACACCTTGGCCCTGGCATTGAAGTCATGACTGCGCTCCAGGGTGCGGATAAACTACAAACACACACACACGTACACACACACAATCAGGCAAATGATGAGCTGAATTATTCATCACGATGAAGCTCTCACACATAGAAGAGCAAATCCAACATAATGTGCTTTTGAATTATCAAATGACTAACGCTACTGAAAATGATAATTATCAAGGTAATTTTGGTTCTGCCCTGTAAAACATTGTGGCTCAGAAATGAGACCAATTAGTGGGAGAAGAATCACCCCCACGCACGCAGTTAACACCTCAGAGACTACGCCAACATTACTGGATTAAAATGAAATTTCACACATCTCCTTCTGTGCTGCACTTCTGATGTTGTACCCCTCAAACTAGAGCATGAGACCGTTCTTTATCTGAGAAACAGGACCACGACTTTATAAGTTTGAGAAATTGTCAACAATGCTAAAAAAACTCCTTTAGGGGATATTAAACACAGGGTAGCTAAGAGTAATAATCCAGTCTAGAAATCTTGACAGAGGGCAGCAGAAGCTGAATTATTTTACTCTGTAGGTTGATATAGCCACACTCCATAGGAGCCTCAGCAGGCTCGAGCAGCCTTGTGCCTCGCCACTCACAGGGCTCTATCGGTTTGGTGGGCAGGATGTTACGGCGACTGAACGAAACATAGATGGCGGCAGCTTGAGGTACTTAAGTCCTTTATTTAGAAGGATGCATTTGAGTCTTCTTCGACAGTGTATGGCAGACTGCTCAGTTGACTGATATCTATAGCGGTGAGTATGTCATGGTGTTCGTTGTCCAATAGAGATCTGCCCATGGGTCATGACCAGACTATATATTCACATAGGTGATAATTTGCTTTGGGTTAATCTGTTAGTAATTTCTATCAGAGCTACTATTAAAGCAGCAACAGAATAATGCAAAACCTCAAATAATTGTTTTGTTTCTACTCCAAAGATTTAATTTCTGGGTTTCATGTAAATTACTTGCAACTGGAACAAAGCAACAAACAAATACGACCTATTGATCATTGTGGAAATCCGTCAACTGGACGGTCCACCAAACAACGTCAAAGTAGCGTAAATACAGCGTTTTTCAAAATAAAAGGATGCCTGCTAGTGTTTCAAAGTAAAGCCCAAGTCTAAATTGGTCAAAGTTGATGCCAGAGCCGTTTCAAATGAGTGCCATTCTGTTGTGATTGACAAGATATACAACTGTTCAGGCCAGTGGTAGAGCTGCTGAGGTTACAGTAGAACATGGCTAGACTGACCCGCAGAGCTAAATCATTTGGCTACTGCTAGATTTGGAGGCACATGGCTCATGAGCAAAATAGTAAAATATCCCAAAGGGAAAAGGAAGGCATCATTTATTCACAGTACTCCTAAAAATGTTCAGTATTTGTGTTGCAACGCAAATGTAAACACACTGTGATCATGGAGTCAGACAAAGAGATGTAAAGGCTACGGTGTTAGGGCAAAAATACATTCTTTCAGACTGAGACGGTTGAGACAACATGACATTAAACGTGTTTAATAGTTACATTGATGAGGAAAGTCTTGGAGTTCAAAAGGTTGGAGAACTGGTTGAGCGCCTGCGTCACCATAGCCTTTCGAGCCTCTGGGATGTCCAGCTTCCCGGTGATCATCACGTCATTCGCACCGTCTTTAGAGGGCAGGAAGAAAACCCTGTCGGTGTAGGTCTTGTAGTCCAGAAATGGGATTCGTCCCTCGCTCACGTCGTTGGTGTGGTCCTCCATCTCGATCATCAAGTCTGTGAGATAGCAACAAGTTATCTGTTTTATATTCTTCTTAAAATGAAAAACTTTTCTGGTATTGTTTTTGCAAATCTGCAGTTACCTGTGAATTCTTTCTTGCAGCGCTCTCGAACACTTTCCTCCAGGTTGTCGAGCTGGTGCTTCACCTTCTCATACTCCCTTTCTGCCTGTTGACTCTTTCTCCTGAACAGACACCACAAGCAAACACACAGCCATCAGCTGAAACCAGCAGAATTAAAGACATTTCATTTGCAATCTTGTTATATTTTAGAACAACTCTCCAGCTCATTTATACACCAGAACGTTTGATGAATGGTTTCCCTGAGCGGGCTTCATTCACCTGTAGCAGTAGATAGAAATAATGATGATGAGCAGCATGGGCACGATAACGGCCGGGATGATGATGTAGAAAGACAAATCATCCTTCTTCTGGTACTGCACCGAGCCCACCATCCATTCTCCTTTCCCAAATTTGATCTGTGGATAAACACAGAGCGTAAGTCCTAAAATCATCACACTTTCAGATTTTAGCAACAAGGTTGTGTATTACAGACATCCCAACATAAAAACACGTCAGGAGGTGACCAACAGCATTTTTACACTTTAATCTTTTCTTCTTTTTAAAGGGGAACTAGGCAGTTTTGGCTTGCTTGTAGCAACCCCCAGTGTCCGTTTGTAGAAATGAAAGCAAAACTTATCCCCTCGCTGTGCGTTCATCGTTTTAACACCTTTATCTAAAAGCTGAAATGTCTCCCAGACTTCCTTAGTGTCTACAGGAGTGGCCCATCACTAAATTAAACAAATCAGCTGTGTTCATGATTTACAACATGCTGGAAACCTGCTGGAACCAGACTGCAGCGCCAGGTATGTCTGCTCAATTAGTTCTAAGTCCAACAGTGGACTTATTCTGTGGAATATTCTGGCCACAGGGGGTGATAGGGGCTGGGTGGCTTTTCATTAAAACCTGAAAAGGGTCATTTTAGCACATACTGGCTTAAGAAAAGGATTTAAAGAGCAAGTCACACACGCGCGTGCGCGCGCGCACACACACACACACACACACACACACACACACAAGCTCACAGTGGCATTGTGATATCATATGGTTCCAGCTAACATCACAGGGTATCTTTTAGCTCATAGCGATAGCAGATTCAAATTCAAATGTAGTGCAAAGGTTTTACCTGAAGAGGGAGGAACACTGACAGTTTTAGGCAGATTATTTCAATATTAACTAAGATGCACTAAAGTGCCACATTACTGACTACACCTGTCTACAGCACGGTTATTCATATATATATATATATATATATATATATATATATATATATACACACATATATATATATATATATATATAGAGAGAGAGAGAGAGAGAGAGAGAGAGAGAAGAGAGAGAGAGAGAGAGAGAAGAGAGAGAGAGAGAGAGAGAGAGAGAGAGAGAGAGAGAGAGAGAGAGAGAGAGAGAGAGAGAGAGAGAGAGAGAGAGAGAGAGAGAGAGAGAGAGAGAGAAAGTTTATCAGCCAAAAAGGGTGATTTGGGGGTGACTTGCTCTTTAAAAATATGAATGAGTTGCTAAGTATCCCTTTAATGTTGATCATTTTGTGTCATTAACAGCTCTGTAGCGTCACATCTTTAAACAGCCACACCCACAGAAGTGAAACAAAAGCTCACTTACAGGACTCACCCATGAGAGAATTACACTATTCATCACAATGGTGGGTTGGATTAAATTAAATGCAACCCTGCAGCTACATGAAAACTGCTCAGTTAGGTGAAATGTTTTTAAAAACATCTTAAGTGAGCTCATCTTCTGAAGGCTTTTAAACCAGTTACTATACAGATAAAGGCCTTTGCAAGTTAATAAATGTGTCTGCAACACACATTAAAATAAACAAACGTGTTTGCAAGGAAAGCTAAAAAGATATTCTCAGGCCATTTCTTTTTATTATATATATATATTTGAAAAACTCTTCTAATTCAATATGCTGTTTAGAAATTCTCTTGGTAGTTTATTATTTTTACAAACCACATTAACTATTAATCAGGGGAATATTGATGTTTTTTTTTTACCCTTACTGACAAAAAAAAAAGCTCCAGATCTAAAAAAAAAAAAATTTAAGTAGATAATTAGTCACTGATTAGCTTTTTATTATTCAAGGACCTACAGGCTTAATTAAAACTTTTACACCTCTTCATGTTTTACTGCAAACATCCTCGCAATGCTGAATTTTCTGGGCTTACGGAAATAAACTGCACTGACTGGCTTCATCAGGTCCTACCACAAGATCCAGGAGCTCTGGCCGGGTGTCTCGGCGCTGGCGTCTGGAGCGAGCGCGCGGCGTGGTGGAGGGTGGGTCCAAGAACAGTTTTTCATCCTGAAGTGTGTTCACGAGACACTGAACGTCACCCACAAACGCTTGAGCCTCGCTGGCTGTCATAGCTCTGGAGAATCCTCGACCCTGCAGGGGGAGAGCGACTGAAATGCTTAAAATGTTGCGGCTGAACAGCATGGAGGAAAATAATTAATTTCCAGTAATTAGATTCATCATATAACGAGCAAGGAAAGCATTATTTTAAGGACCTTCATTAGAAATGGAGGGAAAGTGTAAACTATTAACAGTTATTTGCTGCTTCATGAGCAAGAAGTAATTGAAGTACTACATTTATTATGACTGTAAGCAGAAATCACTTGTTTTTCATTAAAATATGAAAATATTTAAAACAAAACTGTTTATTCTCATTTAGTTGCATGTGGATAGTTTACTACAGTCCTTTACTAATAAACAATCCTACTTCTGGTTTTTATGTTACTGTGCATTAATAATTTGATAAGCATACTGTGCTGTTTAATGTTTTCTCCACTGTGCAGCAAAACTAAAACACGACATAAGCAGCTAGGAATGTAAATCCAGCATCTTTTCCATTTACATCCTCCAGTCAGATAATGAAGCAATCTGTCTTACATCCTTTTAACTAAAGACGAGCCTTTTCTGGTCTTTTTTCAGCTGCGGCATTAAGGCGGTTGGTGAATCTGCACTCACAGTGACGATGATGATGCTGGTCTCAGTGATGACCGTCTTCGTCAGCTCATCGAAGCTGGGGTCGGGGTGATAGTCGAAGGGCTTCAGCTCCTTTATCCAGTTGTCCAGCTGGATGTAGGTTCTGAAGGGTTGGCTCAGGGATCTGTTTATGGCCGGAGACCGAAAATGGATGATGGTGTCGTTCCTCTCATGGGAGTACTGAGTTAGAATAGGGGGAAGGTTTAGAAAACAGCACGAAAAAAAAAGCGAATCCAACAAAAAGGACAACAAATCTCAGTATAAATTAATAGAAAGGGTTAGAGATCCAAGGTAAACAGTGTTGTGGGGTTTTGTTTTGTGTTGGGAGGGAAAAATTACATTAAATAACTCCATTAAAACTGTAGCCAGTCACAAAACAAAACAGCTGCCCCGATGAATAACTAATGGCAGAGTCACACCCCTCAAGCCTTCTTTAAAAGTTGCACTAACTCATTTTCATTTTTTTTTCCCACATTAGTTATAAATCTCATCTCAGTTTTACAGTTTCCCCAGAAACAAGAGCCTGGTGCATGGTACATCAAGTATATCTCATCCAACTGACCTCATTAAATTCTCCAAAGTGCAGATTTTTTTGTTTTATCCAGTTTTTCCTAAAACCGATTAGTTCTAAAAACATGTAAACTTAAGATTTATGTGCATGATTAATAATCTATTATGCAACAGCAAGCAGTCTGATTTGCAACTATGTCAAGATTATTGATCGTTTCTATTTGTAAGATTTACTCAATGAGTTAAATATACTGTACTCTTTACTGTTGAGCATGTGTAACTACAGTTGAAACTTAAAAAATGAGGATATGGTGCAAAAGTCTGTTTATTTCTCTATTTTAACTTCGAATGAGAGTAGGAGTCACCGCTCATCTGGGTAAGGTGCTGGATCAAAAGAGGAATGAACAAGATAAGAATCCGCACGCTTCAATCTGCGATGTGAGAGCTTTATTAGTCGAGCTTTCAGTCAGAGACCTTCATCAGGAGTTGTGGAATTCCACACAAAACAGTCCTTAGTTAAAAAGGTCAGTTATGTCAAACACCTGCGTCACACAGGTGTTTGACATAACTGAAAGCACAGCTAATGGATAAGTCTGCTGCAGCGAATATATTTCAGGTATTTACCTCTCAGCATGTTTACACTACAAATATTTTAAATGTCAAGTCAAGTTAAAACCTTATTAGCGTGAGATTATCCTGCTAATATACCACAATGCCTCCATAATCATGGTATACTATAGGGGTATTTCACCCTCAAACTTCGAACAAACAAAAAAGAGAAAAAGCTCCCATGAAAGCATTGGTATGGTCAATGTTTATTACCTACGATAAAAAGAACCTACTCTAAAATGGGTCATACATTAATAAACAGTTTTATGATGCGGTTGGGTTCATTAGATAGCTGCTTGTGAGCTGCAACCTGCTCCAACATCAAACAGCGTGTGCAGGGACCTCTGAAGTCTTCCTATAAAATTACAAGTACCAGGGGGCCTAAACAGAAAGGAGAAGAAAAGGAAAGCCCTTTACTGAGCGACAAACCTGACTCTACAAATCATTTGTACCACATGCCAGCAGTCATAATGAGTTTCCCTATTTGGCTCTAGTTGGACAGAGTTAAACCAAGAGGAGCTTATTAATTTGAGCAGTCATTGCCTTTGAGATAACATTTTGCATCCAGTGCTGGCTTGTGGTGGCCAGAAGTATTCACTAAATCTCCTCTTTCCCTGGGCAGCAGGGCCCAAGAACTTGGCAGGGATGCAAAGTAATAAAACCCTGCACAGCCATATAATCTTATGCAACCTTAATTCTGGAATTAAGTCTAGCCCTTTAAGTGAAATGAACAAAATTACTACAACCTTACAGCATCCGATACACAGAAGGTCAACTGGGAGGAAGCAGTGAGGAAACTTTCTGCAGGAAGTTTCCTGGCAGATTCAGGCTAAAGCAATTAAAACCAGTCGAGGAATATTGTTCTGTTTTAGGGAGAGTGAAACAATAGCTCTGTTATCTACCATTCAACAGGTTTTGGGGATTTACGGAATCTCACTGATCAGCTAAAACATGAAGACATGGAAACATGCAGATGTCGTAACAATGGTGAAGCTTTTCAGAGTGTACTGGTCAGTGTGGTGAGATACGAAGGAGCTGATCAGTTCCTTAGAGGGCAGGAAAATGGTAGGTAAAAGTTTTAGTAGAGCAAAACTTAGAGAACAAGTAACATAAAAAGCTGACAAATAAAATGAATCCAGACCTCAACAGCCGATGAGTTGTCTCCCTGGACCTTCATGAGAGCAGTCTGGATTAGGTCGAAACCAGAGCCAGTGATTAAAATGTTCCTCCCTCCACTAAAACACACACATAGGCCACATACAGAGAAGCTCATCAGACAAGACAGATAAGGTTAAAAAGTAACCGGAATCATGACAAATATTTAACGTAAAGACAGAAAAAAAAGGCACGTTTTAATCTTCACATCAAAATCCACAGTTTTTAAAACCAATGAATGATTAGTAGCTGAATATGCAGTGGAATAAATTATTCTATTAAAATAGTGAGTGTTTGACATTGAAAACCTTTGTCAGTGTTTAACTTCAATATAAAAGTATTTAAAAAGGAAAAATGGAAAATTTATTCCTGAGTGGTCAGTAATCAACAGCAGAAGTTCATGAGATCAGAGTCAGGACCCACTATGGGTGGGGGGTGGGGAAGTGGAGTCTTAAGATGTCAAATAAAATGCACTTTATTATGTAAAATCATGTATCTTCAAGCTGTAATCTTTTAAAAAATTCTCCATTGTTATTTACAAACAATAATTGTATAATTTTAAAAGCAAAAACTGGGATCGCAAGTTTTATTTAAAATAAATAAAAAGCTGAAACATGTGGGAACCTCTGATTTACCCATGGCATTATACCAGGCTTTTCATTTTTAAGCTTTTCTATTTTAAATATTTCCAGACTACAAGTTATTCCAAAGGTGAAATCAGTGTGTGACTCGTCTTTGTGTTTTCATTCACATTACTGGGCTCTACAACATTTTCTACATCACTTCTCTTGCAGAGATTTAGGTACAATCGACTTGTTCTGGATTATAGCGGCCCAATCCCTAAAGCTTTCAAAACAATACAACACCTGACAGTGAGACTGTGGGTTGTTACAGCAAAGTTCCTAGATATGTAAATATAAAAGTCCAAATTTACCCATTAATAATAAAAATAATCCTAAACTTTTAACATTAGGTCTCTGATTTCAGGTTGCAGCCCAACAAGTTGAGCCATTATATTATTTGGGGGCTTGTCTGGGATATTTGTTTGGTAGAACACTACCCGTTCTTAAGTTGTAAATAAGTCACAATGAATCTTCATTTGTCAAAGTTCATCTGAGTTCTCTGGATCAGATCTAATGTACAAATCTCTGCAACAGAAAACACCTTCATGCTGAGTGGCCAGGATAGGAAAAATACATCTTTAAAAAAAATGAAAATCTCTCAGAATTTCCTATGTTACATACATTCAAGAAGACAAGAGAACAGTGAAAGATTCAGTATTTATCAGTCAGAAAAACAGTGGACTATGATTTTAGATGCATGCTTTTGTTGAACTGACCAGGCAAAGCTCGTTTTGGGCTCATGGCCCAGCACAATCGGATTTTCCATGAACTGGAAGGCACTTGAGATGGTTTTCACGGTGTTCTTTCCATACTGAATAGTGACTTTAAGAAGGTCGGAGGGCACCTTTTCTGCTCGGTATTCGCCTGTCCTGCAGATAATCTCTTCCCCAAAGTGCTCCCTGCCAAGACAAGGACAAAGCTCAGTACCTGCTGACTGAAGAAGAGGGTAGGAGGCAACGGGGGAGGAGTGGGGGGCTGCAAAAGGTCAACATACAGTACAAGCCAACATGGCAGCTGCCTGACAGTTTGTTCAATCCTGGCTTTGGTAGATTTTTGGCTGATTATTTTTCTGTTAACTCTCTGAAATGTCACTGCAGACTGATTTAGAAGGAACATTTGTAATCAAGAGAAGAGACAGAGTGTAACTTCAACATTTATTCTACGGCGGTTTTTTTTTAACTTCACAATTGCGAGGAGATGTAGTGGGTAGATGGGTGCAAGGTTCTGAAGAATCTAAAGAAACTGGATAACCAGCACCTTGTGGTTTCACTAAATATTTAACAAAGGCACACGTTTGCCTACATTAAATATTTATAGAAAACACAGAGGCTGGTTATCCAGTTTTGTCATGTTTGATATTAAGCTAATCTGAACAGGCTGCTTTAAAACAGAACAGGCTGCATTAATGACAACTATTAACATCAGAAATCCTTACACAGAACAGTCCACGCCTCCGACGTTAACAAGGATATCCTCCTTACTGCCAGTTTCCAGGAATGTTCCAGAGATGGTAATGAGTGTGCCCCCTGCTTTAGGGCCTTTAGTAGGTGTCACTTCAACAGGAATGGGGTCCTAATGGAAAAGTGGTGAAGGGGAGGATTAATCACCAAGTACAACTTTAATACGCACACATTTCCCTTAAATAAGATTCACAAGTACACACACAATCTCAAAGGCACAGGCTCCTACATTACTTTGTCATACACACGCACATTTCCTCTCAGGCTCCTTGAACTTCCCCCACTCGCTCTATCAGAAACATTCTGACACAAACCCATCCACATCTGCCTTAATTCGCTGAGCAAACACTTCATTGAAGCTATTCCCTTTTGGGAAGTTTCAACAGAAACAGAGATACGAACGGCCAGTTAAATAGATATGCCATGGCCTGATAAAAGGATTTGAGTAGAAAAAAAAGACAAACTACTGCGCAGAATCTGATTAAAGAGGAACACACATTCTTGCTTCAGCAAATGATCCAGGATTCTTGACATTATGATCATCTGAAAGTTTAGATTTTTAATACCCTTGAATAGAAAGTTTACATGTTTAACCCTCCCGCTGTCTTTATGGGTGACCCTGCAAGGAAAGTTGACCATTGAGCAGGATTGATGGTTTATCCCTTGAGGTCCACGTGGTAGGGGTGAGGCGGTGCTCACTCCTCACCCCTGCCACATGGACCCAAGGGATAAACCATCAACCCTGCTCAATGGTCAGCTTTCCTCGCAGGGTCACACCCTTTAGGACAGTGGGAGGGTTAGTGCAGCTAAAGCCTGATTCATGCTTAAGCAAAGGCACATTTGCGTCCCCCCCCCCCGCTGCTGCAGCGTTGAATCTCCTCTGTATTCATACTGGCCCGATCTGTTGCAAAGAAATTCTCCCCCAGGACAGCAGGAGGCGCATTCCTAACTTATTGGCCTGAGGTTTGAAGAAATTCTCTGCCAAAACAACAGAGAGCGCGCTCCTACGCAGGTGAGCATACTCTTGCAGTGACGTGTCTGCCCTACTACTATTTACTATTTGCGACGCGAAAAGATGGACGACACAGACACAAAGCAAATTCTTACTGAGCAGGAGCTGCTCGAGCTAAAAGAACAACAACTATTATTAGAAAGAGCACAGCGAGAACGATGAAGGAAGAGGCGTCTGTGGAGTGTCCGTCCATTGAACATTTTTTAAGGGAAGCTACGTCGTGCCGGAAATGACGTTGGGTTGTTTGGCTGACCAATAACAGACGTCCAGCATACAACGCCGCCGTCGGATGTTTAGAAAATAGAGCTCGACTCCAACCGACGTTCCAACGCGATCCAACATTGTTGGATCACCCATAAGACGTCGCATCATGGCGATCCAACAGATCCGACATGCTGGAGCAGTGTCAGTATGAATCAGCCTTAAGTGTTTGTGTGCTTACCCTGTAGGTGAAGTACATGGAGGAGGTTCCTCTCTTCCCTCCGTTTACTACCACCTCTACCTGACCCCAGGGTGTCTTTTTAGGGTCAATCGCTTTGATCTCACACACCACACTGGAAACAGCAAAAATAAAACACAGTTGAGGAAATATTTTCAGCCCAAAATGCAAGTGATTATTTTCATGATTAGATGACCAGGTCTGCTGCCAAAATTTCCCAGAGGCTTGGTAAAACAATCAGTCCTTCAGGAACCAAACCAGCCAAGTTAAAGAAGTCCATCACTCATATTTTAACACATTTGCAGTGGTCTCTTGTAAGTCGAGCTCAGGGGAAAAAATAGCTCAGATGCGTCAGTTTCAGAGAATTCCGTTGGAGAAAAATGCTTCAGATAGCAGGATTTGGAGACTTATTTCCTGATATTTGAACACCTTGCCTCTGATTGGCTAACAGCAACACAACTCTACCACTGACTGCTCCCCAACGTTAATGATTTTTACATAACACAAGCCTGGAGGTGTTCTGCTGTGTGGTGGAGTTGCTAATGCTAATAGTTAGCTTCTACTAGTCGAGACATTCTCTGCTGTTTCCTGGACATTTAACCAACAACATCCTTCCCCGTTGTGAGTCAAGATGGGTGAGTCCAAGTGTCAGCTTGACAGAGCCTTCTAATCCTCGAGTTTCACCGTCTATTTTCTGTCAGAAGCTAATGCAGGAGATAGGTGTAGGAGACCATTTTCACATTCAGCCTGCAGAGTGATGGATTATTTTCTAAAACAATAAGTAAAAACTGGTGAAGGACCTCTTCAAGGTTTCTGTTGGTAAATGAGGACTAAACACTTCCACCTCTCCAACAGTTATTCAGATAAAAAAAAAATCTTAAGAGCTTAAATCCAATTATTAAAATCCATCCAGATGAGCTGCTAAAACATGCACACACACACACACAGGCACACACACAGGCAAATATTTATACATTTTACACACGTGGTAAACAACAAACAGATTGTTGGTTCAGTAGCTATAAATGCAGAACCATTTCTAATGTCAGATCTCTGCTTCTATTACTCTGAAATATTTCCATAATCTAGTGTTTGAAATTTTATATCATGCAATAAACACATCCAAGCCCGCAGCAGTGTGTAGGAAAAATGGATTGCAAAGAGAAAGAGTTCATTTCAATAGAAAACACGCAAACAGCAGGGCCACAATAAAATAATGAGAAGCTAAAATTAAGTGAAAGAATAAAGCATTGCAAAGCAAGCCCTGTCAAATAATGCTAGCAGGGAAACGAATAAGCACAGCAGCAAACAGCAACAAGAGCAGCACAACCATCTTAGCAACAAAAGTGCATGATTTAGGAGTGAAACACCTCCATCTGGTCACATAAATCCTCTTTTACGCCTCATGCAGATGGTGGGGCAAGAATTTGTCGTAAACGTAGCTGCATACTGCCAGGTGCCAACAGCTCTGGCAAGTGACTGTTTCCACTTTTATAGACTATTTGTATGAAGTGTGCACATTTTAAACCCAGTCATGACTGGGGTGCATTTGGAAGACCTTAGGTTAATTCAAACAACATTTTTAAGAGTCCATTTCCAGTTAAAGGACCAACGGAGCGAGGTGAAAAGAGCACCAAAAATCTGAGATGGGTTTCTGTTACAGCAGTGGGATTTACATAGAGAGGTGACAGGTACCAGACTGCTATGAGGGGTTAAATCCACTTATAGGTGCGGTAGGAGATGTATTTCTGGAGCATTTTGGTCATATTGCTATAAATGCTTTTTCACATTCTGATGCCAACCAATAAACTAAACGTTTTGTCAAAAAAAAAAAAAGAACACATTTAATCTGCTCTCCTCTGCATTTTTCATGCCACAGATGCACTACCCTAGCCTGGTAAACCATCATATGTGGTGCGGGATCTGCGGTTGTCTGTCAAATTGTCTCCGATACTATTTGATAACAAAAGCCCTAAAGTCCAAAGTTGATGACAAAGCCTTTCCAACGAGCCACCGCCATCTTAATTTTTTTAGTTACATCCCGCCCACAGTACTGTGGTTGGCCCACCAAACCAATAGAGCACTGTGATTGGACTGCTACAGAGCCATTGCCATCTAATTTTTGCTCAGTCGCAAGTAACATCCTGCTTAACTGGTGGATAGAGCACTGTGATTGGATCGGTACCACACTGTTCGGGGCTGTCAAGGTTCCAGTGCAGCATGACAGTGCAAGCATCCTTTTGCTTCCACAAACTGACAGTCTAGATTTAAGGCCTTTCCCACCTTTTCCTTTGTCATTTTTGAAAATAAACTTAAACACTTAGTAAAATAAAAGCTTCCACTAAGGTACATGGAATTCAAGAAACATTTTTGCAGTAAGGTTCCTGCAAGACATACATGTTATTCTCCTCAGATTGGAAATATCCAGCCTCTTAGCTTTGCCTTCTCCTGACTTCAGCTCATAGTCATGCTGCATCTGCTGCGCGCAGAATGTGGAAGTCAAAATGATTCAAGTTGATTTTTTCCCCCATCGAAGAGTAGATGGGGAAAAACTTTTACAGCTATGCCTGCTGTTGTTTGTTCTTTGCAAAAGTCATTTATAATGAATCTAGCTTTTCTTGTTTCAGTTGTTTTATTTGAGATGACTTAATTAGTATGTAGCACCATCAAAGACTACATCAAAACCACCTTCCTCAAGCTGCAACTTAAACTTCAGATTTATTTATCTGTTTTACATTTAGTGAAAAATGCGTGTGAATTTTAGCGGCTGCCATATTCTCAAAAACATATCAACCTGCAGCTGAAGATCATCAGATAAAAGCAATGATCTGATATAAAGTCAGAGGTTTACAAGAGGAATGTCAGGAACTGTCAGCAGCGTCTGACGGCGCTGGTGCTCATACACATGTGTGTGGTGTTTATTACCTGGTGGAGACTGAATACTTTTCCTCCTTGTGGGTGCAGGGCTCCCCGACAACTGTGATGTTTTTAATATCTTCCTTATGAATGCCGAGGTTAGAGCCCCGGATGGTGATGGAGATGCCTCCCAGCGTGGGGCCAAAGCGAGGGATGATCTGGATGGAGAGATATGGTGTGCAGGGGGGGGTTATAGGTAGAAGGGATTTGAAAGAGATTTAAGCAGATTAGTTGTGCTATAAGAAAATACGAGAGATTTACTCATGCTGTTTGACCATGCATTCAACAAATTGTTTTATATTCACAGCCATGGTGGAAAATTACTTTAATACCAGTTGTGTCTGTGTATGTGTGCGTGTGTGTGTGAGCATGAATTAGCCATTGACTGATGCTCAATTTAAGCACACCATATCCTCTATAACAGTATGTGCATTTATTGCTTCATATATTGTATAAAAACCTGCAAAATAAAATAAAATTAAATAAATCCTGTCAGTGACCGTTTATCCACCATGTTTTTATCTTATCTGCTTGTGTTTCTGTTTGGGAGTAATATTAGTGATAATCCCTGCCAGGATGATAGCAGCACAATTCTGGTAGTTTGTGTCAATGACAAAAAGGCACCAACAATTACCAAAGTGGACTAAATATTGATCCAGTCTAGACATGATTGAGCAATGCCGCAGCGAGCTCTCAAGGAGATTCCTGAATATTCTGTCAACATACAGATGAGGCAAACATGTAGTCAATAAACGGCTCAGTTCGATATTTCAGTCAAAAAGGTCAATATCGTCTTTTTTACTGCTAATCACAAAGTCTTAGAGGAAGGCACCGGTTCCATTTTAGGAGTAAACACAACAAGAATACAAAGATGCTACTACTCACGTTAGTGATTGTGGGGTTGGGGCACTCTGTGTTTTGGGGACCCCCCTGTAAAGCGCTGCAGAGCTTCTCGTACACACACGAGTTCTGCTTGCTGCACCACACACACCTGTACTTTGAGTCGGCATACTTGCAGAGGCTGCAGTCCTCCCTCCCCATGGAGCAGTTGTACAGGGTGACTGAAACAGAGGCGTGCACATCCCTCAGTACTGCTGTGGTTACATTATAATGTAAAATGTAGGGGTTTCTTTTGCAAAGAGTTACTGCAGAATTCAATCTCATTAGTCAAAATATGCTGGGTGACCAGGTTGTAGCAGGCATTTTTATTTCATAATTAAAGAAGACTGAGAGCTGGGAGATTGAACTGAATCAACAATTTTCTGTTTTTACATCGTATGCAACCTGGGACTCTCAGAGAGAATCGCATCACCAGCCTTATATTTCTCAGTTATCTCTGTGGCAGTAATCAGATACAGTTAACACAACACTGGTGTCACAAACAAGCAGTTTTTAGAACATAGTTAGACATCCTGACTCCAAGCAGAGCTGGCATTGACCAATCAGAACACATCACACTTGGGCTTCATCTGTAATTCTGGTCCCTTTAAAGTCTTCAGGAAGATCTTCCAGTTACATTCATAACATAAAGGGATGTTTTGTCATCCTGAAGTGTTTCTGCGTAATGCTTATAATTACCTTCTCAACTCTTGTAGGTATCCTTTTGAACAGTCATGTTCTTCAGGACTGATAGGCTAAAGGCTATTCCAGGCACAGCAAATATCAATATGTATGTGACATTATATTTTAAAGTGCTTCTCCTCATCAGTTAGGAAATAAACAGCTGTTTATGTGGATTTTTGTAGTAATCCTCAAGTGTAATAATCAGCACCACCAGCTAAATGTAGCACTTCCTGTGCATCCGGGGGTCAAATCTGACAGGAATATCTTAATATTTCTGCCAAAAAAATAAATAGCACTACACAAACTAGACAACTGTGTTAACGAAGCAATCTGGAGTTTTCCCCCTTTTCAGGGAATATGTACAATGTTTTAGAAACACATGAATGTGATAGTCTTACCTTGTACTGTGACATAATCCAGGCAATACATCAAAAAAAAATTTTTTTTCTTTGCTAAGCCCCCCCAACCCATCAGGTTGAGTCCCATGCAATTTGAATTGTGCATTGCTCAGCATTAGCCAATAGCATTAGACAAACACGTGCATTTGCAGGGGTAACTAGACTGGTGCAGAGTTGTTGATATTTCTTTTGGACAAATAAGACTTTAAAGCATGCAAGCAAATAAACAGTGGAACATTTCAGGCGTGTCCCAGAAGCGGCTTGCTTTGCACCGCTAAAGATGGGATTGGGTTCTATTTTTGCCGCAAGCTGCTTCTGGGGCACGTTTTGCACCGCTGACGCCTCCGGTGTAAATTCTGGGTTAAGGTGTTTTCTGCCTCTAGATGGTGCCCTCTGACAAAAAACACCAGAATTCTTCTTTGAACTTTAGAAAACATTTTTAGCATAAAGCACTGTGAAATTTAAAAGAATGGAGCTGTGTAAAACGGCAGGAACACACTTTGGCCTTAGTTGTGCTCAGACAAGCTGTCAGCAGTAGAACGTGGATGCCATTTCTCCAAACTGAGGCTATTCCTTTCTAAGACAGAAACCCAGCACTCATACGTACACAGAAACACACTGTAAAATATAAATATCCATTTAATAAGTACATTTCTCAGCTTCATGGAAGCTCCTATAGGGCATGGTAAATAACATCTTCACAATGAAAGTGTGAAAATTCACCATTTAATGTGCTGTCCATCTTCTTGCCTGTGTCCTTGTCCTTCACGTAGAAAAGAACATTGGTCTCTGGTGACTTGTCGTAGGAAAACTAAGAAATCGAGGGGAAAAGAAAAACAATGAATTATTAATCCAGAATCCAATGATTAATAGCAGTTAAACTCTTCTCTACAAACAGAGTGGGCTGCTGCTCCCACATGCCAAGAGAAAAGAGAAAAGAAAAAAAAAGACGTAAAGAAAGATTGTACCCAGTGTGGCAGATTTTCAGCAGAAGAAATCAGTGTTGGAAAAAGAACATAGCTGGGGGCAAAGCATGGTTTTAGCTTCCCAATCACAGGATTCAAAATGTGGTGAAGGAGCAAAAATAACTCAAATGAGGGGAGCATGGCCCATTAGAGGGAGCTAGAGAATATTAAAGCAGCCATGAAAAGCTGTTATAGGCTGATTTTATTTATAAATCTGGAACATAAAGACAAGCTCCACATAGAAAGTCTTCATGCAGCTTGATGTGCTTTGAAGGATTTGATACCATGAGGTAGAAAACTACTTTTCTGTGTTGCTCTAAATTGCAGCCAGTTCAAAAACCTGTGTTTTGCTGCTCTGTATCAAAACAAGTGTGCAGCATTGAGCTAACCGCCACACTCACATTGAAGCCGCTGAAAGTGTAGAACGGTCCGTCTTCTGATCTGACCTCTTCCTCCACATTCTTCATCAGTTCTGTGCCGATGGTGAAAACGTGATCCTGCAGAAACAAGGAAAGAAAAGATGCCTCAGTGAGCATATTGGTGCACAGAAGTGACAACTTGGAACAAAAAAACAATAAGTTGTCCAAGTTAAATCACTGAATCTACATGCTGTTGAAGAGAAACTGGATGAGAAGGTAGTTAAGAGTGAGACTTTTTATCACCAGCCACTCCAGACAACATGAAGTTCCTTGGATAAGTGTGCATGATGTCAGACGAACTTGAATAAAAGCCTCACACAGATGTGTGTCTGAATGGGGCTCGTACCGAAAAGCACTCTGAGTGGTCATTAAAACTAGAAAAGTGCAATGTACAGGAAGCATTTGCTATTTCCGTTTCTGATAACAACTTCCTGTTGTGGTTTTATGGTCAATAAAAAACAATGGATCTGACTCCAGCTTTTAGTTTCAACCAACACATTCTCACACCCAAAGCGTCGAAAAATGACGCGTGTGACCAAGCGTCAAAATATGACGATCAGGGTGCCCCAGCGTGTCGGGAGAAGACGCGCAGGGACACGCAGGGACACGCAGGGACAAGTGTCACCGCGGGCGTCCGTATTTGACGCCCGTGGTGACATGGAACCCTCCCCTTACCCCAATCCTAACGTTAACTCAGTAATTTTCAATTAAGCTTTGCATGCGCAAGCTGGTTAAGGTTAGAATGGGGGTGAGAGGAAGGTTAAGTGGTTCACTAGTTGGTCAAATGTCCGTCTCACCGCGGGCGTCAGATACCGACTCTCTGGGACAGTGCGTCCTCTCCTGACGCGCTGGGGCACCCTGAATCGTCACATTTTGACACTTGGTCACACGCGTCATTTTTCGACGCTTTGGGTGTGAGAATGTGTTGATTTAACAGGTTGGAACTTCGGCCTGCTCACACCCGGGGGGCACCGTGCAGCCAGTCACAGCCTTCTGAGGTTTACTTCAGCTGACTGGGACCAGAACTGTCGAGCAACCATAGAATTAAACTTGTAAACGTGTTGTCACTAATAGCTCACATTAAGATGAATAAAGGCGTCGTTTTACCCTGTGGTTGTTCAAATTGATCCCTTCAAAACTGATTCGAGTCTTGTGGCCCACAGGGATGAGGACAGGATCTGGGTTCTCAAACTGGGGACACTCTGATCCCTGAGGGGGGAAAGAATAAAACATCAAAACAAATGAGACAATCCCACTTTTAATGATTCACATTTTAAATATGCAAGCCACTTAACGGACACTCTCATCTGTGGCGACAGATAAGTGCATCGCTGAAACATCTGCTGACTTGTAAATTGATATCCTCCACCCGCAACAGTCACCATGCAAGATGGTGGCAGCAGATAGAGGGATTTGGGCTTTTATTAATTTTCCAGGAGAACGTGCATCACATGTGGCAATTAGATGAGTCTTTTAAAATTCTGCTCTGCGTGCGGCAGCATTCATCAAACTCGTACCGTAATTGATAGAGATCTTGACCTCTGCTGTACAGCGACTCACCTTACGGTGTCCGATGATGTTTGGACCCACCACGGCGTCATCCTTGTCGCTGCAGGTGTGATCAAGTGTATTCCACTGACAACCCCATGAACTGCTCACACACGACATGCACCTGCAGACACAAATGTGAATTTATTTTTTACACACATAATTAGATTACTGCAGATGCACAAATAAAAGCACATGCAAACAAAATTTACAAACATGCAAACTCATCAGAGAGCGTCTGGAACTAAAATCTATGGTGCTGACAATGAAATGGATCTGTGCAACTTCACATAAGCAAAGCTCATTCATCACATATGCCTCAGTGTGAACGAAATGAAGAAAAAAAAAGGAAAGTGGGGGGGGGAACTGGTGAGATCGACTTTCATTTTTTGATTAATGAAAAGGAAACAGAGGCAATTTCCTCGCTTTGGTAATAAAAGGACAGAAAATGCTGGAGGTGCATTCAAAAACTACCATGCATCACAATTTGCAAACAGAGGCTTGATACGTCATCTGTTCACGCACGGTGATAAATTTCCATCAAGGTTGTCAGTTGATGCTGTGTTCAGCGACACTGTGTGTTTTCTGTGAGTGACAGAGCAGAGCAGAGCGATAACCGTCACACACTTACGGTGTGTTTTCAGATTTCCTAACAGTGGCAGCACAATTGTAGAACTTGAACTCCCGCGTGGCCAGCTCCACAGTCTCGTTGACAAAAATCCTGATGGAAACGGCCACAAAGTCTAAGAGGAGAGCAAAGCAAGGGTTGAAAAGTTTTATGATTTATTAACATTTGAAATGAAAAATAAAGAAAATAATCCAGGAGACTGCAACCTTTGAGATTAGATGTTATTATTCATTGTAGGGAGCCTATAACGCCCATCTACTACCGCACCATGGGTCCCCGGAAGAATGAAAAAATTAATGCAAGACAATGGAGCTAAAATAGCTATTTTCTAATTCTGCTGGTTATGTGCCACGGATTTCACATATGATGTCCGTGAAGTTTAAAGACACGTTTTGATACCAAGAAAGCGTTTATTTTCGAACAGGGGGAACGCTATTTTAGGTTTTGTCCAGGACTACGAATGCGCTTCATGAAAGTGACGTAACCGAACCAGACACAGAGAAAACTGAGGGAAAATGGCTGTAAGTTAAGTAAACTTCCCACAGGAGGAAATAAACACCATGAATCTGGCCATCTGGTAAGTAGCAGCTACGTTAGGGGGGAGGAGATTATGTGGTGACGTGCCCATTTCTGGTTTGTAGTCATGCTAATTCTGAACCTTTACAAGCTGATAAATCTCAAAGTACGTGACTGGCGTGGTCGAAACACCCATCATTACTTTTCATTTAAATTGCAGTGCAACATATGTGCGATCCAGGGTGAACGGCAAAGCAGATGAGAAAACAGCTCTTTTAGCCCCGTTGACTTGCATTAATTTTTTTTCGTTCTTCCGGGGACTCATTAGCCGACCGGAAAGGGAGGAGACTTGGGCTCCCTATTCTCCTAAAAACTGAAATGATTAAAGCACAAAATCTACAGCACTTTCAAAACTAGAAGATAAATGTAAAAGTTTATATATCTATTCATATGTGAGCTTTATGTCATTTATTTTGTACTCTTATTATTTTTGGCACTAAGAAAAAACAATTCAGCGGTATGTAAAAGGCTACAGAGCTATTGCAGTCCTTCACATATCCGTAGAGAGTAAAACTACTCATGTTGGGACAAATCAAACATTAAGTTCATCCTTGATGTCTTTAAAGAGAGAGAGAACATAAGGGTCTTATCTTTTATTTACTTGAGTAGAATTTTTTATTTGAAACTTTCTTCCTTTTATGAAAGTAAATTCGTGCATGTTACTGCAACAGCACTTTAATAGGTTATGAGAGCTATCCGTTACCAAAACATGCTTAAAACTTCTGCTTTTACGGCTATTTGTGTTTAATAAGAATTTGAGTTTTCTGCTAGTTTTGTCAGAAAGCTGCATAAACAAAGTATGGAATAAGCTAATCAAATAAACTCCGTTATTGCCTAATTCTTCTGATGAAAAACTGGGCAAAAATGGAAACTCCCTGCACATGTCGCAAGTCATTTAGACAGGAATACTGCTGAAGTTCCTCTTCCTTTTGCTATTTCAAATAAAAACATCCCTCATATTCATGTAATTTTGTTAATGGCAACTTCAGAGAGGCTGAAGGACCACATGCGGCTCCAGCTGCAGACCCCTAATCTATACAGACTAGCTTCTATAACAGATTTTAACAAGTTGCATAGTTGAGAGAAATTAAAATCCAAAGATCACCATGATCAATTTTATACCCTCGGGGTCTACAATTAATAATGTTTTTAAAAAACAACTGAGATGGAAATAAACGTTTTTCAGGCCATTAGCTGCAGCACAGAGCTCTAAACATTTCCCTTGAAAAGGGATAAAAAAGTAGGGGGACTAGAAAGGCCAGACCTTGGTCTTCAGGTGTGTGTGGAATAAGCGAGGGCTGCGGCAGGTCACAGAAGACCTGACTGGAGTCCAGCATGGTGCCTTCACTCTGAAAAGAGTCAATGTTGCACTGAAGACGGTCAGATGGCCCAATAGCAGGAAGAGAGGGAATGTTGATCCGTATCTGGTCAGACAAAACAGATGAAACGTGTTGATCCCCGGTAAAAACTAATCGGGCACCTTTATGAAAAACAGCTGAGCTAATTTCTGCACCCTGTGTATAATTTAAACACCTCCGTGTAACCAAAGTTGTAGAAAGGAAACAATTTCCTTTTGAAAGACAGGAGATTGATTGAGAGTGGGAAAGGAGGAGACAGGCTTTTGATGGAAATTCAAGTGAGTCAGAAAGGGAGGGACAGAAAAAGTGTCAGAAAGTAGGAGAATGAGAAAAACAATTTAAGAAGCAAAGCACACGAGAGAGACTCTCCATCTTCACACCGTAGGCACAATCAGCCAGGTAGTTTATAATAAGACCGTTTGGAGGTTTCTAGGTGGGTCGATACAGAACAGGAAGCCTGGGAGCCCAGGGTCTCTGATTCAGAGAGTAAACAGTTTAGGAGTCAGACTGTAGATATTTGTGAAACATGCATGTGAGTGGAGCTCCATACCGCAAACCCAGACAAGCCAGGAGAGAACAAAGAGCAGATGACTGGAGAGCCGTACCTTGTCTGTCTTTTTGCAGGAAAGGTTCGGGGGAAAGAAAGATACAATCTTGACACACTGCTGCCCAGGGCTCCACAGCCAGCCGTTCTTCTCTTCTGCCCGTCGGCACTCCGACCTCCTGGTACACCTGCAGATGAAGGATAAACAACTCTCATCAGCCTCTCCTCCATATTCCATGAACACGTTCATGAAGGAAAAACAGAAATGGACTCCAACAGAATTTCAGTGTTCTTTTGTGAATAATAACCCAACAACCGAGTGACCTCGAGTAGACTTGGAATAAACATTTGCATGACAGGAAACCATCAAAACACTCCACTATCATCTATCTTACCCTCTCATTTCTATCCTTTTCTTTTTGTTTCCATTTAAGGTAAAAATATGGTTTTTGCTCTCTAGGAAACAACTGGGAGAACATCGTTCTCCTTCACAGGAAAAATCTGGATCAGAACAGCTTCTTTATGGCTCATGTTTAAACGGGTGCTGCAAAACTGCTGGCTTGGTTGCGAAATGTAGCAACTTTTCAGACACCTTCAGTGATTTGTTACACATCTGGCAACTTTATAACCACTGAAGCAAGAGCAAAGGTGCAAAGTATGACTGTGCTATATGGCAGGACCTTGATTTTTATGATGTGTGAATCTTGCAGGGAATGAATGAAAAATAGCATGCCGTTCATCAGAGCAGCTATGGAAAGATTATTATACATCATATATATATGTCAGTGATATAAAAACAGCAAGCAATCACCACTTTGTTTTGACTGATATTTCCTGAAATAAATAATAAAATTTGAAGTTTTTAAATGTGTAACAGAGTTTTCCGTTTTTGCAAATGAACTCCTCATATATAGAATTTGTATTTGTGTGGAAAAAAAACATTCTGAAGAAATCTGAAATTTTTATCGGTCACATTTATTTTATGGAATACAGAATGCATAAAAATAAAATAAGGAAAATATTTACATATGGTACATGGTAAATGGCCTGCATTTGATATGGCACCTTCTAGAGTCCTGGAATCCCCCAAGGCGCTTTACAACACAACCAGTCATTCAGCCATTCACACACCCATTCACACACTGGTGGGGATGAGCTACGATGTAGCCACAGCCGCCCTGGGGCGCACTGACAGAGGCGAGGCTGCCGAGCACTGGCGCCACCGGTCCCTCCGACCACCACCAGCAGGCAAGGTGGGTTAAGTGTCTTGCCCAAGGACACAACGACAGCGACAGACTGAGCGGGGCTCGACCCTGCAACCTTCCGATTACGGGGTGAGCACTTAACTCCTGTGCCACCGTTGCCTACATGAATCAAGTCTTCTCTGTTGAAAGTACAATAGTTCTGATTATTTCCATGTTGTAAATTTGACAGATTACATTTTTCATTATTATTTCACTGCTCTAATACTTTTTGCGAGCAACATCCGAGTAGTATTTTTATCCTGCTTCTTTCCTGCTTCCTGATCATGTCTCTGTAAAATATGATCCATTCGCTCCCTTTTACTCTCCAGACTCTGATAAATATAGGCTGATGAGAGTAAATTGCAGCCTGGCTTCGCTGCATGCGGCTGACAAACAGCTTTAATTCCTTACGGCTTCATGGACAACAAAAGATGGAATATAAACACTAAGGGGTGCTAAAAGCGTCTGCAATAAAACACAAGCAAATATCCCACTGTGTTTTACAGATGGAGCTGCATTTGTGGGTGTTTGTGTTGTTTGTTGCTGTGCATGTACATTGGTAAGTGCATGTACGAGTAAAAACGTGTGTGTGTGTGTGTGTGTGTGTGTGTGTGTGTGTGTGTGTGTGTGTGTGTGTGTGTGTGTGTGTGTGTGTGTGTGTGTGTGTGTACTTCTGACCTGCCCTCCAGGACGCACCAGCCACAGTAAGGATCCCTCAGTCCCACGCATGATTGGCAGTCTTTCTTTTGGAGGCACGTCTGCACCGGCACCTTGGTGATCTTGAGAATTACAAAATGGAATATGATCAAATGCTGCACCTTAGGGGGAGACGCAGTACAAAACAGGAGGCTTTTAAAATAAAGCTGGAAATGCCTCCTGGTTTGTTGGAGGGTTTCAGAGCAGGAGCCAAACAAGTCCTGTCAGAGCATGGTCATGTTCAATTACTGAAACAATTTACTCTCTTCAGAAAGTAACTGTTTGCTGTATCTAGTGGTGGAATAACTGCCTACAATCTCCCTTCGAGCACTTCCATTAGATGTTACTTTAGGCTGTCAGTTTTCCTCAAACTTACTGCTTGTATGACTGCCTAATTGCATCTGAAAACTATCAAACACTCCATGTTTGGTTATGAAAGACTAGCCAAGGTTCAGCTTTTATTTCCTCATTTATCCTCTTCATATTTTTTATCCAATCCTGATACAAATATTTAATGCTGTATATGCCTTCCAGGATAGATGGTCTAAAAATATTCTCCATATTTAAATGGTGTAACATCTCGCCCGTCTGTAAGAGAGCTGGCATTCAGCTCTGCTTTTCGACTCAGCTTGGCAGCACCATGGACTCTTAGTTCCAACGCAGCTGAACATCAAGTCATTAAAACCAGTTTTGATCTACTACGAGACACCCTTTAACCCTGCATCTTTTCTGCAATTGGACTCATCCAGAAACCACTGAGTGGGATCAAATTCCATTTACGTCTAATCGGCCTTCGAAAGGCTATGTGCTTTCATTTTAGTCTTGCAAAATAAATTGTACGTCAACCAGGAAGGAAATTATTCTCATATGAAGCTGTGATGATGAATAGTGTAATAAACAACATATGATCATTTTATGTAGAACAGGTCAGAAGTTTAAATAAAAATATCTTTTCTTTGAAACTTAAGGTGATGAATCACTGTTTCCATTCAATCACAGACGCCAACTTGAGATTTTTCATCTTTATCACCTGCTGCCGAAAGGCACAGTCTGTGTGTGTGTGTGTGTGTGTGTGTGTGTGTGTGTACAATTTCTCGGCAACTAATGCACAGCTTTCAATGAAACACACAAAACAAACATCTCCGACTAATAAGCCATTGCTAATGCTAACGGTTAGCTTCTACTAGCCGAAATGTTTTCTGTTGATTCATGGGCGTTAAACCAACAACAGCCTTCCCCGTCGTGAGTCCATGAATGTTAAATCACAGTGTGACATAGATCTGCGAGGATTCTCAAATCCAATTCTCAAAGCGTTTCACAGGCTGTTTTCTATCTGAAGGTAATGCGGGAAATAGTTGAAGACCATTTTCATGTTAGGCTGCATGAAAAACTCTGAGTGACTGATTATAATCAAAATAATAATAATAAAAATAAATTTCTCTCAACTACAGCTTCAAACCGGCTCCAACTTAGTTCATTTTATAGATTTTTAGCCTAAATGTCCATGCGGTTGTGGTTAGGAGTCATTCAAAACACATATGTCTAAAACTTTTAAGCTTTGACATTATCTATCAACTGTTTACGAAAGGCAGCATGCAATGTCTCATCTAAATATTGCAATTTGCACTCTGTAATACTGTTTGCAGATTAAGGAGACAGAAATTATTTTTCTGTCGTAATTTGGTTGTTTTTAAAATACATTTTATGACTTTTCTGATTTCTAACAAAACTGTATCCCTGGTAAAAGCTTTAGTGGTGATATAATTGATCACAAAATGGACCATTTTAATAAAAGCAAAGGCCGTAAAAATGGAGCATACTTTAAGTGGAACAGTAGAGAACCCATGAGCACCAGTTGCATTCACACCTGAATAAGAAAAGCCCTGAGAAACGCACCTTTTTGTCTGTGGTTATGTAGAGGTGGCTGAGCCCAAGGTCAAAGAACAGGTTCTTGTTGACCTTCTCCCCAAAGGTTCCACCAGGAGCTTTGCTGTACATATAGGGTGGTGGTGTTAATGTCAGGTGTATCTGTAAAAAGAGGAATAACCACGTCAAAAGGGAGGTTTTTAACGACCCTGACAACATTTTTCCCCCTGAGGAACATGTTTAGCTAGGAAATAAAAGTGAGGATTGTAACAAGCAACAGATAAACAGAACTGCACCTTGAAGACATCTCCCTGGTTGTTGCCCAAGAAGGCAATGGTGTGATCATTTTCCACAGCAACAGCCACAGCAGTGAGAAGGCTCGATGTGCTCCATACTTCCGTTGCCTCTAGGGCATACCTCGGCTTGCTCGCCAGTGGGGAGGGCAGGAAGTCTGCCCCGCATTTGTAGTTTTTCAACATGTCCTTCTGTAAAGAGAAAATATCACATCTGAGGAGGACTTATGTATGTTTCCCCCTTTAATTCAAAACAGAACTCAGAGTGTGCAGACCTAAATAAACATAAGAACAAAATGGGTTTTAATGTTGATATTTGCAAATGTCTTGAAATCCTGTTTTATATTTATTTAATTTTTATTTTCGTATTCATATATATATATATATATATATATATATATATATATATATATATATATATATATATGGATGTGTGTGTACGCATATAAAAGAGCGTGGTTGGTTTTTTTTCTTGGCTCAGCAGCAACGTTACTGGTTCTCCTAAAAACCAAGAATAAGCTGACATTACACTAATTCAACAACCATATTGTTGCATGAAATCACACTGGTTGCCCTCTAACCAAATTCAGAGATGACAGAAATGATAAAAATTCAAAGATTTTGGGTTTGCAAAACTGGAGAATTTATTTTATTCCCGAGGCATGTGTAGAGCTTTCTAATTTAAATCAGATAAAGTCTTTCAGAAGTTTAATCAAATGCACTTACGGCAATTTTTGATGAACAGAAATCAGTTTTGAATGAGTAAGGGATGTCCACAGCAGGAAATCCTGAAATCTTCCCTGAATCGCTGTAACAAGCACTGATGATATCCACCAGCCTCTCATTGATGGAGTTGAGCGGGTACATGCACAGAGCAGATTTGTTCTCGTCGTCATCTGAGCTCGCCACCATGAACAGGACTTTATTCCAGGAGTTGACCTTCCCATACGTACCCGCTTCGGTCATGGCCAGAGCCAGTTCTTTTCCCGGCGAAGCCACAAAAGCAGCCCTAACTTTGTTGTACTTGTTTTTCTGTCCGCAGTTCAACTGGAGCTCAGTGTGGGAATAGTAATGTTGGTCATCTTCACAGAGACGAGACACATAGGTCAGGTTTTTGTTATCTGTACCATCAAGGGTTCTAGAAAACAGGAAATAAACAAAACCACTGTCTTTGAAGGCATGCTGGAAGTCGTGCAGGTACTTGGGGACGAACGGCGTCGTCTGAACCGTCGAAGCCTCGATGATGCTCTCAAACACCACCCACTCGTTGTAGTCCTGAAGGATTCGTGTGCTGATGAGTTTTGTACTGTCCAGGCTTCCGTAGCCCTTCCCAACAAGAAACACATCAAAGGTGCGTGCATCTTTTCTGTAGGTGGACATAACCCCTACAACATTCACGTTATCCTCTATGCTCGTCACGTAAGTCCTCTCTCCTTTACTATCGCTGTAATAAAGCTGTTGCTCCACGTTGGACAAGTTCAGGAGGGAGCAGATCCCTCGGTAGCGGCTGCCACAGACTATAAGGGAGCTGTTGGATGGGTGGATGAGCAGAAGCTTGTTAAGGTTGGGCATGGGCTTGGTGTCCTGGCAGGCTGATGCTGGAGGCGTGCACGTACGAGCATCTTCTTTGGGACCAGTTTCAGCTCGAGCCTCCAGGTGGAGGGACGGCCTGAGCTGGAAGATCATATTGATCGCTCCCAGGTAAATGCGGCCTGTCTGAGGGTCTTGGACCACATTGTTAATAGAGGTCTCAGAGAGGAAGTATGGGAAGGGAACATTGTCATTCTCCTTGGCTTGTGATGTTGACTGGTACAAAAGGAAGAGGAGGAGGGAGATCCAGCTTGCCATCTCTGGTGGGAACAGAAAAGGAGGAGGTATTTTATTATTACTGAAGTCAAACAAACAAATAAACACACTTAAACTGTCAGGAATATCAGTCTTAACAGTAGGTGTGGTAAATAAAACCCCACATCCTCCCAATAGGCTATGCAAAGTAAGAAAAAGGTAGCCCTTCTGAAATCTAGGTGACAGTCAGCTTTTACAGAGAAGGAATGATCAAAACGATTAAAAGCACTCATTTCCACAGAGTTGCAAGGGATTTTGATGAGTTTGCATGACACATTAAACATGAAACATGTAGCAAAGACTTCAGCAAAAAGCAGAAAAGGCAGTATGAACTTAAATGATATTCCCTTTTCTGATCCAGTTAAACACACGGACCGACTTTATCACTTGAGACACATCTAGATATTTATAGGTTTTGTTTTATTGGGGTGAAACCATTTAAAATGGGCCTGAAGCTAACAGCATGCTGTGTAGGTGTCTGTGTATGAGTCAAATGTGCTCCAGCTGTATAAAGGCCGTGTTATTTGGGATTTAATTGACTTTATATCAGCAGCGATCGCTGGTGAGAAAATAAAATCTGATCTGTGTTGGGAATGATTGAGGCCAAGAGCTAGATCTCAAATGTAACACCGTTTAAAAAAAAACTATTAAAAGGGCTGGATCTGAGCCAAACTCATTTGGATTTTAGAAACTCCACCTCCAAACAAAACGTGCTGAGGAAGTATGCGGTTTTGTCTCAGGAAGCGTGTTCACAGTGTTTTGGTGGAACACAGGCAGCATCATGTACCGGGAGGCAGCAGGTGCCTGCAGAGTCGCTGCTCACTGCTGTTTGCCCAAGCTGTGGTAAATAAGGAACTGCAGCAGCTATTGCCCACACAACAAATGCACATCTATATTCGAATTGGAGCTTCCACACACTTGGCACTACCTTCTTGCTCATTTCAAAATGCCACTCAAATCAACAGGAATCTGTTATCCAACATGAGCCCCCTGACGAGACATGCCAGAGCTGTGTTTTATTACCTTAACCTGCTGCTGCTTACTGGACAAAGAGGGAGAACCATTGATTATACATTTACCAGGAGGAGGGGACCGTGCTAATTTCACCGGAAACACTCATTTGCATTTAAGTGCCCAACAATCGATTTTATGTTTTTTTTTCTTCCCGTTCACAGCCTGGATCGTCCTTTCCCGCCTTTACTGCATAAATGTACCATGCCCTTTTCAATCCTCAGCCCTAAATATTTCCATTAAAATTGAAATGGTGCAATAAAACCCCCCCGTCAGTGCTGATTCAAGACAGAAATGTGTGCAGTTAGTTTTTACAGCTTTAATTAAGAAGGGGGGTCCACGAGTGTTCTGTCGAGATTTCACAGAGCTTTCGCGAGGTTGCGCGCACAACACACAGTGGACAAGTTAAAAAATACCAAACTAAAACTTCAAGCTTCAAAGTGACAAAACTTTCATTTTGCTATTATAGGGCTGTCTCAGCTTGAAGAGATTACACAACTACTTTATTGTTTTGAGTTTTCAAGGAGGTAGCAAAAACATACAAACACATAATATGTGCACAAGCTGCAAAGCATCAGTGCAGCTACAAAGCATTGGCAAAATAAGCAAAAACAGAGCCACCTGGTCCTGGTTTAAAAAAAGAGGTGTCAGACAGCAAAATATTTGCAGAGATGTGAGGGGAAAATGGCCTTAAAATGGTCACAAAATTGAATGAATGCCTCCATGAGCTGGTCCTGATGCAATAAAGTTTGGTCTTAAAAATGAGCCTTACACAGCCTTGGTAAGCATGGATTTAGGGCAGATTTGGCAGCAGTTTTTAGTCATTTTAATGCATTTCCTTACAGCACACTGATCTTCCAGTCAGTGTGTATTTAAGGGTTTTAGCCAGACTGATGCTGGAAGTCCAACATGCCAAAAGAGCCCTAATGTTTATATAGTGACTCATTTTTCTGTTGGTGAAAGCACCTGGGAGAAATATCTGTTTCTGATATATGGAGAGACGCACTCTGCACATAATTTAAAAGGAATCTAAATTAGGAACGCTTCATAGGAAAATTAAAGACGTTTCATTCTTTAAAGGAATGCATATCACCACCAACCCCTTCCCCCAAAGCAATTTTGATGAAATCTTGAAAACAAAACTATGTGCAATCTCACACAATATCACAAGATCGTGCTTGACCATTTAGCAATTGGAGTGCTGGGAATGACTCACAGCTACTACTACAACATGGTTTGGCTCAAAATTAGGAAAATTCAGATTGCTAATTCCATCTAGCCGTTGAATTAATAGAATCTAATTCCACCACTGGGGGGAATCTTCACTGTAGCCTCAGAAAACTCAATTGGAAAAAGAGCTCTGTTGCACATTCATGCAAGTCTTGTACCCTATGTAATAATGTCAATGTCAAGTTTATTTATATAGCACATTTCCAATAATCAGAGACTGCACAAAGTGCTGTACACAGACAAGCAGTTAAAATAAAATTATAAAACACTGAGAATCATCCAGTAGACCCTAAAATTAATTAACGATAAAATCAGTTAAAAGCAAGGGTCAAAAGGTAGGTTTTTTAAAGAGACTTAAAAGCAGAAAGGCTGTTAGCAGACCTAATCTGTAGGGGAAGGCTGTTCCAGAGCTTGGGAGCGACCACAGAAAAAGCTGTCGCCTCTGGACTTCAGCCTAGACTTGGGAACAGATAATAAAAAGAACCATTAGATTTAAAGGAATACTTTGCAAGCTGGGGGGTGGGGGGCGGGGGTGGGTGGGGGGGGGGGGGGGGGGAAGACATATAATCCAATACACTGTTTTTCAAACTAAATAAAAAGCTCCTAAATTTAGATGCCGTGTGCCACATCAGCCCTCAGCTAATGAAGCCTCAAATGGCTTGGAATGAATATAATGAAACACATCGAGTGCTAATGAAGCTGGCACATGTGAAAAATGTGATCCTGTAAAAAGCCCGGTTTGTATCAACATCCTGGCGCCAATGTTCAACTGACCCTAATGTGGGTTTCTGATCCAATTTACCTTCACACTGTCATCACCAACAAAGACACAGCGGAGAAAAAATCCCCCAAAGAAAAGAGTTTCTTCAGTCCTTTACTGAATCTCAACTGAATCAGTAGCTTGTTGACATAATGCTGCATAAAAATTACATATTTTTTACAAATGTGATTTATGATATTCCTTTTCCCAAAAACGTTCATACATTGTTGTCATTGTTAGCCGCCATCATTGAAAACAATGGTGGCTAACAATTCATACATAAATTATTAGCTACACCCATTTTAAACTAATACTATTGAACTCATCTTTCATAGTGTTTGGTGAACTATGATTCCCCTCCTCACCGATATAAACACACCCAAAAACAGACCAATAAATAAAACTGAATTTAAAGAACATATGTTTTGCTGCTAGACAGCAGGTTGTCTATAAAGCCTGGGTAAGACCACCTAATCCTCATACTTAAGGTGTCAAATATTGGTGTTTTATAAAAGCACCCCAGTACCCACTTACTGGTTCTTTTTTTATTTCTTTTTGCAAGCTGTGCTGCACCAGCTGTGGCAATATTTGGCACAAGGAGAGTTAGGAAAGAGAGTTACAAGCACAATAAGACGCACACTGAAGTCCCATTTGAGAGTTGTTTTCCCCACAGTTGCACCGACACTTCCGAAGTGTTGTACGTTAGGCACCACAAACACTTGGGGTCGGTCACACTAAGTTTGCATTGCTCTTTTGGCGAAGCCTGGAAAGATATATATAAGAACATTTTAACCTTATCAAATAATGTAAAGAGTTCTCTGCACATATGCAGCTGCATAGATGCCTCACCGGCACACCTAGCTACACTCAACTTGAATGCCCAGCTAAGTAGCTAGCACATTCAAGTGCAGACACACACAGGATGCACCAACACACCAACACTGGAACTCATTGGGTTGTAACAAACAGATTCTACTTCAACACCTGAATTTTTATTTAAGATCATTTCATGTTGAGACCTCATATGGAATCATCCAAGTCATCAACTACGTAATCAACATCAACAAGATCTGACACAATCAGTTAGCAGACACACTCTTGTGGTCTGTACAATTGAATTTTAGTTTGTGTGCTTTCTATGGTTAATTAGCTGTGGTAGCCATTTTGAATGAGAATAGCTTCAAAGTTAATCAGTCATGTACACACATAGCCCGGTATCCCACAAAACAGTCTTTTTCCATGGTTCGGCCTGTCATCCACGCAAAAGTGAAGATGAATGCCACCAAAAACAATTATTTCAAAAACTTTGATTTGCAAATTCTCTGATGTGTTTTAGGTTTTGCAACATCACTGTAACGAAAAAGCTCTGACGTCACATGTGTGACCTGTTTTTACACGTACTTGTTTTTACAAGCTTAATTACTGCTCTAGAAGACCACAGGCAAAGGATGACAGTAAGGATGTAATTACCCACCAACTGGTTATTCCAAGGAATGTTTTTTGGCAAAGATGCTGAAGATTTGATGAGCTACTGCCACCTACAGGCTTGGGATGCCTGTGAATGAGCTTCATAATGCACTCGAGGTGGTGTGGACCCAAGTGCTTTCCCTAGATGGGCGAGGGAGGAATTTCAGTTTTACAAAAACCTGGCTTTGTGCGTACCCATCAGTGAAGGTGGTTTCATCTCGAAGATCCCTGCTAAATGTTTTTTAAATGCTAAACTTTAAATAAATAATCCTAAAAACCAAGTTCTTCTACAGCCATCTCTTTGAAACACAGCTTTCCATAAATCATTATGTGTTGCAAAGTGACTCACACAAATGCAGTAGAAAGAGTATTGCTGACATCTAAATCTGGTGCCATGTCAAATTTTAGCCCAGTTAAGGATTTGAGCTAGAGAACCAGTCTCATTAACAGAACCATACTGAACACTGTTTAATTATTGTGGTTCAAGCTGCAATTCTGTCATTTGCATCAAAGTAAGTTTCTTATCTTTTTATAACAGTAAATAATTTTTTTTACCCTGTGATTGAATAATAAATGTATAAACATATTTTCTACTTTTAATAGTGATGCACCGATATGAAATGTTTGGGTCGATGCCGATATTGGATATTAATATCACTGTTAGTGAGATGGGTGAGGAGTAGGCACGTTTTTTTAAGCTCCTCATGGCACAACTATTATCTTACTTCAACCGCCTTTTTGAACTACGAAAGCTCTTTTATCGCAAAAGAAGTGACCCTGTGTCACTTTCTACATACACCGTTACTGAGAACCGGGAAGAAAACATGTCCAGGAGTACACCTGGGGCCAAGGGAGCGGCCATGGCCAACGCTAGCTGCAGCAGCCCTAGAAAAAAGGGTTCGGCTTTGCTGGTGGACCATGGTTGGGAGGAAGAAGACAAGCTCCCTCTAATATGGCAAAAAATGTCAAACAAGCTTCTGCAGTCAATCAATGAGAGATTTGACAAGTTTGAGCAGAGTTTTCAAAACTTGTTGGTGGCCCAGCAAGCGCTAACCGACAGGCTATCCACCACTGAGAGTCAAGCTACAGACCACGAGCTACGCATTAGCGCAATGGAGCGTTCAGTTGTCAATCTACAGTCTGAGAATAAGAAACTACGAGCCAAGCTTTCGAATCTTGAGGGACGATCCAGACGCAATAACATAAAAATCATTGGGATTCCTAAAGGTGAGGAGAAAGGAAGGCACACTGAGTTTGTGTCAAAACTCATCCTGAAGCTGCTCGGAGGAGACAAATTTGAGAAACCGGTCATCATCGACAGGGCGCACCTCACTCAGCAGCCCAGACCCTCGAAGGGTACCAGACCTCGCACCATAATCGCCCGGGTACACTTTGCACAGGATAAAGAAAAGATTATGCGACTGGGGAGGCAGACCACAATGGATCTCACGGGCCACCGTATCTTAATCTTTCCCGATTACACTGCCGACGTTATGGAGCAACAACGGGGCTTCCGCGAGGTGCAGCAGCTGCTGAGGGAAAAGGAAATTCGCCACACGCTCAGGTTCCCGGCTAAGCTCCAAGTCCACCACCAGGGACAAGTTAAGTTGTTTAATGACCCTGAGGAAGCTAAGACTTTCATTACTCAAATCCTCTAGTAGCGGGACTTTATTGACCCACGATAAAAGTTAATCGTGTGATAAGATCTGATTAGACCGTTAGGTGGGTGGTTTCTGTGTAAAATGTTCTATTACTAGTTGTGCCCGAGTTAAGCTGTTAAAGGGAGGTGTTTTCACACTGTTTGCCCAGCAGCCCCGGATATATGGTCGAGGGTAACCTTGCTTCGTTTGGGGAAGCACAGCGGGGTTTTTGTGGACGGTTTCCACTTATTTGTTAGCATTTTTTCCTGTTAACTGTAGGTGTTTGGTTTTTTTCTCCCTCTTTTTTTTTTTGTGGCTGCCAGACTGAATGTTTTAAGTTTGTGTCATAATACAGACAAATTCTAAAGTAAACAGCACCTTAGACTCTCTGTCCCTGGTTTCTTGGAATGTCCATGGCCTGAATAGCCCAATTAAGTTCTTTCATACTTAAAATCATTGAAGGCGGACATAATGCTTCTCCAGGAGACTCATCTCTCAGTTACACAGCATAGGATACTAAGAGCTAATTGGATTTCATAAACCTATCAGTCACCTTTTACATCAAAAGCCAGGGGCGTTGCTATTCTTTTTCGTTAAACTGTGCCATTTTGTTTCAGTTCCTCCACAATTGACCCAAATGGCAGGTTAATAATCATATCTGGGCACATTAACTCACTTCCCGTTACATTAGTTAACATCTATGGGCCAAGCACAGATGATTCCACTTTTTTCCGTAGGATGTTTGATCTCATCCCAGACGATGACTCAAGCTACATTTTAATTGGAGGTGACTTTAACTGCTATCTGGATCCTTATTTGGACAGGCAATCCTCTGCCTCCCCACCAAATATTACATCTGTTCAACTATCAATAATCTAATGAAATCAAAGAAATTAGTCGATATCTGGAGACTGCAACACCCATGTGACCGGGATTATTCCTTCTACTCATATGGGCATACGTCTTTTACACGGATTGATTTTTTTTTTGATAGATACAAGAATGATCCCTAGTGTTTGCCACACTGCTTACCATGGGATATTATCTGATCATAGTCCGGTTGGTCTCAATATGAAACTGTCTCTCCCAAAGAGAGCTTACATCTGGCGTTTTAATCCTCACTTACTGGAAGATCAGGAATTTAAACATCATATGAAGACTCACATCCTGCAGTTTCTTGAGATCAATGACAACGGTGAGGTAGATGACTCAATCATATGGGAAACATTTAAGGCGTATGTCAGGGGTTTGGTTATTTCCTATGAAGCCTCCTTAAAAAAAAATTAAAAAGGCAGATTACAAGACATTGAGCAGGAATTGTCTACTGCAGATCAGATCTATCAGAACTCGATGTCTCAATCGGATTACAATAAAATTCTAAAATTAAAATACAAATATAATTCTATTTTAAGGGGCCAAATTAGTAAAATGCTACTCAAAATGAAACGAAAACATTTTGAATTTGGTGATAAACCACAACAATTATTGGCGAGACAACTAAAAGGCGATCAGGCAAAACGAGCTATCCATAAAATTAAATCTAAATCTAGCCAGTTGCTCACCGGTTTGAAAGACATCAATGAAAGATTCAA